CATCTGTTGAACCATCATCTGCATTTCTGCCAGGGTTAGCACTCATTTTCTTTTTTCTCACTGACAGTGCTGTCAGCTTCACCTGTTAAAGTGCTATGGTTGCATGTAGCTGAAGCTTGCTACTACACAGTTGTTTGCTACTTGGTTCTAATTCAGCATATGATTGGTTCAGCGCGAAACGGACCCAGAGCAACACCACTTTTCACTGGCTATTCGTATAGTCTACCAAAACATGGCAGAATGCCTACTATCGAAAAGTACATTGACCATGTTTTATATCGATATCAAGAAAAAAATAATTTTCGATATATCTCATTTTCGTTTTATCGCCCAGCCCTACTTCAAAGGTCAATCTTCATCATGTATATGAAATTTGGTGCAATTGAACACCGTAAGAAAGATTAACGATAACTTCCTGTTCAATAGTAGACATCAAAATTGATCAAGCTGCCAGGAACACACTTTTTCACATCTGCAAAATCCTGTTGTGACTTCAAGTTTTCAATGTGACTACAACAAACAGGGACAAATTACACAATTAGGACGATCTGGTTCTAATATGCACCTTGTAAACTTGTCAAACTATGAGCAAATTAGAAGTTCAGCTGAAATCTGTGGACATCCTATCAGGATTCAGCAGGCCTCGGCACGGTACATGCATCAAGGGATTTTAATGCCTGTAGCTTAAACCCAGGAGGAGACTTCATTTTTAGAGGATTAAAGGGGGTGTTTTTGAACCAGTTTTTGCAAGGTTAAAATATCAAATTTCAGCCTGAGTTCAATATCAAGTTTGTTTGGTTTTGGGGCATGTTTCAGCCCCCAAGTGGATAGAGAAGAAGAGAGGGGAAAATTCCTTAGGCCACATGAGGGTCCTAACATGCTTGGGCTCAAATGATCCACCAAATCCACCAAATGCTAAATATTTCAGTGAGATTGACATTGAAGTACCAACATGGGCTTTTGAACAGTGTTTGTGTTTCTAATTGTTGGCAAGATTGTTGAGAAATAGGTTTCTAAGAGCAAATGTGATCATAACTGACTCACCTCTGCACCGTATCTCCATCTAAGCTTCTTTACTTTTGCTTTCTGAGCATCCATCAGTGTACCACAGAGCAGGCTGTGAAGCGAATTCTCCACATTTCACTGCTCTTAAAGCTGAATACAGTCAGTATTTAGAGTTTCTCTCCCCCCTCTCCTTGCTTCCTCATCACATGAGTGATAACGTTCTGCTTCCCTCTAATCGTCTCCATTTGACAACATGCTGCACTGACACGCAAACACCGTCTGGAGTCACAGCATCGTTATCCCCACAGAAAGTTGTAATATCAGTGTGTCTTTGTGTAAATGTGTGTGTGTATGCATTTGCTCAGCGGTGTGCAAAAGGTGGAGACAGGGGTGATATTTCTCCCAGACACACTCTGCTCCAGCTTTCTGACTTCACCATATGGAGCCCATTACACCCGTTTATGAACATGCTACACAAGCTACACACTCACACACACACAAACACACACAAGATACATCGGTGCTCACATGCACATAATAGGCAAATCTGACAGCACTGCAGTGTCGGCAAAGAAGGAACATATGCTATGTAATAAATAAGGGTGTCAACATTTACCCCTGCAGTCTGTTCACTGTGTGTGTGTGTGTGTGTGTGTGTGTGTGTGTGTGTGTGTGTGTGTGTGTGTGTGTGTGTGTGTGTGTGTGTGTGTGTGTTTGCATACGTGTGTGGGTTCACCAGTGTTTGCATTTGTTACAGCTTCCACAGTGTGACTGCTCAAGAGGCTCGTCAGTGCAGGTCTTCATATCTGTGTTTTGTCTCTTGCACCTCACTTTGTCAGTGTTATCATTGTCTTATCAACTCGCAGGCACGAAACCTCTCTGTTACACACGCACACACACCTACACACACTCTCTCTATCTTTCTCTCTATAGCTGTGTCCCATTCCTGCTGCCTTGTGTCTTTCTTTATATCATGAACCTTGAAAAAATGGTCAGACTGGCCTTGGCAGTGCTTCTGTTTCATATTTGCATTTTTTCCTTGCTGTTAGGTTGATGTTATATATGAGATGCTGTGTGTGTGTGTGTGTGTGTGTGTGTGTGTGTGTGTGTGTGTGTATGCGTGCGTTTGGGGTCTTGTTTTGTTTCTTTCCTCCATGTACTTGTAAGACTGTGCTGCTCTGTTGCGCTTCATTTCCTACATCTTTGGTGCCAAGGAGTCCTGATTGCCAAGCTGTGTGTGAGCGTGAGTGTGTGTTTGTGTGTATGTGTGAGTATACGTGTGTGTGTGTGTGTATGAGTGACAGAGACAGAGTGAAAATGAAATAGACACACATACACACACTCACCTCAACACACAAGCAGCCTGTATGTACCTCACAGACGCTGGTTTGTTATTAACCTTACCGTAACTCTCATAATACAGCATCCTTCAGGGATGGTTCTATTCCTATACACGCAAATACAAGATTAAGAGGCATTTTTGAATGAAAATAAACTATTTGAACCAAGTGTTCTTTTTCCCTGACCTGTCTGGTGAGTTCCTTGGTCTTCATGATGCTCTTTGTTGACTAGTGTTCTCTAACAAAGCACTGAGGCCTTCACACAACAGTTGTATTTATGCTGATACTAAATTACACACAGGTGGACTCTATTAACTAATTAGCTGACTTCTGATAGCAATTGATTGTACTGCATTTTATTTAGGGGTATCAGAGTACAGGGGGCTGAATACAAATGCACACCACACTTTTCAGATTTTTGTTTGTTTACATTTTTGAAAACCATGTATCATTTTCATTCCACTTCACAATTATGTGCTACTTTGTGTTGGTCTATAGCAAAAAAATCTCAATAAAATACTTTTAAGTTTGTGGTTGTAGAGTGACAAAATGTGAAAAAGTTTAAGGGAAAGAATACTTTTTCGAGGCACTGTACTTCTAATATATCATATTTTTACCAAATCTGTTCTATTAACTTCTGCTAAAACTTTTTGAGCAGAAGTTTTCTGAGCATAATTGGAAACTTACCGAGGCTTGTTGTCTTCTAGTTGGATAACAAATGAGCTGGGTGGAAGGGTGTACAGCTGTCAAGCTAAACAGTTAGAGAAATCTATTTTCAGGAGATGCACCTCCTGTGGGTCTACCTTCAGACCAACACATCTGTTAGAGCCTTGTCTGATGACTTTAAACTCCAAATGTTCTGGTTGTAAAGACTGAAACCTTGATATTGACAGACTTGAGCTCCCCAGCGAACAGCAGGTGTTCACACTTTCAGCATCACCAGGCTTCATGCTTCCACCCAGCATTTTTCACTCACACTCCCACCTGATTGGCTGGCTAATTGATTGGCTGTCAGAGTGACTGATGATGTCGGTGCTCATATCCAACACATCCAAGGTAATGCACTGATGCGACACCCAAAAGCTCCCCAATCAGCATTTCTCAGTGAACAGAGTGAGCAGGAGAGCTGTGTGTTCATCTATCATTCTGATGGTAACTGGTACAGCTCCCCTGAGTCTTACAGTTGACCCCATTCACAGCATCTATTAGTGAAGCGACATTGTCCTCTCATAACTGATGTGTGAGCTTTTCTGACCCTCTCTTCTACTCGAATGGAAACCTGCTGCTCTGTTTGATGGCTGCTTCACAGTGGTTGAAATGTCATGAATTACTTCGACTGCTCCCCTTTACCTTAGCAACCATTCTCTATGAATTTATGCAGCTGTAGTTAAGATGTATGAAGTACTGTGACTCCTGGAGGTGCAGTCATATTTTGACAAAGGAGATGCTGGAGAAGATGGGAGTCTGACTCAGTAACCTTGCCTGTTTAGTGACAACAGCAGCAGCATCTATTTGCCTCATCGTATTAACATGGTATACACAAATGGTAATAAGATCATTTCATCAGTATTGAGACAAATTGGTGTGGCTGGGTATGAGTTTTTTGCAGTGCAGAGATTAAAAATAAGAATGATAATAATAAGAACTTTATTAATCACCAAAAGGAAATTCAATTGTCTGTCGTCTCATTTGTCATGTCAATCTAAAAGTCATCTACTATTTACAGAAGAGTTGTAAAGTCTGATGACTGTTGGTACAAAAGATCCTCTGAATCTTTCTGTCCTGCAGTGAAGAGAGAGGAGCCGTCCACCACCATTGGCCCTTTGGTCCATTAAGGTGTTGTGAAGTGGGTGATCCATGTTCTTTAGAATAGTCTCCACCTTCTTCAGTGTAGATCTCTTCACCACATCCTCCACTGAGTCCAGCTCGAATCCAACCACAGAGCCAGCCCTTTTCGCCAGTTTGTTCAGACGTCTTGCATCTTGTGTTTGTATTTAATCCCCTTTATGTGATTGATGGAAAGTTTGTATGTTTTTAGCAACTTAGAAACTGATGCCGTAATAAAAAGTACAATATTTTCCACAGAAGATACTTTGGTCAAAAGAAATTTCAGATTTATAGAAAACTATGGAAAAACAACTCAGTTTTGAGAGTCAATATAACTTTCCACTTTGTCCTTTGCTAAACATGATGTTTTTTTGTGTGTGTTGCAGAAAACAGTTAACTTATCGCTTTTATTTGAACACTTAGGCTGTGTCTGAAATGAATCGCTCAATCCCTAACCCCTAACCCCCATATGGGGTTTCACTATATAGTTGACTATGTAGTGAACTCAATCACCTGAGTTTTCGGACACTACATGGCAAGACGCAATGCATGACGGGATGCCCACCACCGGTGAGTGACCATCAGATGGTCACTACATTTTGCAATGCTCTATGGGAAATTTTGAGTCCCCTATATGGGGCACTGGAATTGATTACTGAGGTGTCGGACACCCCTCAAAATGGTGCTAACCCCCATATAGTCATCTATATAGGGGTTAGGGATCCATTTTGGACACACCGTTAGTTTTTTTTTTTTCTTTTTTTTTGTTGTTGTTGCTTTTCTCCAAGCAGACAATACAACAGTTATAACAATCCCATTGTTAAAAAAATGGCCTGTACACTGTCTGTTAATGGAGCAGGCTTTTCTGAGTATTACGGTAAGAGGCGGGTCCAGTCAGAGCGTGATAACCGGCTGGGCGTGTTTTGTCTTTGTGTGAGTGCGCGTGTGTGTATGTGTGTGTGCGTGTGTGTTTGTGTGTGTGTTGTCCTGTCGGGCTCCTGGCCGCCCCGGTTCAGCACGGACCATCACAGCCTCATACTGTATGAAGCCTTTAGGGTGGGAGGGACGGAGAGCCGCGTCCTCGCTGCAGCTGTGCATATAACAAACCATCCTTCCGTGTCTCGGGAGACAGCTGAGAGCCTTTCTCCTCTGGTCCGGTTGGATTTACTGAGGTTCTTTTGCAGCTGCAGGGAAGACAGCCACAGCTGGTAGTGCCGCTGCATTGAGAAGGTCAGGACCGGAGGACGGTGTCAGGGGAGGGAGTGCAAGCCCGTCCGAGACGCGGGACACCGCCCGGCTGCAGCTTCTCCCGGTTCTCTGGAGCTCATCGACGCTCAGCTGTCCTCAGGTAACATCCGAGAGCATGCATGTGCACCGAGTTTCTGGGAGTCTGTTGAGATGTCTTGAGCAATCTTGCCATGAATGTGCAACTTAATTCTACCCCAGCAGCTGTTTTAGTATTTCTCTCTCTAAAGTTTAATTATCAGGACCTTGTTTGATCAGGAAGCTTTCACGCGTCTTTTCTTATTCAGCTTCTCCTTAAGTCATAAATTTTGCAGCATTTTGTCCATGACAGCTGAACGTTGAGACCCACATTTCTGCAGAGGCCAGGAGGAATGGGATTCAGTGGAGAGATGTAGTATTTTCTTTGGGAAGTAGAAATGTTAAGACAGAAATGCTTGAAACGGTTCAATTCTTGAAGTATCAGTGCTTCATTTGACACAGTTTGTTTTCAGAGTGCTTCTTTTAAGTGGATTGCATGACAAAATGCTCCAATTTTATCAGCCAAATCCAACAAATCTAAACTGAGACTTTTAAACTGAGAAATAAGTGAAAGTACACAATCAGACTTTGGCTTATAAATCCGGGTTTATGGCATTAAAGCTGTGCAGAGAGCCAAACCAATGTCACATCATCATTATTCAGTTTGTTTTAGTGAAAAACAAATGAATGAGTCAAATATCTCTGTTTTATTGCCTTTGAGAATAATCAGAAAGTATTTTTCCTTACCGTTCAGCCTTAGAAGATGTACAGCTCCACACTTGCATGCAGCTTTTACTCCACCATGAGGCTTAACTTGTTTTCTGTCCATCCAGCCACGATACAGACTCATTTGAGAGATGAAGTTAGTGTCTATCAAGTGGACAGTATCTGAAGTAAGTCTGTAATTGTTTGGATTTGTATTCAAACGATAAATTGCCTGTTTGTGGTACAGTTATTTTCTGCATGACTTAGAGTCATGTTCAGGTCCCATCGCCTTCATTGTTTTGAATCTGAAACGGAGCTGTATTCATTTCTTCCTGTGATCAACGAGAGTTTATCAGTCCAGTCACAACAGGGAAAAATCTGTGTATGTTGGTTGAGTAAGTCTGCAGTCTAGGGGGCAGTAAGTTTTTGCATTGCTGTGGTCTTTCTGTATTGTTTTGGTACTCTGAAGTCCTGCACTAAAGCATCCCCTCAACACTACCAAAGATAGTGTCCTGCTTTCTCAGGGGGATTTCTTTCTAGCTGATAATGGAGCCTGTGCTTTAGTGCTGTTAATGAACTGCAGCCTCTGTTATCTCAGCAGCCATAAAGTGATTCTGCTAATAAGTGAGTGAGATGATGCTGCTGAGGAGAGGAGAAGAGAGGAGAGGAGGGCTGTGAGGACCATCAGGGCTGAAGGATGAGCTGTAGCCCGATGCCACTGGGACAGATTGACTGAAGAAACCCACAGCCATCCCAGTGTGCCTGTGGTGAACCTGTTAGCAATATGAAAACAAATGTGCGTGTGTGAGTGTGTGTGTGTGTGTGTGTGTGTGTGTGTGTGTGTGTGTGTGTGTGTGTGTGTGTGTGTCTGACGTGCATTACCTAAAGGGGAAAAGGTCACTTGTTTCCTTGGTGAACTAAGACTGTGTCCTCAGTTGCCTGCATTAGCTTTGTTTAACAAGTATAGGGGTGCACACACACATGCTCACATGCACACAATATCATTCACACACACAGTTATTATGCTGTGCAAACTACATTTGCTAGCATGCACTTACAAACCCTCTGCTGATGAAGCTGTCTGGTGTTTCTGACAGCACACAGAGCCTTCACCAGGGCTTCCTTTACTTCATACATTTATGGTCTTACATTATTTGTATTCTGGAGTCTGAGTGTGCAATTGTCTGTGTGTGTTTTGTGTGTGTGTGTTTTGCTCAGTCCCGAGTGAATGGGAAGGGAGGGAATATGGAGGAAAGGCGGAGGAGGTTGAGAGGAGCAGGAGAAAAGGATGAGAGGAGGAGGACAGAGGGGGAGGAAGGAGACTTCTCTTCGGTGTTTTTTCTGCTCTAATTTGCTGTGACAGCTGCTCTGTTGGCTCAGGCTCTGAAGCCTTTACGTTAAAAAGGATGAGAAGAAGAGAGATAATAAGTATTCAACTGTCTCTCCAGCATGCTTTAATTGGAGATGCTACACTAACTATGGTCAGTGCGCTGCAGTTCAGTCATTTGGTGATCATTCACCACCTCCTTGGTCCTGTAATATCAGCCAAACTGATCCGAAACCATAAGGTTCATAATCAGTGGAAATGTTCTCATCTCACTGTTCTGCCACACGTGGACCAAATAAACTGTACTGGTGCTGTCCAAAATATAATAAAAGACAGGACCAAAATTGTGGTTCAAAGCAGTTTGAAAAGAATCACTTCTTTAATGTGTTTAGCATGAATCCCAAGACCCTGTTATCTCCAGCTCCTCTCAGCCTGGTGGGCCCAGCTTTCCCAATTCCCAACATCCTTAATTGCATTTCCTGTAAAAAATGACCAAACTTAAAAGGTTTTTTTTTGATTATCGTGTTGGTAACATGTCTGAATGGAAAAACAAAATCAGCTGAATTCTTACTAAAGCTCTTGGTTCAGCTAGCAAATGCTGTTTAGCTCATTGACACTAAAGAAACTAAAAATGAAACTCAGATTTCTTTTTTATCAGTACCCTCATGTCCTCCACACTAACACTCCACAGTGTTTCCTTCCTAATGGTACAACACTGTTTACTTAAAACGCATGTTTTTGACATAATGAGGGAATGAAAAGAGGCAAGTTCCCCACAATCAGGATGCCAGACGTCCCAGAATGCTCTGCATACCAAAGCTTCTGTTAGCAATATACAATCAACAAGAACAAATTTTCAGATGTGGACAGCTGCCTTTGGTGGGCCTGCACTGGTACAGTCAGTACATGATGCTAAAAAGAAATCTATTATTCCAAAAGTCTGACTGAAACTGGACTAAAAATCATATTAGCATGTTAGTCCAGCTGAAATAAAACCGGATCACACTGGACTAACAAACATGGATAATATGGTTGGAGATCATGTATACGGCTGAAATGATCTGAATCTGGCCTAAGCGTTCTGCGCATGCTCCAGTGTTTGCACGCCAGGCTTTGAGATAGACGTTGAACAGCATGGATGTGTTGCCATGAGGCAGTGTTATGAACAAAACCTTAACCGATGGATGAAGGATGTTAAAAAACAAAACTTTACGGTACAGAGCTTTAATAGTGACACTTTAAAAGTCTACATCCTGTTATCCTTTTGCTAACAGGTTCTGCTGACTGTTTTGATACACAAATTCATCAACCAGGAGGCGACTTGATGGTAACAAGCTGAAAGGGGCATATCACCACCTATCTTACTCCTTCTATTAACTACTTTTTGTATTTTTTTAATAATTCGATTCCTGCCCAGAGCATTGTAAACCGGAACAAGGAGAGCAGATCTGTTTAATTGCCTCTGACAGTAGCTCAACTTAGCGGACTTGACAACAACAATTTCAGCTCCACTTTTTAATTCTGAACAGCAAGATAAATCTGTTAGGAGGAACGTTAAGTGAGGATTTGCAGTCCTCACAGAGTTTCATCTGGACCTGCAGTGTTGGCTGAACATTACATCACTAGAGAACTTAAACGTAAACTAAGTTGTGAAAAAAGGATCAATTAAGATTAGATAAAATAAGATCATACTTGATGCTTTTGTGCAAAACTCTGCTCACTTTAGTAACATGGGGTAAGATGAGCGAGGTGAGAGTAGAGGAACGTCCCTGAGCAGGATTTGTGGTAAAGGCGTTATTAGTAATTTTGATATTTTCGTTCTATAATTGTTCTTTACCTTTTTCCTCTTCAAATATACACGATTTAGAGTTATGAACTAATACAACCAAAATGGAAACAGTAGTTAATAAAATTTCAAACACTCCCCAACCAGCGTTCAAACACGGCTTTTGCAGGTATACTTGACCCAAAATGAAACACGTAAATTCTTATAACTATATGCAAATGATTTGTTTTTATACTCAGCCTTTTTTAGTGCAGGGTGCCTAAAACTTTCTCTGAATATTTCTGAACCAGATTGGAAAATCCTCACAGGAGCTTTAAGCATAAAAATCATGGAGCTCAAATCCTCAAAATGACCAGCTGTCAGTCCTGATGTCTACTCTGTTAAACCAGGTACCAGAATTTAAAGAAAACTCAGACTGTGTGACTGAGTGTTCAGTCACCTGGCTGGGTGAGATGACAGGTTGTGTATTTGTGTTTGTTTGGACCTCTACACTGTTATTTCAGCTCATTACAACACACAGCCAGTTTTTACATGCAGACAAAGTGATAATTTGGCTTTAGACAGAGCTCTGCTTTATGGTGACCAGCCTGTGTTAACACGTGTGTGTTCACACATCTACACACTTTCAGTGTAGGCTCTGCTCTGTAATTATTTGTTTGTGTCATCTCCACCAGTCTCCGCTCAGCTGCTCTGGCTGTGTGAATATTTGCACAAGTGCAGTTTTAGGAAGCAGAGGAGCAGCTTCAGCTGAGTGATGAGAGGAGGTCAAAATAAATGAGGAGGAGGGATGGATGAGTGGAGCGCAGCAGACAATGGGCTGACAGACTATTGTGATAAATAGCTTTAGGACAGAGGGTACTATGGTGTCATGTAACACCCTATAGGCATCATATGTCAGCTGTCACAGCAGTGTGTGCATCATTTCATACTTCATCTGATGATGGAATCAGGAATGCTCTTCACATTCATGTATTCATTTATACAAACTCACTCCTCAGATCATCGGTTCATTAATGACAGACGTGTGAGTGACATTATCACTGAAGGGGTGCGCTTGTTTGGGCTTTTTTAAGGCCTCAACAGGCCATCCAGCCTCTCTGCAGATCTGCTCCCAACACATGGAAAAAGAAAGCTCTTTCAGGGAAATGAAAAATGATTTTAAATGTGGTTATAAAAAAAAATATTAAGATATGTCTTCTGATTGATATAAACTTCTTTTTTGAGTGTTAAAGTATGATCCCAGAGAATTTTGGCTCAGACCTCAGTTTAATCTTACTGTTGTGGTACTTGGTCTGTGTCTGTAGTTTCTGCTATTATTTACACACTCTTATCTTCTCATCATTTTTTTCTATCTTTTACCATAGCAACCTCTCCTGCCCCGCATCAGAAAAACAAAGTCATCCACCTTTGCTTTGTCTACACGAGTCTGACAGGAACTGAAAACGCGACAGAATCTCCCAAAACAAATACGACCGGGGACGTCAAGGAAGCATCAACATGTTGGTGCATATCAACATAAACATGTTGATGGATGTCACTTAGAGTCAGTGTTCCTCCCTTTCGGTAATTGTTGTGTTAGTTTGTTAGCGGCTCTGCCCGTCTTCTTGATTTTCTTCTGTTTCTTCATTGAGTTAACAGCGCTGCCACTTTCTTAAATGAATGAGTTGGTGGTTTTTGTGTGAATGGATCATAATCAGAGGAGGCAGCTTCAAGAGCAGCAGCTGGAGTGCCAGCAACTCTGTGTGTATGTGTGTGTGTGTGTGTGTGTGTGTGTGTGTGTGTTTGTGTGTGAGAGAGATAGAAAGAGAGAGAGAGGGAACCAGAGAGAAAGAGAGAGAGAATCGTGGTTATGCCTGTTTTCTGTGCCTGGGGACCGGATCTTGGAGCAAAGGATTGTGGGTGCAGTCTGGTTCTGGTTGACTGGCTCTGACAGAGAGGGGGGGGTGGAGAGAGAAAGAATTAGAAGAAGGAGAGAGAGAGAGAGACACAGAGAGAGAGAGAGAGAGAGAGAGAGAGAGAGAGGGATGGTCTGTAATTAGCGCTCTCGGCCAGCCGACTGCCACATTCCACATCTGTAAATGACAGAGTGCATGTGGACTCTCTCTCTCTTTCTTTCTGTCTGTGTCTCTCACCCTACTGCTCCAGTTTTGCCAGACAGTCTCCAGTTGTTTCCACATCACAGCTTTCAAACCGCTACAGGAATGAGGAGACGAAGATGAGCCCTCCTCATCTTCCTCCCTTTGAGACTCTGAGGTCTCTCTCTCCTGTCCTCTCTTCTCCGTCTGTGACAGCGTCCCTCCTTCTGTCAGCTCAGATCAGAGATCAGAACAGGTGTAACTAGCGTAAAAGAGGGGACCGTTCACTCACCTGTGTGTTTGAACAGATCTCCTTGTAGCTCCTGATTCTGTAGTCTGCTTCAGGTCCGGCTAATCTACTGAACTTTCAGGTGTTTGCTGTATATTTACATCAGGAGGTGATTCATTAAAACTAGTTAAAAATGCATTTACACTTCATTATAACTTAATAATCTTTTTATAAGAGGGTAGTGAAGCTAAGAATAGACGGAGTTTAGACACCAATCATGTTGGTGTTGGTTGAGGATGCTGGGTGTGATCAGCTCTAGACTTCGACTTGTACTCTGGGTATAATGAACTGGAGTTTGGGTGAAGAATGAGAGCTAACAGTAACACATAGGAAAAACAAAAATGATGGGGTGTTAAACTAGAGGAGGAAATGATCAGCTAGTTAGAGCAGGAAAAGAGAGTTGATCTGGAGTCGTCAATAAAACTTTAAATGCAAGAACAATGTGTAACCATGTTTACATATGAGCATCTTTATTTAATATCGATTAATATTAATTTACACAATTGCAATGCCTTGATTTAGTAAGATTAGTACACAGTCACAGCCATTAATGCAAAAGTACTAATAACTAGCATAATCATTTCTTTTGGTGTTTTGGTTTTCGGCCAAGAACTTTCATTTCGGTGCATCCCTACTTTTCATGTATTTGCACTTTTCAAACTCTGTTTTTTTTTTCACTTTGCATAGATCTTGTTGATTAGATGTCTTACCGTGAGTTGTATTGCCAAATATCATCACGAGTTCATAGAGCTCACTTAAAAATGACCAGATTCACTCGGCTTTTACTGTGTCCGACTGTGCTTTGCTTATCTACTCCATGAAACTGTCCAGCAAACACAGATCAGCATTAGCAGTCATACATAGTGCTGTGTAATGAATAAATGACACTTCCTCTGTCGTCAGATATGGGTGAAGGAGTGTGCAGGATTTACAGAGATCTCTGCACAAATAAAGATGCCTGCTGCTGCTGCTGCTGCGCATGAGATTAACAACCCCGCTGAAAACGAAGCAACATTTAACTGGAAAGTAAAACCAACTCTGAAATACTGTACAAAAACTACACTTTACATAAATGCAGGTCTAGACTGTGCTCTGTTATACGATTTGTAAAGAGAGTTTGCATTAAAGTCAGCCAGGCTCTGATGGTAATGATGAAACAGACTCAATCCCAAAGGGGATATAAGTCATTTTTTATCCATATATATCAAATCACAACAGAAGAGATTTCAGGCCTCTAGACAAAGAGCGTTTACAAGCCGTACTGTGTTTGAACTGAATCTACAACAAGCGGGCTAATGAGAGAGAGGTGCGCTGCTGTCACAGTCAGGGGAAATGGAAAAGCCTGACAGGAGAAACATTTTTGTTAGAGGATGGTAATGAGCAAGATGATGGTACAAACCAGCATACCAAAGCGCCCAGTGCCCCCAGCTTGTTTCCTCATTAGCTGGTTTCTGTGTGTGTCTCTGTGAAGGTGTATGTAGGGACAATCATTAGTGTGATGGAGGCAAGGCTGTTTAGTTTGTTTCTAGCCTCAAAACAGCCGTGAGATTACTGTCAGTGCAGCTGTGTCATGTCCTGTCACACTCTGACAGAGAAGAGGAGACAGAGAGGAGGGGCTGTGTCATGTTTGATCACTGATCACCTGAAAAGCAGCTCTCTGGGTAATGATGTTAAAAAATCTCTCTCTGTTTAATAAGTTAGGGTATGGAGCAGGTGTTTGTAGTTACATGGAGACTGCCATGCAGAGTTGTTACCACAGATATGTTTTTATACGACCCTTAGGTTGGTGCATTGATGGCTGTGATAGAGCAGCTGCTGCGTGTTCATGGTTTGTAGCAGAGCAGTGGATATAGAGAGGAATTTCAAGGAATGTCTGGACAGTTTGGGATGTGTGTTTTTGCAGATGTAAACATGAATAGTTTTTGTCTTCACAAGAGGATGAGGTCAGCAAAGACATGGAAAAAAAAGGTATAGTTGACCTGTGACAAAGGTGAAGCGGCGAAATGCTGATCATACACTATTTACAACAGCTTATTTGGAGCAGCACAGACCATAACCCCTCTAACATTGTTGCTGCAAATTACATTTGGCAATGTTTGTTTTTCATTCTGAAATTTCAACCATCCTCACAACTGTCTCCAGCTTTTTAACCTCGAACATCAGAGAGGTGCTGCTTCTATCAGTGAGATTATTGATGTTTCAAAGTATGTGTGAATGATAAAAAGGGAACTGATCAGGGTGAAAACATCTGAGTAAACAACATTAGCATCTAACATTGTAAAAAATGCACACTAATGTTTCAACGTACCTAAAGATGCTCACCTGATTCTGTTCAGACAGTTCAATTTGACCATTTAATTAAAGCTTCTGTAAGGAGTTCTTAAGTGGATGTGAATCGCTGAAATCAATACTGATGTGTCTTTTTGACTTCAACAAAAGACTAACACAAAAAGGAGCCACTTTTTCTCTCTGGCCATTTAAAGGACCTGTAAGCACTGGCAGGAGGTGTCAGACTCAGGAATTAACCGCACACTGCTGATCCTTTTTCACTCTCTGTGGTGAAGAAGACTCTCCACTGTCAAATAACTGCAGGTTCAGGATTTTGTCAACAAATTGCACATAAACAGAACAACTGCTGCACAGGCTGATTTGATTATTGAGCAGTTATTGTTCCTGATTTCATTAAACCCATGGCAGTAGTCTGTGTTTATCACAATGAATAAGAAAAGTTATTGCATGCACTTTTGCACAAGCTATTGGAAGGAAACATGGTTATGATGTTTATATTTTTACATTGTGTTGATGTATTTAGAACTAGCTAACGGCTACTCTTAAAGACACACTCCAATGAAAATCCTGTTTTTCTTGTTGTCCACATGTTCATATGGCATTTTTCTGATGCTACAGGACGTATCATGAAAAAATATAAGTGCCAAATTGCATTGCATTTGCAGTATTTCTGCATTCTAATCACCGTGAATCTCTCACAGACCCAAACGACAGGTCAGATACAGTGAGATTTCTTACATCACAAATCCAAGCTCCGCCCCTGGAGCCCCAATATGCAGGCCAGACTCTGAGAAATAGGACAGTCGCGCAACAAGTGTGTGCGTTAGCAGACTGCAATGCAGGCAAGAAAGCTAATTATGATATTAACTTTCATCATGCCCCCAAAGACATTAGTGTCTGGGAGCTGAATAGTTCCTACATTACCTGCTACTTCTACTATACCGTTAATGTTAGGCTGCAAGCTTGTGTAAAGAGGAGTGTAAAGAGGAGTGTGCAGAGCAGCGCTGTCTTCACCCACGACTTAGAGGCAAATTGCTAATGACTTACTGGAGCTCTGCAGAAGAAAAGTCCTTGAAAATGTCCCAGGTAAAGTGATTTTTGGTAAAAACTTCATAATCACAATTTAAAGACCACTGAGAACAGTTTGAGGAGAAAAAAAGAAAAGGTTGGGACTTTAATGTGGCATCAGAGAAACTGCTGCTTTGATTTATTCTGTCCAAAGGATATATTGTGGCCCTAATCAGTGGCATGACATGTTGTGATTTTGCTCTTAACTTTGACTATCTAATTTGCATTTGCATTAAACTCTCTGTGCTTTAGTTTATGTATGGTCTACAGATGGATCACAGACTTGAATAAATACCTTGAACAAACTGCTGGTAGACTTTTAAACCTCATACAGTGTTATGACACGAGGATCAAAGGAGGAGCTGTTAGAAGGTACTGGGTACAGCTGCTCTTTGTGTCATAAGGGACAGATACAGCACACACTCATTCACACAAGGATCTTTTGGCATACCACTTTTTATAACAAGGATTAATCCGCACAGCCCTTACAGGCAAAAGTGTAAAACAGACAGCCACAATAGATAAATGGGTTTTATAAATCCCAACTGTGTAAACCCACACGTTAACACCACCTCTGAATGTGCCTGTCGTGGTGTTGTTAAGTCAGGGGCGCTCAACTTATTAGCTTTCAAGCGGTGTTTTCAGTAAATGCCTCGCCACATGGGATATATCCTTAACATCTGTTAATGGAGGCAGAATAAACCTGGAGATCACCGCAGCTGAGGAGGGATCAAAGACTCTGACACACATTGAGAGTGTGCAGGGGAAATATTTTTAATACATTTAGAGACGTGCATTTACACTCTTATGTGTAGACGGTGATACTCGGGATCAATCTATCAATACTCTGATTAAAGGGTGACACACTGTACCTCTGAACCACAGCAGCCCACCAAGACCTTCCTGTTTTAGTCAGCTAACACACACTGAAAACACTGAAACAGTTCAGCCTGTGTGTGCGTGTTTGTATGTGTTTTCTCACACGTAAACTGCATGTACATGCACACATAACAGTGCCAGTCTCTATGATATCTGTAGACAGCTCAGTGGTCCGTCCCAGCAGTGGCAGATGGTGTTCATTGGCCAGTGCCCCGTCCTTCCTCTCCCTCCTACCTTTCTTCCTGACTCCTCTCTTTCCCTTTTCCTCTCTTTCTTGGCATTCTTTACCTCATCCTATACAAATAGAGACATGAGCCATGACAGCCTTGACCTCTGGAGACTCTCACCAGACTGTTGCTGTTGCAGAGAACTTGGTGCTGCCCTGTGTGTGTGTGTGTGTGTGTGTGTGTGTGTGTGTGTGTGTGTGTGTGTGTGTGTGTGTGTGTGTGTGTTAGCCCTGCTCAATGATGGAGAACCTCATAATTTTAGATATTGATTTCTGATTTTTAAGAACATTTCCCCATGATTTGACAGTCTTAAGAGATAGTGCGGTTACTATTGTAGCATACTCAGAGTTTACTTATTTATTTAGTGGTGCAAAAGAAGGAAGAAAAGGACAAGAAGAAGCGAAAAAGATAAAATGTTGTGAGGTAATAGCTTTATTCAAGGTGACAGACAAAATCCGACGTACAATTTCGAGGCAAAACCCAATATAATGTATAAATATTAATATAAAGGCCAAGGTCCATCAGTTCTGAATCAAACTGATAATACACCATTGTTTTCTCAACAATTCAACTCCAGAAAACTATCTATGCACGGCATAAAAACTCGCACAATAAGTAATGTAGTCATTTTCTACTAAATTAGTGGATCACAGAGAGGAAGTGAAGATGTTTTGTCCCGTTCATAATGACTGCTGGATTTCGTTTTTTTCAGTGAAAGGTGTCTAGTACTCACATCAACGGTCTCCACAGTCAGTTTGCTGCTTTCTTTTGACAGCAAAGTAAAGTGATGGTGGTTGATGGGGGCCAAATAACGGTGGCTCAGCCTGCTGCTGATGCTGCACTCACTATAAGTCACTTTGCTGTCTGGGTGCCAGAGAGATGTCTGAAACTGAAGTGATGGCTGGGCAGAGCCACTGGCTGTACAGTGTTGGCACAAACACGAAACTGTGGCAAGTGAAACAGATTCCTCTTTTAGTGAACAACTTGTTATTCAATTTTGTTTGGTAGTACACAGAGGTAGGACACATAACAGAGAAACACACAAAACCTAACAACTAACAATACAAAAAGAAAAGAAAACCCCCAACATCTTCTTTCAAAGTGTATCAGTGTGTGCAGGATACAAAGGTACCAACCTTTATCTGTTAGTTACAGTCATTCTGCTGCAGATAGTTTATTTGATTTGCCATGAAGTGCCATGCTGAAATAGTGTCAACTCCATGTGAATATTAATACATGTTTCCAATGTAAGCCTGGCACCTCTGAGGCAGCAGAGATTTCTGTTCAGTTGACAAATGCCAATTTTAATGGAGCAACATATGGGATAAAATTACCCAGATCAACAGACAGAGTGGCTCAGACCTCAGCCCAAATGCTCTTTTTTACAGCCCTGCATTCCCAACACATGAACCAGTGAGTCCTTCTGTGCATACGTTGCAGTTTTGAAATGGTTGTACTTCCATTAGATAAGCCTTGAAGCAATGAAAACCACTCCAATGTGTTGTTCCAAGTCACTGGGAATACTTGTGTAAAAGGGAGGGTCTTAAAGGGTGTCTTCCCTAAAAAATGCGTAAAGCTGAGAAACCACTTCTTTGTTACACCTTCTGTTGTCCAAAATTGAGAGCAGAGGATGTGTGGTGAGCGGAGTGCTCCAGGGAACTCCATATGCTTTCACAGGCAATCAAAGTTGGAGATACAGAAAAAAAGGATAGACCTGCTAAATTGTAAGAGCGCCTCAAATCATTAAAGTTACAGAGCACATTCTCATAATAAATGTCTGAACCCCTTTAGTGCTCCAGGATGGTTATGAAAATGGTGTCCCTCCAGTGAGAGGAGAATAGTTATTAAAAATTGGAGTCTTAAGATGCCGCCTATAAGAAGAATTAGATTCTCTCTCAGAAAGACGCCATACTGACAAAGTGAAAGTCATTATGGGGCCAAATCGCAGTTTTGTTTGTCCCAAAGGGACGGCAGAAGAAACCAAATCCTCCAATCCTCCAAGAGCAAAGTTACTTTCCAGCAGATAATAGAGTTAGGGTTAAGCCATACTGACAATGGGCTTAAATCAAAAGACCAAAATTAGTGTTTTAAATTTGGAACTGACAGATCAGCATCTGATTTATGGGGCAAGAGAGTCGTCAATCTAACACATGTTACAGAGACCTTATACATTTTAATACCAATAATTACCAATAAGGGACAGATGTGTACTCCCAGATACTTACATGTATTGACCACAGGGATTCATTGATGCACAATCTCAGGATCAAACACTAATAGTTAAGACCAGTTTAGTCCAGTTAATTTTGTATATGTTCAAAATATAAGGTAGAGAGGTTGCTGCCATGGAAAAGTACAATAGTATATCATCAGCATACAGAAATATGGAGTGAGTGGTATTGTTGAAGGTAACGGGAGCAATACATGGATGTTTTTAGACTTTCTAAGTGAGTGGTTCCAGTGAGAGAGTAAGTACAAAATGGGCGGCAGTAGCTCAGGAGGTAGAGTAGTCGTCCAATAACTGGAAGGTTGGCGGTTTGATTCCCCTATCCCTAGTCTGTCTGTTGTGTCCTTGGGCAAGAAACTTAACCCACCTTGCTCCCAGTGTGTGTCCTCCACTGGTGTATGATTGTGAGTGAGTGTGGTGGTTGGAGGGGCTGAAGGCATGAATTGGCAGCCATGTTTCTGTCAATCTGCCCCAGGGCAGTTGTGTTTACCACCACCTAAGTGTGACTGTGTGACAAAATTAATGATGTATCCAATGGACAAAAGAAGGGCTTTAAGGACCTCTAATAAAGTGCGATAAAATCTGATGCATTATTATTAAAAGGCAGTGACACATAAGATTACAGGTGTGCCACAGATTCACCGACCTGACAGAGGTAGAGTGGACAAGGTTCTGTGTGTCTTCCCCACAGTATAGGATAGGAGTATAGGAGTATAGGAACTCACCAGCACACACACACACACACACACACACACACACACACACACACACACACACACCCTGGATGAACGTGAGCCAAATTAGCTCAGTCATAAATCCTTAAACTTGTAATTTATTCTGTTGAAATGCACGGAGGTGAGGCATTTTTCTTTCACTCCCTGTTTGTGGAGACATGCCAGCAGCTCTGTGAGGATCTATCAACAGCAGCCATGTTTAGAGTTTGAATACTGGAACGACAAAGCTGTTCGCCTTGCTGCGGTCTTGCTGGCATTTAGGACCTAAACCCTTACTGCGGTGTGACGATCCCCTGGAACCTTTAGGATTCCTGTTGTACTTTCTTCCTTTCCTCTGTCAATTGTTCACACTGTTTTGATGGCTGTTATGTCATTTATTTTGCAGGTATTTGTTCATAAACCAAAGTAAACTGACTTTTGTACTTGATAAGAGCAGAATCTGACCATCTTGACACCCTTGTGGTCAGAGGGCCATCTGATGTATTTGTGGTTCGACACTGTGGTTATGGTTTTGGCTCTGGTTATCCATCCTGGGTCTGATCCGTCCTTAATTCTGAGAGAGGACAGAAAAAATAAATACAAATGCCAACCCCAGTGACGTTTTGATGTTTGTGTAAAATGTGAATAAAAACAGAATACAATAACCTTTTAATCTTTTTCCACCTAAATTTACCCGAATACTCTACAAAGATATTCAATGTTCAAACTGATAAACTTGATTGTGTTTTGTAAATATTCACTCATTTAAAATTGATACCCTTGCTGCTTTTTTATCATGAGTGATTTTTTTCTTTTTCTGAACTGCCTGATGTGGTATTTGTCTCTGTCCCCTCAAAAGTTTATTTTTCTGTCTCTGTCATTTTAAATGATGACAAGGAGAGTCCATACACCATGGAGAACCTTAAACACCAGGGGACACGATGAGCAGAGACAAACTTTGTTGATGTGGAAGTAATTTAATAACTGGACAAAAACACAATCTAATGGTTTAAGGGGAATTAATTGGACCAATTCCCAAGTCCAGTCTTTGGTGTGGTGTGGAGCTAACAGATAGATAATTGATAAAATTACCAGCCTCCTTAAGGTTTTGTTGTTTGGAAACAGAGACCCAGTTATGAAGCAACAGTTGACTGCAGCACCCTGACACAGGTCTGTGAATGCTGCCCTGCTGTTTCAGGTAATGTCCTGACAGGCTGGGAAATGAAGGTAATTGGTATTTTGCTGTCACAGTCACTGTTCACTGAACCACACTCAAGCACAGAGCACACGACTCGCCACTCTTATGTTTACCCCATACTCTAACTTTGGTTATTTAGCATGTGTTATTGACTGTTTTCAGTATGTGTTTCACACAGCTTTACATAAAGGTAGTTGTGGGTTAATTAACACTTTTGTTGTTTTGTTAATCTAATATTTGTCTAAATTATTCAGAAATCCAAACTGTGTCTGAGTGTCTGCAGAGAGCTGTTTGTCCAAGCTTTCTGGTGATGTCAGATAACTAGGAGTGCTTATGGAGACGTACGTGTTTATGTGTGTGCATATGTGTTTGTGTGTATGTATGTGTGTGTGTGAGTGTGTGTGCGCACTTACAATCATCTGATATGGGACTGGAGACGGCGTGTCTTCTCTCTGTGTCCCAGCTGTCTTGGGATATGTTTGTGGGTAAGCGTGGTAGTTCGTGTGTGTGCGTTTGTGTGTGTGTGTTGATGTGGATGTGTGCCTATCCCCACTGTTATCTGTGACAGATAGTTATGAGTAGACAGACTGACGCTTTCCCAAGTGTTAGCCTTGAGGCAGGCTGGGGAGAGGCATGAGGGTGAGTGTGTGAAGGGGTGTGTGTGTGTGTGTGTGTGTGTGTGTGTGTGTGTGTGTGTGTGTGTGTGTGTGTGTGAGAAAGTAGGAGAAAAGAATCTGGAGTGCTCAGTTTTATTTGAAGCTCTTCTTTTGTTTTTTTTTTCATCTGGTTTGTAAGTCTTCTACCAATTTTCTTTCCTATTCTTACTCTCTCAGTCCTCTCAGCCTCTGATCCAGGGTCAGATTTTCACACGTTACAGAGAACAGTCATATTTACCCTCGCTTTTGCATACTTTACATTGAAGGTCCTACATGACGGTATTTTCAGCTGTTAATTTATCCCAGCCTAAATTCTTTGATTTAGTAGCAGAAAACGCCAGACAGTAGCCTTAGTTTCTAATCGCGCTCTAGAGATCTGAAAAAGTGGAAATGCTGTAATAATGAAGTGCTGTACTGATTGGTTGCCTGAATAATGTTTGTGTTTGTGTGTGTGCATACATGCCAGAACATTGTTGTTAAAAATGAAAAGCAGCCACTGTTTTTTTTTTTTTGTTTTTTTCCGGCCCTCTGGGGTTGATTCATGAAGCAGGATAAGGGGGAAGTCTGGATGATTTCAGTAAGAGTTAAGTTGTGCTGGAGCCGTCTAACTGATGGATAAATAGATAGAAGAATACTTTAATGTTGAAACAACAAAAGGTGTGATTACAAGACACTTACAGTGTTAACCAACAACACATGGGTCAGAGTACCTGGTTAGGGACCCAGCAGGTGTGTAGTGTCTCCTCTCATGGGCAGACAGTCCCACACCTGTGGAGAGAGAAGAGTGGATACATTGGTCCCAAGCACCAACATGTATAACTGATATAACCAACCCTCAGTTTAGTTTGAAGGGTCTTTAATCGTATTGGTACATCAACACCACTAAAAACAAAATCTTAAAAAAGAGAACTGTAAAACAATACTGACACATTAAAATGAGTATAAATGTGGTTAAATGAGAGTTTGTACGTGACTATGATTGTCTGTGCTGTGTGTGACAGTCGGTGTCATGGTCATGATGGTCTCCAGGGTTCCTGTTGTCATGTGATAATAATCCACGGTAATCTAGTTACATGTAGTTTTTGATGGTTATATTCACTGTATATTCACTAAATCTTACTAATATTGCACACATATTTTCCTTCAAATGGTTCAGTCAAAGTCTGAAATCTAATACTGCACTGTACTGCCTGTACTGTTTCTTTCACCATCCGGCTTCCCAGTTCAAAATTTGAGGGGCTGTAAAATGTTTACACTAAGTTTATTATAGGGCTGGACGATAAACCGAAAATTTACAGATACTGAAATTTATGACAATAACCAACGTCATTTTGCCCATATCGGTATATTCGGTGTCAAAAAATATATATATCAAAGTTGGTTTTGGATGTGTGTAGGTAGGCTATAGTCTCATGTCCCTTTAAGACGCTGTCCTACGTCAGAGACGTAATTCTACCCCATCTGTACAAACAGGCAAAGACAGGTGAGGAGATGGAGGACGGTTCAAAAGTTGTAGCGGCTGGAGTAGATTAAGTTAATGTGGGCAGCTTGTGGAGTAGTTATCGTCCATTTATTGTTATGGAGGTGAACTGCTCAATATATCATGATATTGATTTGAGGCCATATCGTACAGCCTTAGATAGATTTTCACTGGAATAAAGACCTAATCACAGACCCTGCAGGACTAATTGTGCAGAAAGAAGTTCGTTCACAGTGCGAAACAAAGCAAAGAAATAAAAACAGAGAGAAAGGGGAAGAGGTTAAAGACTATGAAGAGGACTACAGCCCAAATGCCTGAGATATAGCGCTGTTTAAGGACTGGGAAATGGAAAAGAAAATGTCACAGACTGATGGAAAAACTCAGCCAGGTGTTGCACTGACTGCGGTCCTGTCCAGCTTGTTTTACTTCATCATCAGTTAAATGTGAGTAATAACGGCTAAGCCGGCTCGTTTTTAGAGGGCTGTAGAGTTAACTGTGATCATGGGAGCAGCTCAAACTGTGAGACTAAAGGGACAGCGTTTGCTCCTGGTCTGTGTCCTGATCAGTGAGACCTTCAGGTGCTTCAGGGTCAGGGTCTGCAGAAACAGTTTTCTCTCTGTGTCAGTGCTAAACAACAAACCCTCCCTCTGATGCAGCAGAGCATTGAAACTCAGTTACCCAGCAGAGTGAGCACTGAATTAGATCATACATTAGATTACACTTTGTCATAATCGTGTGAAATTTGTCCTTGCACTATAGTCTGTCTCACAGAAAAAAGAGGAAACACCTTTGTGTGCTGCGGAGGAGTGACAGAGTCAGAGTTCATTCAAAGTCCCTCAGTGTTTCCTCAGCTCTTAAAGACTTCTGGGACCCTCAGCTTATTTGTTTCCTTTAGTCCCAGCGAGGACCTAACTAACTAGCCAACACATCAGACCAGTTAACAGCCGACAAACCACTCAGATCTCTCAGGGGTACTACTATTTCTTTACCCTGTACTTTAGGGATCCAGTCCCTGCTGTGGACCTCAGGGTCTCGGGGATCCATGGGTTTTCTTTTTGAAAAGGTTGCCCAACAGGGGACATGACTTGTGCAGGTCGTGCATGATATTGTATCCAAATAGCATTCATTTACCAAGTCTTCTTGTTCAGCTCTGACATCACAGAACACCAAGGAAACAAAATGAGCTGGGCTGAATCCCGATGAGCAGATTGAACCAGCAATTTTTTCAATATTGAAAAGTATTCTGTTAAGTTATGCATAAAAAAATTTACAAAATATGTAACTTAGAGTACTCACTCTGCATTAAATGATCCCCGTCGGTGTTATAACTTTGAATTACTATTACTTTACTGTGCGTTATCATTTACTGATTTTTAAGGTTGAGCTAATTTTAAACAACGGTTTGTACTGTTGGGCAGTTTCTGCAAATGTCATATATTTGTAGCGTCACTGTCTGACATCACATCACTCCTGTGAGATCTAGAGACTTAAAGACAGTTCAGTTATTTTTTGTAATAGAGATATTATTTTGTTTCCCTGGAAAAAAGGGAAATAAATAACAACAAATACCAAAATGAAAACAAACCAACATCGGCATCAGCTATCAGCCAAATTGTAATTTTAAACATCGGTTTCGGCTGAGAATTTCACAATCCGTGCATCCCTAGAATAAAAGGTTGCGGAGGGCCTCATGCCTGCCTTTGCCCAGGGCCCCCATATTCCTAAATCAGCCCCTGGATTGAACACAAGTCCATCCACTGATCGAGCTGGTATTCAAGTGCTGCAGCCCACCTGCATCAAAGAGTACCCTTTACTGCAGACAAACCTCTCCACCTGCCTTTAAACCCCTGTAGCACACAAGCATGTTTTCAGATGTTCAGGAAGTATGAGAAAGTATAAAAAAATTTGTTAGTAAAGAAGATTGAAGGAAAAGTATTAAACTGAATGCAGATTTTTAATGTGTAGAAACTACTGCGGAGAGGATGAGCAGCTGTGTATCATCAGGGCTTGAATTACATACACGATGATAGAAGGACAAGAGGAGGTGTGTGTATGTGTTTGTGTGTGCATGTGTGTGTGTGTGTTTAAGGTGAAACTAGGTGAGAAAGTCTCATTTTCTTGGTTTTCTTCTCTTCAAACACAGACACACTTAAGGACACAGAGCTGGTCACAGTTTCAGTGTCATGGAGAAATGAGTTCAATCCTTCAGTCTAACTTCTACGTTACTTTTCTCTGTTTTCCCTCCTTTCCTCTTGTTTGCAGAGAGCAGATAGAGGTAATCTGTAAATATATGTAATGTTGTCTCAACACCAAAGCCTTGTGAAATAAGTGTAAAGACAATCATAACACCTTTGAACTTCACTGGATCTGTTAGTTTCTCTTTGTTTGTCTTTAATTTCTCAGGGTGTTGATCATTCATCCTGTTTTGTTTTTCTTGCTCCTTGTGAGAAAATATGATAATGATTATGATTATGAAACAAAATCTCACAGTGTGTTTCTTTGAATAATTTTCTTATTAGATGCCTCACTGAACCTCTTTCCCATCATCCATCTTAATGCCACATTTTCTTATGCAGCCACTAATAATTTTAAAAAATCAATACACAGATTTATATTACAGCTAAACAGCAAGTTTACTGACTACCTATTAAAATGATTAAACAAAAATTGCCTGAATTAATGAGCGGAAATCTAGATTTGGGGGGGAAAAAAAGAGAAAATAACAGCGGAGGCTGTGTAGGGAAGGACAAAAACAGAGCGAGTCAGCTAGTGAAAGAAAGGAAAAGTGAAGAAGAAGAGAGGAGGCAGACATGGAGCGGTCAGGACTGATTGGCTGAGTCACCTCTCCTCAGGCGAGAGGGTGCACAGACAGGTGGCTAAGAGTGTGTGTCCTCCTCACTTACTGAGATGTGTGTGTAATCCTGTTAGTTGTGTGTGTTTGTGTGTGAGTATGTGTATGTGTGTGCAGAAAGATACTGACCAGTTGTGATCTTTGATGTTCAAAGGTGCCAACCTGAGAAGGAAAATACTCAGGAATGGATAAAGGTCACATCTCAAACACACATACTATACACACATAGAGATATCTCTTTGTTTGTCACACATGCAGGTTTCCAATAGAAGCTGCAGAAAGAGAAAGACAATATTCTGAAGATCAGTGAATAATGTGATAAAATGATGATTTTATTTTAAAGGCTCATCTCTTCAAGTGAGAAGAATTGCAAGATAAAAGAATCAACTGTCACAAAAAAACAAAGCAGCTCATTTCAACTAAAAATGTCAATGATGTGTTCTGCAGCAGAATTGATGACATTAATGTGCAGCTACTGCAGAACCTGATATTTGGTTCATTTGATGAGCAGAGCCTTTGTGGATCATCTACCAGGACCATTCCTGAGACAGAGGCTGCTATCTCTTGTCCTCTAACTGGTTTTTCAGGTGCACTCGGTGTTTTCACAGATTCACTGATTTTTAACACTCGAGGGAGGTCAGAGTGGGGGAGAGAGGAGGTTCAGTTTTAACTGGATGGACTGTTGTTGTGAGGGCTGCAGGCTTGAATACTCATAACAAGGCGTTGATTCATTGTAGGTTGGTGAAGGGATTGAAGGGTACGTCCAATGTTTAGACGCTTATATTCCTCAAAGTGGGTGGGTTTAAATCAAATTAGCAGCCTAGTGTTGCAGCAGGTCATTTCCCACTCACTCTTGCTCTCTCTCTCTCTCTCTCTCTCACACACACCCTCTCACCTCAGCCTCCTTCTCCGCCCACTATGCTCTGAATAAAGACATCAAGACCAAACAAATAGCCGTACCGATGAAACACATTTCCTTTATTTTTACTTGTTTGTTTGACAGAAACAAATCCAGGAGACTTCCCTTCATATGCAAAGTAGATCCCATGTTTACAGGTTTCTAGTGGTGGCTTATTTGCAGCGTCTGTCCCTGGTAAAGCTTCTGAAAAACAAAGACGAGAAGTAACAGAGGATGGAGTTTAAAGGTAAATCAAAGGGAACAGTTTTTCACTATGGGGGCTGGTTGTCATATTGGGTGGGTGCGCTTGCAAATGCATGTATCTGTAATTAGTCCACAAAGCTGCAAAAGCAGTGTTACAAGTGAGACTCTAATTTACAGCATGACACTGTGACAGAGGAGTGTTTGATGTCAGCTGACTGTCGGAGCTTCTCTTCCTGAGCGGTAAACATCTGTTTCATTTACCAGCTTGTTGTCTCTGTATGCCCATGATGAAGAGTTGTGCTAATTTTGTGCCTTCAGCTACATTTTTTAAATCCACCTTACCTTTCCTTGAGGCCATCTCTCCTCTGAAAGGCAAGCATGGGAAACAGAAACATGATTTCTTAGTCAGTTAGTTAGACCTTTGATTGGCATTTGTCCTTTTCTGGTATTTGAACACCGTTTGAGCGTCCCAACTTCAAAAACAGATGGTAAAGTAAAAATTCATGCTGATGCCTGTGATTTCTAAACTTGTTCACCCTCTCCAAGTAACACCCTTACAGCTGGGTGATTAGGGGTGTGTTATGACTCCTGTCACTCATAGTGGAAGTGAACGGAGAAGGATGCATGTACAAGCTGTATGAACTCAGCCCTGCTAGCCTCTTCACACCAGCTGTCCAGTTTTATTGCGTTGTGTTTGTGTCCATATCTGAAGTTATATGCAGATTCATTATTCCATATAAATTAAAACCTAATGCACATCGTTATCTCGGCATGTTTTGACATGTTGTAGATGGGTTTTCAATGAGTGGGTGGAAAATAAAGAGACATAGGGCTAAGCTGCAGATATCTGAACATGACTTCTAACGCACTGCATTATTCTAAGACATCCACCGACATTCATGTGGTTAAATACTGCAGTAAAACGTGTAGTGGATGATGATACATGGACAGGACTTTGGCTGGAGGACACTAGCTGCATCACTTTGTCTTCTAGTCATAGTGTGTTCATCAAAGTTTAGTCATTATGGTTCTTTCATGCAGACACAAAGGCTCATTGGTTTTTATTTCATTAGGCTGTACCATCAAATCAAGTTACGATAGCATAATCAATGGATCACTAAGTTTTGTATGGGACACACAACCTGAAACAAGAATATTGAAGAAGAGGATATAAAACGCACTGCTTTGGTTTCATTATCACATAACAGTATAATCAGGTATCCATGTCAGGAGCATCAGCAGTGTTTTCTCCTAAAAAATCTTAATGAAGCAACTTAGCTGATTCTACGACATAACGCTTATGTGTCTAAATATTATTCATACAGGGGTTTCGAAACAAAGAATTGCGCTGATATACCAAAGTAAATTACATTATTAACATGTTCCTTTTGAGCAATTCCACCACTTAAATTAAAGTTTCTATTGGGAACTTTTAACTAGATTTTAAAAACTATCTTGCTTGTCCTGATATATCTGTGTCACCTACAACAGCAAATGAGCCCATCAGGGGAAGATAAGATATTTCTGAAGAGTGTAACTCCTACTTTCAAAATTTGTTGGTTGGGTCTTCCCACTGACAAAACGATTTACGGCACGCAAGCCAGAAGTTTCAGCACTTAGACAGGGACACGAGAGAAGCAGTAAGTTGTTGCTAAGCTAGCCAGTGAAAACAGAGCAAAAACAAATGGCTACACGTGGCAGATGATAGGACAGGGCCCACAAAAAGAAAATGAATTAGAACAGAAGTACAAAAAAAAGGAAAAGGGGAATTTGATTGAGGGATTCCTTCTCTACAGATAATGTAAGCTGTGCTTTTTTACACTGCTGGCTTATTGATATGGAGATATAATTTGACCAAGGAAAGCTGACAACTTAAGCTTTCTATACTAATCTACGGCCGAGTTATCTGATCTGTTTGTTGTAGGTTTACTATTACAACTGGGACGTAACTGTAAGCTAAGAATACAAGTCACAATAATACAACATTACTTAGTTTCACTGGCGACATATTATATTTCAAAGAAATGCAAATATATACATTACCTCATCACTATGCATCCTGCAGATACAACAAAACAAAAAAAATACTAATAAGTCCTGCCTTGTTTCATTTGCCTCCAAAACAACTACATGCCAGACCAAAGACCTTGCGTCTTCATTACAGTACGCGTAAGAGCTCATGGGAAATGCAGCCATCATTCTGGAAAAACACTACCACTTTTGTCCATAGTGGCCGCCAAACGTAGTGGAAAGTGAAAACTCTGTTCAGCTGCTTTAAGAAATGAAATGTAAACAAGAGTCTCTTATTTTGAGTGTTAGCAGCAGCTGTCAGCATTATCTCCAAACCCAGTGCAATTATGGCCCAAAAGTATTGAAAAATATCCAACTACACAAACAGTAGACTTGTCTGTCATGCTGTAGTTTGATGGCTGAGGAGGGTGCCAGAGGAATAAGGGTGTGACGGCAGACATAAAAATTATGGATATGGACATGACTGTGGCTGCAATACAAAATGGTACATTTGCTCAAAGTATATGGACCATAAATGAAATGACTGCTCGTAGCATGAAAAAGATGCTCTCACAGACAAAGTACTTTTCTATTTCTGTGGAAGTTTTGGCAGCATCGTCGCCATTATTGCTGTTAAAAATGACAAACTCATCAGGAGCTGATCTCACGGGACAGCTCATCACCTCCAGGAGAAATCTTAAACTGTTTCATAACCATTAGAAAGGAAGCTAATGCCTTAGCCACAGCATCATCAGGCAGAGCTGAAATATGCTGGGTTTGACCTGTGGGGTCGGGTTGTTCCTGGCATCACTTAGCAATGAGATTTAATCACTGTTGTTATTTTTGACCAATCAGAATCAAGTATGCAGTGAGGTACAGATAACACACCTAAGATGTATTTTTAACATGTATTCTTTGAAAGTGGTTTGTTGAAATACTACTACATGCATGTACAGGTGTGTCATCATCGCTAACATCTGTGTGTGTTTGCATCATAGTGTGCTCTTCCTTTAGTCTTTGTGTGTGTTTAATGTTTGATAGTCTTTTGTGCCTGAGCCACTTAGCTAAACCAACACTGCTGTAATGATAAGCCTCTCTCCTCCTCCTCCCCCTTCTCTTCCAGCAGTGTGTGTGTGCGTGTGTGTGTCTGTGTGTGTGTGGGTATTAATGATCCCCTTGTTAAAGTTTAATGTCTCTGTTCCACTGTTGTCAGGGAGATTTACCACTGAGCCCTATGGGAAATGTCTGCCCCACTGCTCAACGCCTGATGGCAAACGTGTACTCCCATGCACACAAATATGCTTACACAAACACACACATGCACACAACACATGCAGAGTTGAACATGTGTGTGCACGTAGAGGATGCATAAATGGTCATATAATTCCCTTCACCTCTTTATATCAGTTTCATTACCATGAGGGAGTCGATGAAGACTGCCGCTGTCGTCGCTCTGTGGAGGGGAAATGTGTGTCTTTGTGAGTGTTTGGCCGTTCTTCACACATGGTTAACTCCTGCACTAGATCAAGCTTAGTGCTGTCTCTTCATCCCCATGTGTCTCTGTGCTGGAACCTGATCATGCACACGCTGAAGCAGGGTTTTCCTCCTTTACTCAGCGCTGTGATAAGTCTTCTCTTCCTAACATCAGAGCTGTATGTGGCTCTGAAACACGGTTTGTTTGAACTTGCACTGGGTGCTTCACTTAGTTTGGAGACTGTCAGGTCCACAATGAAAACAAGGGATGCTGACTGAAGGCTTTTCAAAGCAAAGATATACAGCCGGCAACCTCCACTCATTCACTTTAGTTAAAAAAAAAAAAAAAACTATTGCAGTGTTTCGACTGTGTTTCCAGTTGTTTTTAAATGAAGTTCACATGAAATTTGAAATGAGGTGTTGTAAAAATGTCCCTGCACCAAATATGATCACAGAACTGCAGTGTCAGAAAGCTCTACTGCCATAACTGAACTCAGTCAAGTGTTTAGAGTCTGTCGTCAGTTCACAGACTTTGATTTCTGATCTGCTCAATGCTGAAACTTCTCTACTCACTTCACTGAATGGATGTGTAATATGTGACTCCGCAGTTTCAAAGCCAGTGCTGGTCTAGTTTGTGGAAGCTTGTGGAAACATGAAAGCTTACAGTCTCCTTTCAAAAATAAAAGGTTTATCTCTCTGTTCAGGAGAAATTTTGTCTAACGCAGTTTAACTTTTGGATAATTGAAATAAACAATGTGGTAGTTTAGCTATTTTGACTTTTAGTTACAGGGAAGAAATATTTGATCAAACTAAAGTTCATGGCAGTTTGAAGTTACTTATTATAAGGCTTTATGTATCTTATTGTTTTCTGCCTCAGTTGATCTTTTAATAGTGTAATGTGTTATTATGCTGTGATGGTTTTAACCTCTGTATGCAGCAGAGATTACCGATTGGTAATTTGTGTTCCAACTATCTGGCAAGTAGGGATGGGCGATAGATTATTGTACACGATACGTCATTAGAAAAATCCTTTATGAAAAATATTTGCCATCTCATGATAAATACAATAAATGCAAGTTGAGGACATAAGCGTGAGTGACAGACTCACAGTCATAGCCCACACCGAGAAGAATAACAAACAAACATGGCCGAAGGTAATAAAGAAGATGTTTCTGAGCAGCTCGTTACTGAACGAGGCTCCATGTGAGGGATTTCCTTCAAGATTGGGGTTTAGATGAGTGCAATCAGGTATGTCTGACATTGGACAGTGGATCTGCTGCTGTTCACTCTGTGCAGTAAGAGTTTTGAACAAATGTTGAAAATGTTTTCACATTTGAGACTTGTTTGATGTCATCAGTTTTCTCCATAACCTACCACTCAAACTTGTGGTTAAGTTACTTATTTGACTACTCTAACTGGTGTTCTCAAGACAGAATGAGTCAAAAATATAGATTGGAATTATAATATTTTTTATCAGGATTGCCAGAATGGCAGATCTCATTGTGATTAATTTTTTAAGCCCATATCGCCCATCTCTACTGGCAAGTCCAAAGAAAAGAGAAAAGTCAGATTTAAAAAAAAAAAAAAATTTCCTGTGGTTAAATATGAGATCACAAAGTCTGGAGGTAAAGGATGTCACAGTGGTTTTTTAAGTGTGTGTAACATTAGCAAAAATAGCGCCACCACCCTGTGGTTCTCTCTGCTTGTGTCAGTCCGCGTGTCTTGTGCCTGCTCCACGTTATAGCGGAAGTCCAGTAAACCAGACACACTCCACATACGACTGAATCTCCATTTTCTAAATTGAAATTCTGGTGAGACTGACAGAATTCAATTGTTAAGTTGACTTAACAGTCACTGTCTACTCTGAATACATTTTCCACTTGCAGGATAATCCAAAATCAGCCATTGTTTCCCTGTGTTTCCAGGCAGTGCAGAAATGTACCTACTCTAGGTCAGTTTCATCTGGTTTTTGATGCTCTGTCCAAAGGTTCACACTTTGTTGGAAAAACGCATAAGGCAGAAGGTTGACTTTTCAGAGACAGGAGAAAAGAGCATATTTCACATAGTTTCTGGTCTCCAGAGCTGTAGGACTAGTGTGAGATAGGGATGGATTTAAAACCTGATTCTCCAAAAACTACTGTAGTGGGACCTCAACACAAAGAGCTGAGGCTTACAGATCATGGTACCTGATGGTACTTTTGTCCTGCCCACAAAGCTCTGATCAGCTGACTTAGTAAACAATAACAATCTGTCAACAATGTGAGCTACAACATGGCAAAACAGGTGAAACTATAGGGTGACCCTACTCTGAATCCCAAAAAGAGGAAAGTACTACACCGGGCAGAGTTGCGTGCAAAATTTTGAGGGTTTTTTGAGTAGCGTTTAGGGTTTCTTATGTGCTTATGTGCTCAGTTAGTCCACAGCACACAAACTCAAAACTTCCATACAAAACATCAGATAATTGAAGGATTTATAAATTCCATCCTGACAGGCCAGACAGCCCCCCAAAAAAGGACATGTCCAGGTAAAAGAGGACGTATGGTCACCCTACGAAACTGTGAGGAGCGGTAGAGTTGATGAGTGACGCCTCACATTACACAGACTCATGACATCTATACAGCGTTAACAAACGAGAACATCTGAGGACATCGGATCCATGTTCGCAGAGAGGTGCTAATACTGTTACCTCATATCCAGCAGCATTGCATAAACCAACCAACCTGAAAGGAGAGGATGAAGACATCAGGGTGTCTGAAATGGAAATTAAACTCGATTGAAGCTGGGAATAAACAGAGTGGCATTATGGGTAAGCAGGCCCTGATTAGAGAACAGATTACAAATCATATGCGGTTATTTCCCCTGTACGGCAGTCGCAACAGATGCTGCCACCACTGATCTCTTCTGCGGAGCATTACAGCTCACAAGTGTGCGTGTTTGCCTCAGTTCAAACACATGGTATCAGACAAAGAAAGACACACACACACAAACACACAGCGTAGCTCACGTTAAAGCGCAATGGCAGGTCACTAGCAGCCATCCTGAATGCTTGCCCTCAATAACGGTGTCTGCCACCAGCATGAATAATGGACAATAATGTTGTGCTCCTCGCTCTTCTATGAATAATACATTTATTCTCTATATCCATTTCTGCCTCCGTCTTTCTCTGTCCATTTCTTAGAGATGCTGAGTGCAGAGACCAGGGAGGATCCATCCAGGGAAGAATGAATTAGAGACAAAGGACGAATTGAAGAAACAGAAAAGAGCAAGAGGAAACAAAGGAGAAACGCAAATCAGATGTGATGAAAGCAAAGTCTCTGTGATGTAAAGAGATCAACAAAAAAAGGAGGAACGGTCTTGATGCTGGACAGGACCAGAAAGTGTTGACAGGAGAGAAAAGAATCCTGCAAGAAACACAAGATTGAGAGTGAACAAGTGGCGGACAGGTGGGATAAAGAACCTGGGAGCTTTTAAAGAGGAGAAAGCCAGGGATCGGTGAAGGGAGAAAAGAAACATCTGGATGGTCTCCACAGGGACGGCCAGCCGGTTACTGCCCCTCCGAAGATGGCCTCCAACTTCAATGACATCGTCAAGCAGGGCTACGTACGCATGCGCAGCCGCAAGCTGGGGGTGAGTGTGTCTACATTGATCTATGCAGGAAGAGAGTTTCTTAAGTCCTGGTTTTCATAAAGGCTTTATTGTGATCCTTCTCCAAAGAGCAGCAAAGGTTACTGGTAGGCTGAATGTGCAATTCTTCTCGCTGGGTCACAGGACTTTTTATTTGGACCTGTCTTTCGTGTTTACAGCAAACATGCAGGAACATTTATATTTACATATCTGTCTTCACTCAGCTCCTTTATGTCTTAATCAGGCAAACACCACAACTTTTAACACTGTTATTATTATCACACCTGCTTAAGTTCCTGGTTATTTTGGAGTGATCAGCAGCTCAGACATGCACTATGCACTCAGGACATTATGTTGCTCCTCTCAGAGACGGTGGAGGTCTTTAGGCTGCTCTCACATCTGTACCCACTGTCCTTACACAGCCTTACCCTCAATTTCCACCGCACCTGAAACGGCTTCCCCATGGAACGGCAGTGATTTTTCACTGTCTGCCAATTCCTACCAGATGCGTTAGTGAGACGAATTTCGTGGCGGATTTCAGACAGTGGGAATTGCGAGAACTCACAAGAACCCACGGATTCACGTGCAGTCGCGCGTTACGAGTTGTCTCTATAGCCACATAACCGTATTGTGTCCTGTGTAGATTGTGTCCTTACAGAGGAAGAAATCCATTTCTAGCATCTCCTCATCCATGGTGTCAACGGGGTGAAATGAAGTCTGAAAGCCTTTAACTTGTTTGTCCCCGCCCACGTTTGCATGGTGTGAAATACGATCTGCCTAAAACACCTAGCATTTTATTTTGAAAAGAAGCCAGATGTTTTATTTTGTCTCTGTGCCCGACTTCCTTTCCAGCACAGGTTAATCTGTGCTTAAATTTATGCTGCATGCTGCGGTGTCCAGAAAAAATATAACTCTGGTGATCAGCTGTGGAGTCCGTTAAACCGCAGGGGAACGGAAAGTAGCAGGTGGAAATTGACACCTTAACTTGAATGTAAAAGATCAGCCGTGATTGACACATACAGCCTTTTCACAGCCATTCCAGATGAGATGGAAATTGGGGGTTACACGGACACTCATGTTTTGCCACAGTGTCAAAAGTAGGAGAGGGAATGCCTGGATTGATTTGATACGTGTTTTATCAGGTTGTCTCAAGTGTTGCTTTGCTATGGACTGCTAATCACCTCCATTCTGGGGTTTTGGCTAACCAGAATCAACAAGTAATCAACACAGCCAGAATCTTTGTGAGGAGAAAACTGTTGAAGGATGTGTGCTTTCTTTGACTTATTATTTACAGGGTGTAAATCTGCTTTATCCTTTCTGTGTACATTTCTGCTTATGGTTTGAGCCGCATGAAGTGTACGGGGAATGCTAATTTGCGTAAGTATGAGTCACTTTCTGAATGTGCAGGCAGAGGAATTCAACTTTGCATGAGTCATAATGTGGAAACGAACACAAATCAATTTGAGCTAGGATGTGTTCACCAGCTCACTTTAAATAATAGTCTGCCCTGCTGCTGCTGCTGCTGCTGCCTGTAGAGCAGAGTGAACAGCCCTGTGCAGCTCTCTAAGGGGGACTGATGAAATCCCAAACCAGCATGAGCTCAGTGCTGAGGATATTATGGGAATAAAGTTTCCTGCTCCTAAGTTTTAGCTCTCTTAATGGTCTGTGTATTGAAAAAATGTAGCCTGTGGGAAATAATGTTCCTGTTTTTAACTGCTTGACCCACAGAGAGTCTTCTGTTTACTCCCTAAGCATCCTGTATACAAATATGTGTGAGAAAAAGAGAGAGCAGCTTTGCATTAACAGGCTGATCCAACCTTTTCCTTACAATATTAAGACTGTACCTGTGTGAGTGCATACCGGACAACTTGGAAATTTCTATTAGGAAAAGAAATAGAGCCTGCTCTTTTAGTATGTATAGTGTATGTTTTGGGGAAGTTGTAGGATCTCTATCAAGGCCAAGTGTTCTTACATTTAAAAATTATATATATACAGTTTTTGATTGATTTACATCCAGTTTTCTCAGCAGAACGTCACATCAATGCATGTACCCTCTATTCTATCACTCATCCCAACCAAACCACAAGGTCGCCCATCAGCAAGAGGTCAAGGTCCTAAACAACACGGTGTAATCTGGAGACACCACAGTCATATGATGGGGGTGATTTTTTTCTTTTATAATCTTGTTTACATGAGCTGATCTACTTTGATAGATCTGATCTATCTTTTTACATGTTTAAAGATGACCATAAACATTCAAGAGGTCATGTGTGTCAGTGGATCTCAAAACCCCAACAATTAGGACTCATTATTCAGTGGCAGAAATCTGAAGGACTGATCCAACAGCTGAGGTCATGTGAGCGCAGGGCTCTGAGTCCAGAGTCTTCCTTAGTCCACTCACTAGGAGTCCAGTCCTGGTCTCTGGTCCAGTTGTAAAGACTGCCAGGTTTTGACACTTGCAGTAACTGCTTTCTGTCTCAGTCATGTTGTCAGAGGTCTAAATATAAGTGTCTGGGTGCATTCACACAAGGACTGTTTGGTTCGTTTTAAAAGGACTGTGGTCCCCTTACTCCTTTGGTCCAGGTGGTTTGAACGCGCAAGCAAACTGTAGTCTGGATCAAACAAACAGACCATGGTCCTCTCGAAAATGCAGGACTTGGTCACCCTCTAAATGAACCATGGTCCGGTGTGAACGCAGCACTGATGCAGCCGGACTTTTTATATGTCAATATGAATCAATAACACATTAACATTGTAATAAAGCCAGGAAATTAAGCAGACGGAGAACAGCCAGTCAAAACACTGGACTGTCTGTAAAACTGGACGAATGGCAGAGGGTTTGTGTTCTGATACAATAGTCAGGTGATAAATATTAAATACCCAGGTGTTCTTCTGTTCAACAAAAATACTGACAATATGTTATAGGCATTCCTTTGCATTAATGCCAGACATCTCCAACGTCTGATGGTCAGATACTTTATGTGCGTTGTGGAACAATGGAGATCGTGCCCCAAATGAACGGGTGACAGACAATGATTTTCCCTCATAATTTTCCTCTTTTTTCAATAATTTGGTTCGCTTAGCTAAAGTCCCATGTGACCAAATTCAAAATGCAACAATGTAAAGATTTGGTTCCTGAACTGGAGCTTCTAAAATAAAGGAATATTCTATTCTATTCTATTCTATTCTATTCTAAGCGGACTTTTGGTGAGAAAAGCGCCTTAATCACAGTTACCAGATGTTATCAAACTGTTAATGAAGTGGTGTCTGATCAATAGAGAGCTCCAGGATGAAGATGACAGACTTTTGCAGGAAAAGAGTTTTAAAAGTTTGAATCGCATGTAAAAATGGGATGCATGCAGTGTTGCTGAAGCTTCTTTGGTGCCAGGATCAGACCCAGCATGGACCCAGACAGGTAGTACAGGTTTAAAGCACTTCTCAGAAAAACCCCGATGGACATGAACAAACAAGGGCCCACATGGACGTGTTTATTCAGCTGATCAAATACAGGTGGAAGACTTTTGTAGTTTCATCTTGTACACTGGTGTAATATCTGTTGCTACACCTCATATGGAAAATGAATGTCAGAGCGCCCCCTTGAGAAAACTGCACCAGCTGCTGTTAAAGGTTACAAATTGAGACATGATGAGAGGTGTCTTGATTCAGAGGAAGGTTTTTGTTTATGGACGACTGAGTTCATGTTTTCATCAAACTGGAGCTGGGAGGTGAATTAACCCACCAAAGCATATAAGTCCCTCTCTCTCTCTCTTTCTCCGCCCTGTCTCCCTTCTTGAGCTTTGTTTTGAGCACTAACTGCTCCAGTTTTTGTCCTTATATTATCCCCCTCTCTCTTGCTGACACTGCCCCTGTCGTTTAATTGCTCTGAGTCGTCTCCTTCTCCCTCTGCGGTTTTCTGCCCAGAGCACCGATTCCTCTCATCTCATTCTTCCTTTTCTGCCTCATTATCTGTATCCTTTCTCTGCGTCCTCTCTGTGTCATCTAGCTAACTCATTTTTTGCCCTTTTTTATTTACTCTCTTAATCCATCCTCTCTCTGTGCCAGTTTTTTAAGCAGTCTGTCCAGATTTTGGGGTGTGTGGTGTGAAGCACAGATATGCAGACTGCGTGCTTTGTTTATGAAATCTCTTCGGTTATATTTGGTTATTCATCAGAGTAATAATTCTTTAAAGCACAGTAAGTAACTCTTTAGTATGTGGTCTGAGCTTTATGCAGATCATTTTCTTATCTATCTGTACTTGAGACTGTGAAGTCCTGATCTCAGAGCTCAGATTAAATGATGACGTGTTCAAAACCAATTTTTCATCATCTTTGCTCCGCTCCCTTTTTTTTTTTTTAGACGCCTGAGAAAAATATCTGACTTGATGGTAGCAAAACTTTCCTGTTTTCTGAAGCTAACTAACTTCAGTGTGTCTACTGCTGTTTGGCTCTGGGCTTTCAGTGTGTGGGGGAATTAGGAGAGCTTCTGGCTCCCACTGAAGTATGCTGCAGGCATGAGTGACAGTGAGTGTACAATAAAACAGTTAACTTCACATGCTTGAATGCTCCATCACAACAAATCTACAGACCCAAGAGAAAACAAAGGTCAGCTGATCTGATCTTACCCTCTAATGAGACTCAGGGGAGTGTTTTCTATATTATAGCTCTTCTGATGGCAGCAGCACTCTGCCACTGTAAGCTAAACTCCACCAACTGTCTGAACTCCAAAGGCACCAAAATCATTTGGCTCTCAAACCTGGTGATATGCAATTAAGCTTAAGAGCTTTTGAAACAAAAGGGTTCACTGACTTTTGGTTTAACATGATTGGAGCCTGGTGTAACCTCAAATTTCCAACACATGTGGAATGGTGGCAAATAGGCCATTGGCGCCAATCGCCGCTGATCGTTTCCATTCAAGTTAATGCGTTAAATTCCACTGGCTTCTTTCTGGCCCCAGCTGCTTGGTAGCCGATCACCAGGGTTCTATTTTTTTCCAGATGCTGCAGCATGCCACATAAAGTCAGCACACATTAGCCCGTGTTGGAAGGTAGTCCGGCACAGATACAAAATAAAACATTCCAGTTTCTTTTCAAAATAAAACACTACCTGTTTCAGGCGGTTCGTGTTTGACACCATGCAAACATGGTTTGTTTCGTAGATAAAGATAAATTTTGCACTTACCCATGGTTAATTCCCCATCTCTACAAAAGTCTCTGATCTACTGGTGATAGAGTGGATTTCCTCCTCTGGAAGGACACAATCTACTGCTCATATGGTTATGTGGCTGTCTTTACAGAGACAACTCATTATTGCGCGATTGCATGTGAATTCGTGGGTTTTTGTGAGTCCTTGCGATTCCTGCTGTCTGAAATTTGCAATGAAATTCGCCTCACAAACTCATCCGGTAGGAATTGGTGGACAGCGAAAATCGCTGGCTGATTTCAATCTTTGCTCATGTTATAACTATTATGGCCAGTGGAGATCACCAACTATCAGGGTTTGAAAGAACAAATATATATTGTATTCAGTTATAGTTTTACTAAATTTACGAAAAGTCAAGCTTTGAGAGTGTAAATCTACGTCAGTAAAAGTTTTTCATTTTAAAACAGTATGTGCTTTGAGTATTGAGAACTGACTTAAAATGTGAGAGTGTGAGAGGGGCAGTAAGGTGGGGTTAAAAAATGACAGAAGACCTTTAAATGATGAGAAAGCATATTTTCCTGATCTAATTCCTGACTAACATGAGGCTGTTGAGTTGTGGATGGATTTCTTGACGCAGCACCTATAAAGTCTGAAGTTGAGAAGTTTTTAAAGTGTTTGCATCTTTTTTCCGGCCTTGCTTACTGTGTGTATTACCTCTTAAATTGCACAGCAGCACGACAGACTTAACCTGTCCCCTGTGTTAGCTTTCACTATGCACCCACTATGTTAAAGTGTCGGTTCAAACCCGTGTCTTAAATCAGCTGTAAATTACACTAAAAACAATTCTCTATCATCCAATTTTGTTCTCATCTCTAGGTTACCTTGTTAGGCTTTATTATGAAAATATTGCCTATGATATTTTTGTTTGTCCTTTGTGTCTTTCTTTGTCAGTATTCCCCTCATACAGACATCTATATTGAACTGATCTCACACGTCTGGTCAGTTGTTTTTGTTTGAGCTGGTAAAAACATGGCAAAATGAGAATTCCTTAAATCTCACATAACTGGGAGAAGATCCGACCGCTAGTGTGGTGTCTGACAGTGCACATATGATTTCAGTTTTTGCTCTAAGTATTGCTTTTTAATCTAACTGGGTCGACAGCAACCCTAACACAACAAGTGCCATAATTTTAATGAGCATTTTGTAATTTAGTAAACTGAATTTTTTTTCTTAAATTGTGTTAAAAAAGGTTCCCTACAAAGTCAAAAAGTCTCAATGCAAAAGAAAATAAAACAAATTTATGTGGTTCTTTCGTGCATTTGAAAAAAAAAGCAGTTACTTATATGGTTTCTTTCTGTCTAGATCTTTGTTTGTGTTGGTCTTCATTTTAGATGCATGCTGCTTTGGGTAGAAGGGTCTGCTAAATGAAACGTCAACATTGTCATAATTTATAGGCTACTGTCATTGCACCTCAGGCTGTTCCCTTTGCATGAAATCGCTCTGTTCAAAAATCTTACTATTGATTGTGAAGCTTGCAGGATGACTCACAGGGATGGAAAGGGGGTTCTATAAAAACAAAGTTGTACTGAACAGACCTGAGAGTGGACTCCCAGCCTGACAGTATTTCTTAATGTAATTTCAGCACAAGCTTACATCTTCTTAGTTTACCTGACTGTCAAGTGATTTCAGTAAGTTAGCTGGTATTCAGGCAGCTGATGAAAAGCTTTTTGATAGTCAGTTTGTTTAAAGTTAGTAGGGGATTTTGTGTAAAATGTAGAGTAGTGCAAAACTTCCCACAAAAAAATACCTGAGTAAGAGTACTGAACTTTAAAACTACTTCACACTGATGAACATTGAGAAGCTTTTTTTATGTGCTTGGCCTTTTGGTCAGTTACTTTAAATCCCTGCAACTACAAAACGCAAATCATCCTTTTAGTCTGGTCAGGACACTCCTCCATAGAGGTTGGTTAAGGTATCTGTAGTGCTAGAAAAGCCTTAATTATATCTGTGCTTTTGAATGAAAGATGCAGTGTATTGTAAGTGTGGTAGGATGAATTCTTAATAAGCCTCAGATTTGTCTTTGTTAGCCTGGAGGCTGAGCATGTGGAGTCGGTGAGTTACCTAAGTAAAAAGCTGGGGGTGACACAGAGGTAAGGGGGAGGGCAGGATTACAAAGGGAGGTAAAATCGAGGGCTATCTGAGTCCTCGGGGCACAGACAACTTACACAGCTGAGGTCCTGCTCAAGGCTGGGCAGATAGACTACCAGAGTCATGCTTAATTTATCTCAACAGGAACAACAAAGCCCCAGACATGCAAAGTCTCAACACACACTGACTTGAACTCACCTCGGCTGCACTGGTAAACCCCCCAAAGCTTCAATGTTTCCATGCAACAATATGTTTTTTTTGTTTCCTACCTTAGTATTCCCACAGCCCCTTGACTCTAATGAACTACTGCATTGATGAGATTGATATTGATCAGCCTCTGGGTGAGGAACAAGTCTTTCAAATCCCTACACCCACCCTAACCAACCGCTAACTGATAAAACATGCAGTCAATGCACTCACAAGGCAGAGTGAGTGTCAATGTGAGCCCTGTCTGCCACATCTGTCTGTATGCTGAGCTCTGAGTTTTTGTTCTGGGAGAGAAATACTGGTGTAGGTGACGTTCTTCATTTTCTGAAATAGAAGAAAAATACATGTTCCTACTAACACAAGGGAGGTTCCTAAGCAGACTCCCTGGCTGAACACTTGTTAAGCTACCGTCTGGAATCTGAAACACCCACTCATTGTAGTCTGTAGGAATTAAAGGGGAGATTGCAGAAGGTCTGTGCAGACACAGCATCTGAGAGTCAAGCTAACAGGCGGGTATGTCACTTCAGAGCTCTATCCTGATCTGAAATTTCATAGAGAGTTGGATTTGTTTCAAACACAGGAGAGCATCTCCATCAAAAACACTGACTGAGAGAGGTTAGCTGTCCATTCTCGGTCTAATTGGCTGGACAGCATTTTTCCTTTTTTATCTCTTAATTGTTGTAAAGATCAAATGAGGTCATTGTTTTACCTGTTAGTTTAGTCCGAATAGGGCTGCACGATTAATCAATTTTAAATCGTTATCAGATTATTTGATTGTGACAATGTTAAAAAAAATTAAATTGTCAATTTGATTTTCCTCTCTATCATGTCTCCTGCCTCCAGGCCACCGTAGGCTCCCATTCCTGCAGGAGCATTCCCCAGTTCCCACACACACTAGTGTAAACAAACATGGCGTTTGCAAAAAGAGGCAATAATTTTGTGGCTAAATAGAGCAAGAGCGAGTAAGTTGTGTGGAATTGGTACAACTTCACAATTTTGGACAAAGAGCAAAACCACTCCCTGTTTCAAAGTCTGTCAGAGGGTGGTATCAACCCGTCCATACGGAACCAAATTCAGGAGTAAACGCAAAAGTTTTTGTCGTATCGCCGGTTTTGAAAATGGGTCAAAGAGTACATAAATCCATAAATGACTACCATTTCACCACCGTCTGGATGCCTAACCCGATCTATACAAATGATTATGTGACATACAGCGTAACTCTTTTATGGCGCCTGGACGTGATCAGCCAAAACAACCTTTGTACAAATGCTCTGTACTCTTCCAAAAAAAGATTATTAAAGTGAAGTTTTGTGTTGTCGATGAATAAAAAAAACAAATTGAAAATTGAGTTTTTTATATAAAAAATTGGGATTTAATTTTTTCCCAAAATCGTGCAGCCCTAGAGTGAATCAAAACAATAATTTTCCATATGCACTATGAATCCAATGTCTCCCCACATATCTCTCACATATTCTGTGTGTTAAACCTGTTATATACTGTTTGTCCACTATTTTGTAAAATACATTTTTCCCATCATTCACCTACCTGTGAAAGGGACTGATTTGATGAGTTACAGTATGATAGCTTAGAAGATCTCATCAAGAAAACTGTGATTTGTGGAAGTTGAGTTGGTTCAAAGTTCAACATTGCAGATCCACAACCAGTCAGAGCACAGAAATGTCACACCTGTTGGATCCTGGACTTGAGAGCTACCTTTAAAAGCAGACTCATCCAGGGCACAGATGTTTTTTAAGGACAGGTAACACTTAGCTCTATGTAGATGTTGACATTTAGCAGAGCTCATTCTGGTTGTTTCCAAAAATACTCCATGTCAGTGATCGATCAAACACTCTCCATGTTAGATAAATCCCTGTGGTGACGCTCTTCTGCCCACCTGATGAATTCTCACCACGTAATCAGATCATCCCAGTTCTGTTTCTGTCCTCCGCTGGAATAATCACACACTTTAGCTGATTAATGCCTCATGATGTTTAATGGGTGTAGATTTACCATTTTAGTTATTTCTTAAGATAGCAGAAGAGTGAGCTGAAAGATGCTGAAACACTGCAGTGAGAGAGGGAACCACAGAGCTGGATCATGATTCTGCCACGTCAAACATGATCATCTGATTAATGTTTTACACATATAAAGAGCTTATGTGCAGCTTTAATCAAAGGATGGGTGTTATTTATTAAATAAAGTAATCTCGCTAATATAGACAAGCTGTTTGGCATAACTTCTTACTGCTCAGAATCTGAGTATTTATCTCTGCACTGCCACATCCATCTTCCTCCTCACCCAGAAGAACCTGCAGCTGTGTTTTACACGCCTCTAAGATACCATTATGTAAGCCGCCCTCGGAGAGTAATGGGTCAGCTTGCTATGTACAGCCTGAGCTCCCTGACCTGACATTCAGCTTCACCTCTCCCCCCAGCGCTGCTCTGACTGCAGGCACTCTGACCTTCCTGCTGGCCTCCTCTACTCCCTCCAAACCCTCCTCCTCCTCTTCCTCCTCCATGGTGCTCCTCTCCTTCTTTTTTGGAAACAGTGCATCGTTAACATTATACTGAATCATCATGAACCGGAAGAGTCGTCTTTGCACTTTGCTGTTAGTTCTTTTTAATAAATATTTAAAGTTACAGCCCTGAAAGCTGCAAAATGTTCATTTAAAAGGCGGACATGCACTCTAACATTTCTGCCATGCTGTAAATGAAGGTATACTCAGGGAATAAATGGACTCCTGAGATGTGCTGAAGTAATGACCCCACAGCAACCAGCACATCTGAAATGATTAGAAAATGATCATAAACAGACCATAAAGCTGAGAAGTCATGTGTGTATACTCACTGGGCTGTCAGCATCTGTTCTGCCCACACACAGTTTCTCTGCTCCCTGGGTCATTTGTCCTCCTACTTCTTCTTAACTGCCTCAAGCCTGTCCAGGCTGCACTTCTGGCTGCTGAGTTAAACCAACGGTGAAAGTTTTATATACAGTGTGTAAATTGAAAGTCTCATCAATATACAGTTGGTATATTAGGAAATTCATGCAAAAACAAATGGACGTATGCTCGGTCAAGATAACCCAAAAGTAAGATCTCCCAATCAGAATGTCAGGGGTTTGACTTCAAAGCTGTCCGCATGCCCACCAGGTCCTCGAACAAGACACTCACTTGTTTATGTTCTGCCTCTATGATACCTGTGATATTGGATCAAAAACATGCTGCACACAAGGTTGCTTGATTGGTAATTCAGATATTCCCGACATCTCATTTGTTGAGCACTTGGATTATACAGCTTTAACTTCTAGGTCACGTTATCAGGAAACATGCCTCAAACTGTCACTGTTACGCAGATGACACTCAGTTATACCTATCACTGAAGCTAGGAGAAACTGACAGACAAACTTCGATTAAAGCCTATCTTAAAGATATAAAGGCCTAAATGATCAGAAACTTTCTTCTACTCAATCCTGACAAAACTGAAGTTCTTGTTCTGGGCCCCCAAACACCTTAGAGATACTTTCTAATGATGTAACTGCAGTCGATGGCATCAATCTGGCCTCTAGCATCACTGTTAAATATCTGGGAGTTCTTTAAGACCAGGATAGATCCTTTAACTTCACATCCAACAAATCTCCAGAACTAACTTTTTTTTTTTTTTTTACTTCCTAATAAATAAGAAATCAGACAAATCCTGTCTCAGAATGACCCTGAAAAACTCATCCATGCATCTGTCACCTCTAGGCTGGATAACTGTAGTTCTCTTTTATCAGACCCCCAAACAAGTCTTTAAAGACTCTTCACCTGGTCCAAAATGCTGCAGCCTGAGTACTGACTAGAACCAGTAAAACAGAGCCAATCCCCCTGTTTAAGCTTTTCTACACTGGCTCCATTAAATATTGGGCATAATTTAAAATTCTTCTTCTGACCTACAAAGATCTTCATGATCAGGCACCATAATGTCTTAAAGATCTCGTAGTTCTTTATTACCCCTCTAGAACAATGAGGTCCCATCATAACTAAAAACTCTGAGCAGTCTCGGTGGTAGAGCTTTCACTAATCAGGCCACTGTCATCTGGAATCATCTACCTGCAGACACCCTCTCTACCTTTGACAGTCATCTTAAAACCTTCCTCTTTGATAAAGCTGATAGTTAGATCTGGTTCAGGTCTGGACCAGCTACTGTGGACCTGCCTTCTGTCCAGCTGCTTCAACTAAAAGCATCAGCCTCTCCTCTGTTCATCTCTCTCTTTCTCCATCTCCCTTTCTCTCCTCTCCAAACCCAGCTCAGTCTCAGCAGATGACAGTCGAACATCAGTCTGGTTCTGCTCCAGGTTTCTACCTGGTAAAGGAAGTTCTTCCTCTCAACTGTAACTCTTTAAATGCTTTAAAATGTTTTACTTATGTGGTTGAAAATGAGATGAGGAGTGGGTCTGATCTTACAGGATGGGGCTCAGTCTGATCCCATCTCTACACTGGGTCTTTGTGAACAGAGTCTGGACTAGACCAGCTTTTTGTCTTAAGTGTCCCAGGATAACACTTGTTGTGAACTGAAGCTATATAAATAAAGATTGATTGATGATGGTTGATTCGTTATTCAAGTGTCTATTAAATAACCAAATTAATCTGGGCTGAATGGGGTGGGGGGGTTATCTAAGAGGTCAAATGTGAAAATAAATTAGTTTTTATTTAATTTGGTTTTAATAGGCTATATTTAAAAAAAAACAGAAATATTGGGAATATGTTAATAAAATAAATTCCCTCACAGTCGACTGACACATCGTCCATAAGTGATTTCCCACATCCCATAATGCAGCACTTCTCTTTTTCTCCTGTGTACTTTGGAGATCCTTCTGTCAACTGTGCATTAGCAGTGAATCAGTGATGTACAGCACATTTTGGCTGCATGATGAAGTCGTTATGGGAGATATTAAAATGGGTTTTCCACCTCCACCCTGATAAGCAGAGTGCCCAGACGATCACTCAAAATTGTTATCGTGATAGCTGTTAGTGCTGACCTTGCTCTCTCAGAGTGAAGGAATCCCAAAGTAATCACCTGAATTAGCAGCTGGACCTTCACAGAGACTTTGATCCTGAACGGAGTCAAACCCGGCCAGGCGTTAGGACGGTACAGCAAAGGTGTCAGCCTAAAGGTTACAGAAGCAGTGATAAGATCAGTTTAACTTCAGTCAGGCCCATGGGGACATTGCAAAGAGGGGACAGGGATCGATCAGCCGTGCTCAAAGCTGATTGTCTTGCTGGGTAAAGATTTGTCTAATCTGATAAGAATAGGTCGCCCTTGTTTGTGTAGATCGCCTGCCTGTCTGGGAATCGAATCCTGATGTCCTGGGGGACTTGCGGGCATAAGGAGGGAGATGCTTTGTCTGCATCACTCACTGTTCAGAGTCCTCGCCTCACTGGATGTTAAACGCTGTTTCACCCACTTTCCTCAGAGGTCATAAATCCAAAGTGAAAACCAGAAAAGCTAAATAGAAAAAAAGTTTTTGTCTCTCTTTGTTTTTTTATTGCATTATAACACAACCTACACTCCACAGATTTGGTTTACCTTATGAAGCCCTGTGTTAACTAGTGAAGAGGAAGACTGTCAGATATGTCTGACTGAAATGCCCGGCATATGTGGAACAGTATAGAGTGGTATTTAGACTGTCATTGGTTAAAGCTTGTGGCTGCAGACCAAGAAAGTTAAGACAGGAAAAAAAGAGGAAAAAAACATGAGGATGTATTAGTGTTTGTTTCTAAGATGGCTGTATTTTAAACAGCCTCTGCTCTCACAGTCTGTACAGAAACAAAAAATCATGTATACACAGAGATTTTAAATCATCAGCTTCCCTCTGGATTTAGAGCCTACATTTGTCCTGATGGGTTTCCCTCCAAAACCAAAGAGTTCAACTATTTAAATATGTGAGTTTGAGAATCAGCATGAATCTTATGTATATGTGACACATTCTCCTATAATAATGTCAGCTCTCACAGTTACAGTTTCAAACCAAGACCTCAGTGTCAGAACAGGAGCTGCAGAATGATCAAACATGCTACAGTAATGTGTCAGAGACTTCTTTCTTTGCATTCATCTAAAGTTTCACTTTCAAAGTTCCTTCATGTGGGATTGGGCTTCATTTTATTTATTTATTTTTTTCAGCTTTATTTTACAGACTGACATTCGCATATTTGTAGAAACAGATTTATTTCTCTCTGTAAGTCTAACCCAGCACAGATATTGTTATAACTTATAACCAACCGCATGAAGATGCCAAATAATCAGGTGATAATGTGTAATCAGTCTGTCAGCTCAAACACCATAGAAGGTTATTGTGTGCATGGATATTCTGCTCTTGAGTGAGCAATAATAAAGTGCTCTCAAATCGTAAATTGAGTGATGAATTAAAAACTTAGTGTGGTATTTTTATTCACCCCTGCGCCTCAGTAAAGTGATGAAGTAAAGCTCGGTGTGCTTGTAAACAGTAAATCAACCAAACAGCACTGAGCAGACATAAACCGGTAAACTTAAAAACACCTATATGTGTGTGTGTGAACAGGACTTGAGAGCGGACAGAAAACCAGCGTTTAAACGGTCATCAAAATTGAGGGAGTGTCACATGACCAACAACATCTCCATGGCCTCTTCTGATTTGCTAAATCATTTACTCTATTTAAGAAATGAACCAAACAATTGAAACATTTATGATTTTGTTTATTACCTGAGACTGTCCTATTTAAGTATCCACCCAGAACGGTGTTTTTATCATTACACGCTGAGGTGTATTCATTCCTCTTGTTTTTGTTAAAGCTTCATTAGCTCCCTGTGTGCTGTTTTCCTCCCTCCCTCCCTCCCTCCTTCCTACAGCTCTCTGCATTTCATTTGACAAAATTTAATGGGCTTTTTAATTGTACGTCACTTTTCTACAGCTGTTGAGTATATTACCTTTTTGTCTCCTTTCTCTTTGTGAGTGAGTGTGTGCGGGTCCGTGTGCACGTGTGTGCATGTATGTTCTCACTTGCAATTTGCAATTACAGCATATTGGCTGTTTTAAGTATGACTACTAAACTGCTCATTTAGCTTGCCAGGGCTTACCCTTGTTTCCCCGTCTGAGTAATCACATGAACAGTGTGAGATTGAAAGATATGAAAAATGGCAATGCTGGAGGTCTTTTACAGAGACTTTGATTCAAACTGACCTGACAGTAACCTGCCATGTCACTGTGTTTTATTTTCTTTTTCTCAATTACAAAGAAACATGTACCTCACACCCATTTCAACCATTTATTAATGCCATTTATCTTGTCCCTGGTGGTCTTGATTATTTTTGTGGATCAAAAAAATACGTCAATATGAATTTCAGCTGGTTTCATCAAAGTTAAAAAACTCCTCACTGGAGCTTTAATAGGTTTCAAGTAGTGGTGGAGTTGGTGGAAAGGATTTATTTTCAAACCATCAAGCAGAGAACAAGGGGTCTCACTTGTTTTTTTGTTTTTTTTACTGTTTTTAACAACATTTAAAGTTGCTCCGGCCTGTATTCATCAGCCATACTCATTATTTGAGCTTTATTAAAGCTGTATTAAAAGACCACATTAGCTACCCCAAGATTTGAGCTGGTTTGTCATAGTGGGGATAATAGTCAAAGGTAAAACTGTGCAGGTGATTTTACATTGTGTTATGGAAGCACGAGAGACACAAGGTGCAAACAAGTACCTGGATTTTTATACATACTTACCATAGACTGTTTAATACTATGGACAACTTGGTTTCGCCTTCTGCCACTACATGGATTTGAAACTGAAAAACTCTCAGTATTTCCAGGTTTTTTTCTCCACTTCCTGGAACCACTACTTGCGCAGTAATAATGATAATAATAATACATTTTATTTAAAAGCACCTTTCTGGACACTCAAGGACACTGTACAGGGCATTGAAAACACAGTTAGTTTTGTACACATTCGGCGGGAGAGTCGCTGTGATGACACTCGGCTCAAACAGCGTATCCCCCCAGGTGAGCTACGTAAACTTCGTATGCCCATAGGCTGTATCAAGTGTCAATCATAGAAAACATGAACCCCCTAATGACTTTTAAAAATGGAGCTGTACAGAAAAAAGAGGACTTGAGCACAAACCAGTCTTATTGGAACTACATGTAAACATCGCAAGCAGGGGGGAGAAAAATTTATATTCTGTGTAATAAATTCCTACAGTTTGTCCACAGCTCCATAGGGATTGCTGGAGGAGGTGGGATTTATGACCTATACTGCAGCACATCAACAGAGGGTGCTGTTCTCAGAGTGGCTTCACCCAGCAAGGAATCAGATGGCGTCCATTCGATATACAGTCTAATACAGTCTATGATACTCGCACCCACTTAGACACACAAACACAGCACTGACCGCCCCCCCTGCTGACTATGATGTTTGATATTTTATAAAGTCTGTATTAACGCTTATGATGCTGGCTCAGCATTACACCTCTGAGACATATTTGCACTGAAGCCAAGACATTACAGAGGCATGAGAATCTAATTCATGTAAAAGGGGCACAAGTCTTTACCTCCTATCATATGATTTTGATATGGCCCTGTTAGTAATGCACATGTCTTTTCACAACTACAATGATGAAAAAAAAAAACTCAGTGTCTCTGCTGAAAGTTTTTTTTCTTAAAAAAAAATTTCTCTGTTAAAGGAGGACTTGACACAGTTAAATTGACATAGATGTAATCCCATAATTATTGTAAAAAATAAATCAAACTTAGAATTGAGAGTAAAACTTTTCAGACTGAGTTGATACTGTCGGTGTTTCCTCCCTTGACTGCAGTTCAGGGCTGAGTATACTCCTCTGACACATTGTGAAGACCCTCCGCTCTTCTCCTGCTGTGTTCCAGCTTATCCTCTCCCCCTGAGTGTCCTCTTTCTTCTCTCCTCTGATAAGAAGCTGTTCGGATGAAGGACATCATTATACCATCACATCAAATGATGTCTTTGTCATTTCAGACAGCATGTTTCCTAAAGCTGCGCAAGTCAATATTTCTGTATTAACGATGGATCAGCTATTAGAGTGTGGATGATATTATCATGTGCTGCAGATCATCTCAGTGGGCGCCCTTCAGCAGATTTCACCTCAGGCTTTGCTCTGCCATCAGATTTGTTTCCAGCAGAAGCAGCAGGAAGCTGTTTCCAGGGAAAAAGATCCAAAACTGTTCTGCATTCACCGCTCAGCAGACAACAGCAAAGAAACAAATCTGCAGACTGGCTGGTGAACACAGTAGAGCATTTAGCAGAGAAGAGGCAGATATTTCCCCTGACAGTCGGTGGAGACTTAATAAAGTTAGCCTACGTGTAAAGGGAGGGAGAATACTGGACTTGGATCCATCACTTGGATAGAAACACAACTCCAAATAGATATGTCTGCTGGTGTGAACTGGATTTGAGAATAGGTTTTGTCCATTGTCTACTTGGACACCAGTCTACAGTTTATCCAGTCACTCAAACCTGTGACTGGATAAACTGTAGAGGGGGGGATTGATTTATTCTTCTTTAGTGGGCTAAATTAGGAACATATCAGCTGTTAGCAGTTCAGTCATTTTGTTTAGAAACAGGACAGAAACCAGGTGTGTGAGCAGGGATACCAACTGAAGACAGGGTTAACTCCACCATGAGATTTAGCTCATTATTCCAGCTGAGCTGACTGGGATCTTCAGAGGATAATGTGTGAACTTGACAAGAACCTCATACTACTCAACTATAGAAAAAACAAGGACAAAAGAGTGGTTAGTCTGTGCAGATGAATGGTTATTTATGGACCTCTTTTTGATTTTCAAAATGGACAAATTGAGAGAATATAGAGAATATGATAGAGAATCTTCATGCTGATTTGCTGACCCTGCATGAACATTCACTAGCAATCAGAGTTTTGAGCTCTCGCATGTGAGTGAATGAAGCGAGAAGCTCAAAGAACTTGACACAAAAATTCACATCATTCACACCTATGCTCTGAATGCTATAAATATTCTTAAATCTACTGACTGTATCTTTAACTGAACCTTCCTATGCCTGGAGATGTCTGTTTTCTTAAATGAAGATTGTAAATGATGCAGACATGTAGTGGTGAACATACAAGTAGGCCTACTGTATCTGACATTTTAAAGGAATCTGTGCAGAGTGAGGAGGGTCACTGAGAAGAATAGTTGATTGAGTTTGTGAAAAAACCCTGATAAGAGTGCAAATAATATCCTTCATTATTATTTCTATCATTATCAGTCATTATTATTATCTTAATTTAGACGTTACACATTTTGCCAGGTATGGTATACAGTCAGTGCATGACACAGTGCGCCAAAGGCTTTGTGATATATTTTCTGATGCCCCCCTGTGGACAAAGCAGTAATAATACCTGCGCTGATTTTTTCCTCCAAACCGCTGAGCAGTGTTTTTTGAACTGAAAGTCCTGCTGTGTGTGGTCCATCAAGAATCTCTGTTATGGAAATTGTAAATCTTAAGCTGTAAATCGCTTCATCTGACGCTGACCTTCAGGAGCTTTGAAAATGAACTAAAATGGTTAGTCTTTATGCTGATGGTCTTATTATTCCAGTCTGTTTTATATTAAAATCTCCTCTCATAGGGCTTTGAAAATGGTTTGTCAGAGAACCACTTGGCTGGTGAAATAAAAGCAAGTTTCAGGGGGAAAATGGGACAAGTTTTAAGAAGGTGGTAGTAGTTTTTGTTTCTACTTTAATGCTCATCTTTTCATTTAAGTCTAACTTTCACATCAGCCATCTCCCTCCCTCACCGGTTTATCTTTTCCTCCAGATATCTCTCCAGGATACTGTGTTTGAAGTAATCTGGTCTCTGCAGACCAACTGTGAGAAGCGCTAAGTGAAGTAAAAGGGACGAGAAGGAGGAGGGGGAAAGAAACTGCTAATTGCTCCCCTCTTACAGCTTCAAAGATGAAACTGATGTGAAACATTTTGGATTAACTGTTCCTCCAGAGGAGTTGGCTCACATGAAAGCAAGATAAAATGATGTTATGGAGCTTCAGTATAACCTTGCAATCAATTCATGGACATTTGGAATAATAGGCAGCTGCTTGTCCTCTGATTCACTTGTCTTCCCTTCAGCTCAACTCCAATAACTGTTTTTTTAAACATCCTATGTTTGCTCAGAGTAAATTTCACTTTCACAAAAGTAATCAACTGTCAGACTGCAGATGAAAATAAAAAAGTTTCAGACCCAAGATTGTGAAAAGATGAAAAAGACATGGATTTTAAAAAGTCAAATGTGAGACATTTGTTTACATTTGTTACGTATCTAAGATCTCCACCCTTTCACACTCTCTATACTGGGTGTGTCGGATCCATCAGAGCGACACTAAAGCAGCAAAACAGAATTATTTATCATGCAGTGTCACATCAAATTGGAGGCTTTGAGATATTTCCAAATCTGTCAGCTTGGTGCCAAATGCATCCAGCCTCTTCAGACTTTCATCCCATCATTTCATATGTATTTCTCCGATCTTTGGCACCATGTGTAGTTCTGCCTGCAGATTCGCCCTGTATGAATCACTCTGAACCAAAGCATCAGCTTCCTGGAAGACAACAATAAAGTTAACATTTGCATTTAGTTCTTGGACTCCAAACTCATTTAGTTTGGTTTGAAATAAAACATCACAGAGTAGAATACATTCAGGAGACGAAAGAGAGCTACATACAACTAGACGTGTGGTTTTTGTGAATAATTATTTCAGTGCAAGTCTGCACACATGTTCTCATTTTCCTCAACTGCCAGTTCGATTGTTCAGTTTGACGAAGTCTTGAGCTCAGAAACAAACTAAAAATATTCACACAGGCAAAACTAACTTGGGTGGTAGCACATGATAGAGGGGTAACCGGCTACCCACCTGTTTTCAGAGTTTATATCACCGCCAACAAAAAGACATTTCCAGACATTAAGACTTTAAACCAAGGGGCTGGCCTGGAAAAGTCTGGAAAAAGTAAGGGTGGCTAATTTAAAGCTGTTCCTGTTTCGAAGACTGAACAGGATAAAGCCTGTGTATTTTTAGGAGTGTGGAGCGAGTATTAAAAGAGCTCAAGTTTAGATTTATATCAGCTTGTAGATCATTCTTGCTCTGCATCGTCCCTCACTTCACCCTCTTCAGATTTATTACATAGCGAAGATTATGTAATTTTTATTTATGTATGTTTATGTTCCTAATTTAATTCTCAGCTTTTTACCTTATTGATCCTGGCCTCAACACGTGTATTTTATTCCCTTCAGAACATAAATTAAAGTCAGGGCTCAATGCTGGGGTATGTTATTATCCTGCGCTTTACTAACCTGAAACTATAACAAGTTTAAAACTCCCCATGATACATATATTTGTAAGAAATAGTATCAGGTGTTGACAAATATTATGTTGTGGTCTGGTGTTAGCTGCATTGATGCACTTATCTGTGGACCAAGCGTGCGAAATCAACGTGACAGCACATTACCCTCACAAAACAACCTGTTCAGTAGTCTTTGTGGAGGCACCATACAATATCATATTCCTCTCACAACAACCTGTTCAGAGCATTAAAAATCCTATCTGGTCCTTTGGTGAGCCTCTGACTGCAGATCACTGTGGATAAGTCGAGCAGCTGAACACCGTAGCTGCTATTCCAGAAGATAGAAAAAAGCCTTTTTTATGGTGTGATGAGGAGATGTAAATGAGCTACAGCTCGATTTACCTCTTCACTCAGCTTGGTTCAGGCGCTGTCCACAGCTGGGTTCAGGTTTGTGTTTAGAGGAAGTGCAGCTGTGAAAGTATTGGTATTCCATATGTGTATGATAGCGATTAACCTCCCACTCCCACCCTGGAGACTGAACTGAGCTCTGTAAATAACTGAGAAGCTGACAGAGAGAGAGACAGAGAGGAATGGCTGGACAGCAAACACTTATAAATTCATGATGTTCTGTTCAGAAGCTATTTACAAGTCACCTCATTTTCAGGGAATAAACAGGATGACTGCAGTTTCATTTCTTTACTCGGGACCCAAATCAGTAGTAGATAGAAGGGTGGGGTCTTGTTGGACAAATGGACAGAATAATTTATCACTCAAACATTCAATCACTGCAGTCCATTAAAGAGCAGGTAACAGTTTGTAAGTGCCAGGTCATTAAACACTGTCAGAGCATGAAGGAGCACCTTCTTATTTTTTTTACAAACCTACTTTACCTTTAGCTTAAAAAACAAAATAATAAAATAAATACAAATTTGTGATTTTGTAGCGATTCAGAGTGAAAAGTGTAATATCAAAACATGAAGACTTTTATCAGTAAAATTTTCAAAACTTTAGGTCACCAAAAAGGCAATCAAATATATTATATCTGATACATACAGTTAGGGCTGGGCAATAAACCAAAAATTTACAGATATCGAAATTTACGTCAAAAACCAACATCATTTTGCCCATGTCAATATATTCAGTGTCAAAAAAATGAATAAATAAAAGCTGGTTTTGGATGTGTGTAGGTAGGCTATGGTCTCATGTCCCTTTAAGACACTGTCCTACATCAGAGATGTGACTCCACCCCATCCAGTCCATAACAAAGAGGGAAAGACAGGTGAGGAGATGGAGGATCAAAAGTCAAAAGTTGTAGCAGCTGGAGCAACAGCTGAAGTAGACAAAGTCAGTGTGAGAGGGGGTGAGCAGCTTGTGGAGTAGTTATTTCCCATTTATTGTTATCGAGGTGAACTGCTCAATATATCATGATTTTGATTTAAGGCCATATCGCCCAGCTCTACATACAGTGTATCATAAATATGTATTTATGTCATTTGTATATATTATAATGTATTTTTTATATTTTTAAACTTCTACCTATCTGTCCAGTTTAGCTGCACAGGTACAATAACAATAAAGATATTCTGTTTTACTTTGTGTGTTTCAGATCTATCGACGCTGCTGGCTGGTGTTCAAGAAGTCGTCCAGCAAAGGACCACGACGTCTGGAGAAATACCCTGATGAGAAGTCTGCCTACATCAGAGCCAGTCCCAAGGTAAGTCTCTGTGTGTGTGTGTGTGTGTGTGTGTGTGTGTGTGTGTGTGTGTGTGTGTGTGTGTGTGTGTTACAGTATATTCTGTTCAGCAGGAAAAAACCTAAGATCAAGAATTGACAGACACACACACACCTGCAGAACAGAATATACCACACACACACACACACACACACTCACACACACACACACACACACCGTCAGGGATGAAAGCAGTCAGCTTTCGCATTAAAGTCTGACTCTTTTCCCTCTGAGCTCAGAGAGAGCTAACACACACACCTAAATACTCCCCCCTTCCTCTTTCTCTCTGTCTCTCTGAACTCCCTCATCTTTTATTCCTCCTCATCATCACCTCTCCTTCATCTGACCCTCCTTGTCTGCCCTCACACTCTGACGTTAAGCTTTCTCCGGCAGCGGTGGACTTAAAGCGAGGTTGTTGAGACTTTGTTCTGGTTCTTTTTTTCTCTTTTTGTTTCTTTACTTTGAGCACGGTGATAAAATGTTAAAGAAGTTTCACAGGTTTTTTTTCCCTCTCATACGAACACAGAAGTCTCCTCAGAAATATGTTTGGTCACTTACTTTACACATCACAGAGTTGTTTGTAATGTACATTCATGTACCTTTTGTAGTATTATTGCAGTTTAAATTCTACAATGGCTTCATTAAAATTATTTATAAAACGTGAATCAAGAATAATTATCTGACCGATTTTGATTATGATATTTAAGAAATGATAACTGGTGATGGCTTTAATAAACAGACATGCAAAAAAAAAAACAGCTGCACTGACTCTGTTGTAGGAACTCTCCTCCTCTTACCTTTCCTCTCATCCTCTCATCCTTCCTCTCATCCTCTCATCCTGTCATCCTCTCACCTCTGCATAAAGAGTTTGTAAAGGGTTTTTTCCTCCTTCTTTTCTTCAGCTAGCACATCTCTGAACTTCTTTTCACTGCTGTTTCACATCCCGCTCTCTTCTTCTGCAGTTATTTTCCTATGAGCTTCCTTTCAGCCTATAAATTGTGTCTGTATCATCCTCTTTCATGCCATTCAGTGAAGGAGGAAGACTGTAGGTCAAACTGGCATGCAAATCCAATTACAGCTCCATATTTTTTTTCAGTTAGCCATAGATATTTAAAACTAGCACATGTATCACAAAGGTTACAACGAATCGAAATTTTGTCCCTTTATATTGCAAAACAAATGAGTTTGCCACACTTCTCCAGTTTCAAAAAAAGGGCGACCATGAGAATATGTGATACAGTGCCTTGAAAAAGTATTCATACCCCTTGAACTTTGGTGAACTCTATTAACTAATTAGCTGACTTTTAAAGGCAATTATTTGCACTGCATTTTATTTAGGGGTATCAGAGTACAGGGGACTGAATACAAATGCACACCACACTTTTCAGATTTTTATTTGTTTAAATTTTTGAAAACTATGTATCATTGTTGTTCCACTTCACAGTTATGTACTATTTTGTGTTGGTCTATGACAAAAAAATCTCAATAAAATACTTAAAAGTTTGTGGTTGTAGAGTGACAAAATGTGAAAAAGTTGAAGGGGTATGAATACTTTTTCAGGGCACTGTATATCCTGATATTGTTTGCAAATGTATCAAGTGGTATGAAGTGATCAGAGAAATGTCACATTTAAATTGATCTGCTCTGTCCATTTCAAAACACTGCAGCAAGAGGCTGAAATCACAGACAGAGTAAGAGAGCAAGAACTGAATCAGTGCCCCAAGTCTGACCCACACTGTGACAAACCATAGCCAATGCAGAACAGTCACTATTTATGCTTTTCTTCAACTCACCACTGATCTCAGTCATGAGGATGCTGCCACAGCACTTGGATTAGTCTTGTGCAGCTGCTTGCTTCACCATCTGTATTACCTCTGTCCTAACACTCTCAGGTTGAGGTGCAGAAAAGCTCACAGCTGCCATGAAAGTCTGAGCAATTTTACTTTCTGAGATGTTTGATTACTTACAGCTTATAGAAATATTTTATTTACATGTTTTACTGGGCGGCAACTGAAGGAAAAGATGAAAGAGTGAATTAAGGCAGTGGTTCTCAAGTCAAGTCCTCGAGACCCCCCTGTCCTGCATGTTTTGGATGTTTCCCTGCTCCAACACACCTGATTCAAATGATCAGCTCGTTATCAAGCTCTGTAATGGCTTAATAACGAGCTGATCATTTGAATCAGGTGTGTTGGAGCAGGGATGCATCAAAACATACAGGACAGTGGGCCTCGAGGACTGGACTTGAGAACCACTGAATTAAGGGGTAGAGACGATATCCAGGCTTCCCTGATGTGATGTATGGCAGAGTGTATCAAACTGTGGAGGAGAGTAGAGGTGAACAGAAATGAACAGAGCGGACATGCAGCCTGATGGAAACTGCACATGTCTGTCACAGCTGTATTCCTGATTCTTTACACCTTATTATTGTGGTTTTAGTCACACAAACTTGGTGCCTTTTTGGAGTCACCTGCTTGTGTTTTATTTGTGGTGTTATTTTTCACAAGGTTTTCCAACTTTGACACCTCTAACCGAAGAGCACAACAAGACATTTAAAAGTGCTCCTCTCTGTCAACACGGGGATTTTCATTGTTTAATATACAGTATAGGCCAAAAGTTTGGACACACCTTCTCATTCAATGTCTTTTCTTTATTTTTTTATATGACTATTTACATTGTAGAGTATCGCTGAAGGCATCAAAACTATGAATGAACACATGTAGAATTTTGTACTTATAAAAAAAGTGTGAAATAACCGAAAACATGTTTTATATTCTAGTTTCTTTAAAATAGCCATCCTTTGCTCTTGATGACAGAAGTACCTTGTCAGGGTTACTTCAGGCACTCCTGTGAAGTAAAAACCATTTCAGGTGACTACTTCATGAAGCTCATTGAGAGAACAGCTAAAGTTTGCAGCGCTACCAAAAAAAGAAAAGGGTGGCTACTTTGAGAAATATAAAATATAAAACATGTTTTCAGTTATTTCACACTTTTTTCTTAAGCACATGATTCCACATGTGTTCATTCATAGTTTTGAGAATCTACAATTTAAATAGTAATGAAAACAAAGAAAATGCATTGCATGAGAAGGTGTGTCCAAACTTTTGGCCTGTACTGTATATAAATGTTTTAATGTATGTATTTATATATATATATGTATTTTTCTGAGGGAACCCAAAAATAAAACTGTAAGTTTTGAATCCAGTTAAACCAGTGTCACAGTTTCCAGGTTTTACTCAGCTTTAAACACTTCAATCAGAAAACAGCAAGTGAGTGAATTGACCTTAAATTTCATCATGTTAATCATTTCCACTTTAATCTGTTGCCTAGGTGACAGAGATCAGCAATGTCAAGAATGTCACTCGGTTGCCCCGAGATACCAAGCGGCAGGCAGTGGCCATCGTCTTCACAGATGACACCTCACGCATGTTCACCTGTGAATCAGGTAACATATGCACACGTACAGAAAAACAACACTGCAAGATACATTATAGTCAGCCTTGTAGAGTTCAGCAGCTTGTAACTGCTAAACTACTAATAAACAGCTGACACCCACAGACTCGCTGTGTGACACAGATAAATAACTCAAGTGCCCAAAAAGTTTCAACATCTGTGTTTAAGGTTGATCCAGCCACAGGTAAGATTTACACTCCAGATAGCTGGTAGACCGTGATCTCTGTTTGAAGTCAGTATGATGGACATGTGTTGTAAAGAGAGAACTGAAAAGTCTCCTGACAAGCACAGAGGTAGGGGCCTCAACATTTTCAGCACAGCTTAGCATAAAAAAACAGGAGCCATGAAAGCAGCTAGTTTGGCTCTGTTCAACTTTCCAAAATAAACTCAAACTGAAGTTCACAAGCTGCATCAGGTCCAACCAGTAAAGATCAGTGTTTAATTCGGATGTAAAACCTAATAAGATTACTTCACAAATAAAAAGCTCAACAAAAACAAGACAAAACCTGCCTCTGGATGTCATACAGAACCATGACACGACATGGTCCATGTGTCTGTGCACCACTTTAAAGTCCAAACTGCTCCAGCAGATGGAGATCTGTTTAAAGACTGGAGGTCAGCCACTTCAGAGACTCCATGAATCAGCCTTTAATAAAAAAAGAAAAAAAAAACACATGAAAGCAGGTTTAAAGTATTACCTCCTACCATAAACAAGCACTTTACAGTAAATCTGAACTCCTACCATCAAGCCAGACATGAAAAAGTCCCACACTTAAAAGAGCTGAGGCTGCAGTACTCTTTAGTTCAACAAGTCATCTCTACAACCGTGGCTAATCTCAATGTAAAGGAACATTTGAGGACAGGAATATATCCTCTCAATCAATGAGTCTATCACACTTTTCATACAATGACAAAGCAACGTACTGTTCATGAAAAGAAAAGGAAATCAATAAAAAAGATTCAGGATGAAACACAATTAAAGAACAAATATGCACATCCAACCAACTTTCCTTTGACCTTTGAACTTATACTCTCTATCCTATCCATATTTAATAAGCTTTATTTGCACTAATGAATCAATAACAGCATGACCTCAAAGATTTGTCTGTCTGTCTGTCTGTGGTCACAGAGCTGGAGGCAGAAGACTGGTTTAAGACGCTGTCGATCGAGTGTGTGGGCACGCCGCTCAACGACATAAGTATGGGAGAGCCTGACCTGCTGGCTGCTGGAGTGCAGTGTGAACATACAGGTGATTCACAGACTGTTGCAAACATGTTGAGTGAAAGATTTGATCTCAGTAAGTAGTTTGACAGGTAGTCCAGGTCTGATTTACCTATCTTGTTTAAAACCATGTCATGTGACTTTCTCTGCTGCCTTGTTTCAAACTTTGAACCCTTTTTTCATACCGTCTCTTGATTATATCTGAGTTTTTGATTCCACTTTATTTGACTTTTTTCAATTCTCCACAGAGCGATTCAACGTTTTTCTCCTCCCCTGTCCTAACCTGGACATTTACGGGGAGTGCATGATGCAGATCACACATGAGAACATTTACCTGTGGGACATTCACAACCCTCGCACCAAGCTGGTCACATGGCCTCTCTGCTCGCTGCGACGCTATGGACGTGACGCCACCCGCTTCACCTTTGAGGCTGGACGGTGAGAGCACCGAGGGGAGGGCTGTGAGTGAAGGGGGAAGGGGAGGAGATGGGAGGGTTTCTTTGGTGCCCTACACACCCACACAGAGTTTCTGCTAAGACAGGAGAAATGGTATCTGTTAGAGCGTATGAAAGATGAAAAGTTTAGGCTTTATCAGAATACGTAACAGGTGTGTGTGTGTGAGTGTGTGTGTAAGGGTCAGTTCAAGGATACCTCTGTCTTTTTGTCTCTTACTCACACACACACACACAGAGCTCAGTAGTGTCCGTCTGAGCCTGTGAAGAGATTGATTGAATAGATTAGACGATGGATAAATACTGAGCCAGACCTTCTTATCTCCTCCTCTTTGATAAAACCTGACCTGCTATGATTGGGTTGGCATGCAGATAATAGTGTGTGCGTGTTTGTGTGTGTTTGCGTGTGTGTATTCAAGGTCTGAAACAAACCAGTACATCAAGGGGGCCCTCTGTCTGTAGCTGTGTTAAATTACAGCGCTCTCTCTGAATATACAGCTGCTGATGGCTTTATAAAACCAACCTTTAACACCTCTCCAACTCTTCACTGGAACATTTGTGCCCATTGACTTAAACTCAAGAGAAACAGTCAAAACTCTGTCAATTTTAAGGACAGTTTTTTGTGACAGCATCAGTGCTACATGGACTCACCTGAGGATTGAAGGCTGCTTGTGTTTATTGAACTTTACATGTTTATCTTCAACAGACGCTCACAAATAAAAACATGCCTATGAGCAATCGTGGCTGTAAGAGGCTCAACCTTTATCAACCTTATGAAACTGCCGGTGTGAGTGGCTTGGAGAGATCTCTGTTTGCTCACTCCTGTTGAAATATTCCTGTCAATAAAGAGTACGGGACATGAAGCTGAAGCAAGGGTTTTGTGTCTCTACGGTGGAGACAGATGGACACAGAATCTCTCTCTGGAGTCCAGACTGATGACATATTGATCTGTTTTATTTTTGTCAGTCTGCCTAATAAGATTTGTTGTTTGTGTAAAGGATGTGTGACAGCGGTGAAGGCCTCTACACTTTCCAGACCAGAGAGGGGGAACAGATCTACCAGAGGGTTCACTCCTCCACACTGGCCATAGCAGAGCAGCACAAGAAGGTCCTGCTGGAGATGGAGAAAAGCAGCAGGGTGAGAGACTGGAAAACAGAAAAAACAAGCTTTTCAAACAAACAAAAAAAAAAGTTTCAAAAAGTTATTTGAGTGAATAATGGTTCAGCTCCAAGTTAAAGCTGGAGGTCACGATTCTGAGAGAGCCCAAGGTTCTTGGTTTTGGGGGTTTTGTTTAGAAACACTGGAGTGGAACTGAGGAATTCAGGGCTGCAAAATCCAACATGAGGTAACTGCTGGTTGAGTTACTCAATTTTTAATTCATTTATTTTTGCAATGAAAACAACACAACTTTATCCAGCTCTCCGAGGATTCAATTTTGAAAGTCTGTGCATATGATGACGCTATGAAGATGTTGGCATTTCAACCAGGATTTAAAACAAACACCAGGGAAGGATAGAGGAAAAACTAATTTTAAGGCCCTGGGCCATTATAGAGCAGTTTTCAACAGATCAGTTTTTTAAATCTTAATTAAGTGAGTTAATAAAGCAGTGCAAAGGTGTAATTTAAGGTGGTATGAAATGTGAAAAAGTCCATTTGTAAATCACTGGTTCTGATTCTGCTGTTCCCCTTAGTCCTGAAGCTTTTAGGCACCTTTAGTGTTGTTTCGGTCTGTTTTAGGGCCTGCAGTAAAACTTAACTGATCGTATCAGCGGACAAAATTAAGACCAGGGCGGGTTTCGTCCCTTATGATACATCAGCACCTATGGCTGTAGCTAGAGCTATAAATCTCATCCAGCTGCTAAAGCTCTTTACTGTCCACCTGGCCTCCGTCTAGTCTCTGAAACTGTGTGAATAATAATCAGTGCAACAAAGAAAGTCTTATCTAAAGAGTTTAGTAAGTGTCTGAGTTTTTTCCTCATGGTGTCTGTTTCTGTCTCCTAGTTGATGTCTTTGGGCTCAGAGTCCGGGTCTTACCCCTGCACCCCTACTGCCATCCTCCCAAGATCCGCCTATTGGCACCACATCACTGGAAACCAGTCTGGTATGGATTCAGGTAGTGGTAGGTATACTTTAGTCTGTATATAGGATCAGGAAGAGCTGAGCAAAGCTGAGCAGTGAGCAGGAGAAGCAGGTAGTCTGAGTTAATCACACCTGTCAGCGGCGTATAAAGGGGTATCCCAGTGTAAAATTAAGTTATGGTCAAATACAACATAACACCAATTAGACCCCCCCTTGATGAATGAATGTTGCGGACTGCTTGCTTCTCTAGTTATACCAACTTTAGTGACGAGTCGATCACCGAGTTTCCATGAAGTAATAATCATGAATGTTCTTCCTTGAGCTGTGAAACTCCACTGCACTCAGTGATCAACTCGTCAGGGCTCCCCCACAAACAAGCTGCTGCTGGAAGAGAGTGGGTGAGTTGTGTTTGGTCTCTTTGCTAAAGAAATCAGGCAAAGCTAAAAAGATGTTTGATGGCTAGTACTATGGCTGGGACCTTATATGTACTGTTGATGAAGTTAGGTGCTGTTCTGAGCATTACTTATGGCTATAGAGTGGCGTTTTTGTTGAGGTTTGCACATGGAGATGTAGACCGCTGTGTATTGCTATTGTGCGGTCATTACCAAAGTTGGTATAACTAGAGAAGCAAGCGGTCGGCAACATTCATCTCTGGAGGGGGTGTCTAACTCGGTGTTACGGTGTGTTTGACCATAACTTAAATTTACGCGGTAATATCCCTTTAAGTGAATTGATGAACACATTGTATGTGATCTGTGTCCTTCACTAACTCCTGTGGATGCTTCTGCTCATTCTACAGGTAATGTGTCAGAAGACGACCTGCTGTCCACTCGTCTTCCTCCGGATCGTCATTCCACGCTGCCCCTGTCAAACACACTGACCCGGTCCCAACCGCACATACACACACACTCCCCAACACACTACCCCACTTATCCTGGACAGTGACAAACAGACACACAAGATATGGACATTAACACACACACATAACCACATGCATGCAGGCGCACAGTTCATACCTCCACTCCATCCCCATTCCACTCCTCCTCTGAGTTTCACAGCCCATGAGGACCACATGCTCCTCTGAGAGACTGCAGATCGATCGGGCTTTCTCATGGGACTTCAACTGTCGGGGGAGAAAGTGGAGATTTTCCACGCTCAGAGGCAGGACGTCTACCAAATTTTAGAACAGAAGAGTTACCACCTGTGCCACTGCTAAAGGAAGGGATGACATTCAGTGTTTTGGTCAATTCTCTTCTCCTGTTTTTATATTGTGTGATACAGTAGGACTAGATCTGCTGGGTCTGAAGTTAATGCATGAGTTGCTTACCCCTAGAGTGATGTGGGCCTGAAGTCACTAAGACCTGGTGTGTTGTGAATGGGACTTTGTGGTATGTCAACAGCACTATATGGACTGTGTAATCGTTGGAAAAACTGACACCTACAGGATCCAAAGTGTTGGAGAGCCAGGCGACATACTCGTATGAGGAAAACTGTGTCCACCACTGGATCGAGAACTTTGATTACTGATGTTTCTTTACAGTTACTGGGTGTATGTGCTGTGCTGAGGTTCTGGACTGCTCTGATCTGGGACTGGCTCCTCCGTCTCATGTCTCAGATGAATCCTCTGATACCTTCTTCCTCCTAAAGAACTATATTTGCACAATCCGTTACTCCATTACAGACCTCAGAGTGGAAGAGGGCCGTACAGTAAAGAGGTCAACACATGGATTTGTAGAAAACACTCTGATCACACCTTTTTACTCGAGTCAGAGAAATTACTTTTGTCTAGGGGCTTTAGCTTTGCAGACTAGGCATGCACAGAGTCCCAAAAGAGCAGTGCTGGAAATGAAGGGGGGCATCTTTTTCCCACAGAGGAAAGGCAGCCTGTCTTTCTTTGTGTATCATGTTCTCCAATGTTTTTAATCCCAAAGGCCACACCAGAGCAGCAAACATAAAACAGTTCACTTCACACTGACCTAAAGGATCACTTCATTTGACCAAGAGGTCGACACCCCGGGATGTGACAAAAGGAAGAAAAAAGGAGTCCTGAAATTTTGTAACCAGCAGATAGTGGAGAGCGTTGGAGTGTTAGTAAGGGTTTCTTCAGCTTCACATATGTGGCTTACATCAAATCTCTCTGTTGCATTCACTCAGCCAGGCCATGTTGAGCTGCAGAGGGGAAGGGGACTCAGTTTTTTACTCCTGCAGACAGAAATCTAGGAGTTATAAGATGATGTCTTAAAACCTGACGTTTGAGCCCACAGGTTTCATCAGGCCTTGCGCCATTTATGACTAATCCAACAAGAAAGAAAACACACCTGAGCAGTCAGAGGACATGAAGTTCATGAAGTTTTGATCAACTTTGTTGCATCCTAATCACTGAAAAATCAAAAGACCACATTCTCTGCAGCCCCCCTGCTATGACTGATGCTGAATTTGGTGTATTTCCAGGCCCACCATTGTAATCTTAGAACCCCCTCGTATGCCGAGTCCTGGCCCTGAGATTTCCAGGAATCTGCAGATTTCATCATGTGAAGAGGCTGAAAGGGAACAACAGAGAGGAGATCCTGAACTCTTTGTCCCAGAAGACCACCTTGCCTTTACCTTCCATCTCTCCTCCTGTTACACTGAGCTTTTTATTCTTTAAAGGCCTTAAAGGTGAGCAGAGAGAGGGTTGACATGTTAGCACAGACAGGTAGTCAGAGGAAGAAGTTTGCGTACTCTCAGCAGTGGGTTCTAGTAGCAACAGTTGGAAACAAAGACCACCTTCACATCATAAAGGCCTCTTACCTGGACTCTGTCAACACCTGAAGAAGCTTGATTCTTGCTGGGATCCCTGTACCACCTTCATTTCATGGTTTATGGTTTTATATCACTTGAACAGGGCTAAGCATTTTGTTGGTTGTTTACATGATTTAAGTTGTGTATCGTGTTCAGGTGACATTTGTGTGGTATCATACTGTATATCTTGATTTTTCAGGCCTCTTGTACATGTTGCTATTTATTTCAAATGAATTTTTGTGTGTGTGTGGGTGTGTGTATGTTTGTTCCTCATGGAGGATTATTGGAATGTTTGTGTATTTAATGTGAAGCTGCCATGTTTTAGTAGTTCATCCTCACTTTGTCAGCGTGACTCTCGACATAAATCAGCAGCTGGGAAAACTATATAAACACTATCTCATCTTCTGTCCTCCCTTACTGTGTCTTTCAGCCTTTTATTGACCCCACTCATCCCCACGCTCCTGTACGGTGTGTTAGCAGGACGATTCTTCAGAGAGGTGTTTCATAAAGAAAGCTCAGAAATAAGCTGGTCTCATTGTGAAAGTCTGTCTTCCATGAGCTCAAGCAGCAGATCCAGGACTGATCCGTTTCATACGGTGACCCGCAGCCAACATGTGAACAAAAACAGGAGTAATAATGGCGCAGGATTGACACTGACAAAGCAAAACAGACATGAAGTAAGAGAAAAACTTTGCAGACCAGCTGTGGAGTCAGACTTAAAATCAGGCCGGGAATAAACCTGTCAGAACGTATACTATGTAGTATTCAGCAGCATTTAGCAGATCAGGCTTGGTAGAAATGATCATAATGTTCATTTTTAATTTAGTTTATAATCAATTTAATATAAAAATAACTTTGTTTGCCTTTCAGATTGCTGTTGTGTAAAAAAGGCTCAAACTTTGTATTGGTAAAACTGACACACGAAGGGTCATACACATTATATATCACAGGAGCTTCATGTCCTTCACGGCCACCGTAGCTTTAACAATGGAAGCAGATACATGTCACTTAATCTATTTCAGCAATCATCAGGTCAAAATTTCTTCTCTTTACAGATTTCTTTGAGTAATTAGAATTTTCTTTATGTTTAACTGAAAGAAATTGATTTATCTCACTGAGCATTTTTTGGTCTAAAAGGGGTCTAATGAATGTCTAAATGCGGCCTAGACGACTGGTCCAAAATCAGTCAACCACAAGTCTAAAAAAGAAAGTTTTTTATATTTCTTATGCAGTTATGCAGCTCACAGATGCTTTTTAAAATAAATAGTTATCGAATAATGAGTTAAAGTGCAACGTCTAAATTCTGACTAAAAATATGCAGAATTTAGACGGTTGAAAAATTAGGTCTAAAAGAAAACTAGACGTTTAATAGCCGTATATTGCTCAGTGGGATTGGATCAACGTAAGCTCGGACAGTGTGCAATTTTTTTAAAAAAAAGTTACAACACTTTTGACTCTTTTTTCAAGTCCTTTTTTCTGAGCTTTTATTCAGTGAGGCTATGACAGTGAGTAGAGTAGGTAAAAGAAATAGATTAGTTGAGAATAGGAATGAACAGGTTAGCCTCTGGGCTGCACAACTTACCCCCTGGGCCCAACAGACGCCCCAGAAAAGCAGTTTCCTGAAAAAATAGAACTAAGTGTTCTTCAAGCAAATGATTGTCTTTCTCTCCAGTATTTCTACTCAGCAGCTTGATTTTTAAAATTTAAGAGGGAAAATGCTGAGATTGTGTTTCCACACAGCCTCAGGCTAAACTCACAACCTCTGATGAAGCTAAATACTGTTTCGAGGCCTCCAGCAATTACTGACTTGAATCTTGGAGCGCAGAGCTGCGTTTAGCGCAGAGAACTATAACGCTCATAATGAACTTGTTAAACTCTTTAAATATAATGTCCATTTTTCACATGCATGTTAGCAGGCCTCTATTTGCTTCATAGTACAAACAAGTGAAGCTGACTGCACTTCTACTGACATCTAACCCTGAACAAAGCTGCTCTGAAATTCACTCTTCATGATGTTTTGAGAGGAAAAGTCGTAAATTCACAACAATGAACACATGAATCCAAAGAAATACTGACAGGTCCACAAGAAGAGGTAATAAACATGATTGGTTTTGTCTAAATCGTTTTGGTAAGTGTTAAAACAGACGATAATTGGTTTTATTTCAGAGCAGTGAACCCTCCAAAACCCTCTGCAGTGAAAATGAATTTCAGGGAAATGTAAGAGTCTGATGGTCTGAGGTAAACCTGGCTGTGAGTCCCCTTGACCTGGCTTTATGAAACACCCCTCTGAGCACATGAATGACTAAACTGGAGGCTTGTTTCTCAGAATCGCTGAATAGGATGGAGAGTCACAGCGCTGACAGTTTCCTCCAGCATTGTATGAAAATATCAGATAGTAATTCTTTGTGTTTGTGATTATGGTGATATATCACAATGACGGTGCACATCAGCTCACATCACTGACCTTCTCTCAGCTTTGTAACCCAAGATGAAATGTTGTTTTCACCCACTTACACTGTCTACACTCAGTGCATGTTTTCTAGAAAAATAAAGTCTGTCACTCAGAGAGGCTCTTTTTTCGAATGTTACTTATTTCAGTTAAACATTATGATGTTGGATTAATGATTTTCTTTTATTGTGTTAGAGGTACTGTCTATTTCAGCCACATTCAGCACTGAAGTCGTAGATTTTAACCCCACCCTTCTCACCCTTCTAAAAAAGGCCATGAAACTGATGATCAGTGTTACGGCTACAGCAGTGAAGTTTAGTTGTATCAGCCTTTTGACTGCTGGAAACCCTTTATTTTTGAACTGGTGTAAACGTTCTTGCCCGCTGTTTCTGTGGCATTTGTCAGGGGGACATTAGAGGATAATTTAGAGATGGTTAATTAACATGTAGCAATATCCAGGTTAATAAGAAAACAGGTTTAAAGTTCCTATCAGGAGTTTTTTTTAATGTTTTTGAAACAGACTGAAATTGAAAAAGTCCAAAAGCAAACAAGACCATTAGTGAAAATATATAGAGATTTTTAATTGTAATTGTAAGAGCACAAAACTGGAGTGAGTGGGTAGGCGACAGCAGAGTAGATGAAAAAAAAACAACCTGTTTTTACATTTCTCTCATAAAACACACAGAACATTTAACTTTCAAAAGTGAACAGGGAGAGATTTTTAGTCAAAAGTTTGTATTTGTGTGTAGAGGACAAGATAGGCGAAGACTGCTTTGTCCACAGGGGTGCAAAAACTGACAAAAAGACTTTTTCTGGTTCTTTCTCCTCCGGTTTATCACCAATTGATTGTTTGATGTTTATTTTGAACATATAAAAAATAAAAATAGATGAGTGAATTAAAATGGATAAATAAATACAGCCCCATAGAATGATCATGTGACTCTTTTGAGAGGTCTGCCCTGAGGTTTAATATGACTGGCTTAAAGATTCCTGTTGGCTTTTGTAGCTCTGATTCTAATTAAATTATATTACACGGGCTACAAACATTAATTTTATGATTTCTTCTTTTGTTTTCTCATGTTTTCCTGACATTGAACAACAACAATAATAATAATAATAATAATAATAATAATAATAATAACAATAACAACAATAACAAATTGTTCTATTAATACAATGACCTTTTTCCTCCTCTCTAGTCAGCTTTACTTCGTCTTTAATCCACTTGGGGGCAGTAGTGTTTAGAGAATTGTGTTTGTATCAACAGCGTGAATCAGAAGAAGAAGGGGGAGCGGCTCTCTTCTCTGCATGCTCATTGACAGCACGGGTCCTGACAAGTTCACTTGATTTCTTAACAATAGTCTAACTATATCAGTAGGGTGTAACTGAAACAGCGACGTGAAATTCTGCCTGCCCGTCTGCTTTATTGTGTCCTTCCTCTTCTCTTTGAACCGAATAGCAGATAAAATGGGTCGGAAGGTGACTCTTGCTACCTGCTCGTTGAATCAGTGGGCTTTGGACTTCGACGGAAACTTTGAGAGAATACTCGAGAGTGAGTTTTACTCCTGAAAACTATTCAGCTTAGTCAGCTCTCATATGCTGCTGTACAAGAATGAAACTGCTGCACCTGAGATTGATAATACAGAGTTAGTCTGTGATAATGACATTTCAACATTAAGGTTTAAATGTGGGAGATCAGACTTTCTATAGAAAACAGCTGATATCAGAAAAGCAGCCTGTGTGTGTTAGCTGCACATCTTTGGGACATGATGAGAAAAACCATCACTTTGGATACTATGAATTCATACTAAAACCTTCCTGTTAGTATTAGTATCACCACAGGAATAAAGGTGAATAAAGCTTCATCAGTTTCTTTAAATATCACATTTTAATAAAGAGGCAGAAAAAAGAGGGGGAAAAAAATCCACCACAGTCTCATATATAGACTATATATATTCTAGTTTGCTTGTTTGTTTTCCTGCAGGTATTGAGATTGCCAAGGATCGGGGAGCCAAATACAGACTAGGCCCAGAACTGGAGATATGGTATGACAGGAAAGAAACAGTAACACACAGTATGAGTTCTTTTCTATATTATATATGTGTTATATATATGGTCACATCTTTTCTACAGTGGATATGGCTGTGCAGACCACTTCCATGAGTCAGACACGTTACTCCACAGCTTTCAAGTCCTAAAGAAGCTTCTGGAGTCTCCAAACACACAGGACATCATCTGTGATGTGGGGATGTGGGTATCACCTTCAGCCCTGCTTCAAATGAAAGAAATAGAGTTTAACGCAGAGCCAATATTTCAAGTGTCTGGGCAGGATTTTGTTTCCTGTGAACATGTACAGTATTGTTTCCTGCAGCCTGAAGTTCTGATATGTCTCATCTGAGTGTTTTGAATTCTGTTCCCATTAGGCCCATCATGCATCACAATGTGCGCTACAACTGCCGAGTCCTGTTCCTCAACAGGTGCGTCATCTCACTGCTCTTATCTTGCAAACAATGTGCTGTTTATTTCTGTTTTTATGCATTGTTACATCTGGTCCAGTTGGGATGTTTTTCATAATAACCCAAAGCATGCTGTTCCTCTGCAGATGCAAACACCCTGTTTGTATGTGCTGATCATTTTTCTCCATCCTGCAGGAAGATCCTACTGATCAGACCTAAAATGATGATGGCCAACCACGGGAACTACAGAGAGCTGCGCTGGTTCTCACCCTGGAACCAGCTGAGGTAAATCATCACAGGGCACAGGTCTGAACTATTAACAACAAATGAAAGACTCACAAAAATAAAACTATCAGGAAGCACATGCCAGCAGTGGCACAGCAACACTCTCTTTATTTTGATAGGAACCTTAAACAGATCTGGACTTTGGGGCGGCTGCCATCTCCTGTGGTGCTTTGGTACAGATAGAGAAAATGATAATGGCAGCAGCAGTCTCAGCTGGATGTTATGTTTTTGTTTTAATGTATGGTGTCATTCAGGTGAATGTGACATCCTGGGAACCCCTAAGATCACAGAAATACAGTAATGTTACATTAAAGGATATTTTTCCACTTTTCTCCAAGCTGTGCTAATCTGTGGGTTTATCTTTGTTTGAACATTTCCACATACTAAAGTACTTTTTCTTCCAGCCCAAACACTGGCTTGCACGTTGAGTGTATTTCTTCAAATATTGACATGTTAACTCATATTTTGGCTTCTTTTTTTAAGAAAAGTGGAGGAGTATTTCCTACCCAGAATGCTTCAGGAGGTAACAGGACAGGTAAAAAGCCACACAGTCATCTTCTCTTTCACCTTTCTCTTTTTATCTTTCTCTGTCAATACTCTTTATTTGTCTGTGATCTCTTGTGCACCAGGATACCGTTCCCTTTGGTGACTGTGTACTATCCACCAAGGACACCTGCATTGGTACTGAGTTATGTGAGGAGCTCTGGAATCCCAGAAGGTGAAAAATCATCTCTTAAAAAGGATCTTACTCTCTGTCTTTTGGATGTTTGAGTTAATCCAGATTTGTGTGGCCTGTTTTCTGTGCATCAGCCCTCATATTCAGATGGGTCTGGATGGAGTTGAAATCTTTACTAATTCTTCTGCAAGCCATCATGAACTCCGCAAGGCTGACCAAAGAGTGAACCTGGTCAAGGCAGCCACTACTAAGGTATTTTTTAACCAGGAGTCTTCAGACACTGTTCAATTAGAAATATGAAAAATATAGGAGGAGCCAAAGTTCAAATTTATTGTCTCCTAACTTAACAAACAAACACAAATACTTGTCAACATGTAATGTCATGTAAATGAAAAATCACAGTGGCATTATTGCTGTAAAAAAAACAGGATTAGAGATGTTTCAGCAATCTGTCATCACTGCAAGCACATAAACCAAACACTAGATCAGTGTTTGTACAGGCTAAACATAGAGACCAGCAGAAGGCAGTGTGGTCTTACAAATGTGGGACCACAACATCTCCTGCTTAACGGTCATTCTGCTTCGAATGAAAAAAAAAAAGGTTGACATTGTCGCTTCATTTGGTGTGTTTGTTGTTCCAGAGTGGAGGTATCTACTTGTACGCTAATCAGAAAGGCTGTGATGGAGACAGAGTCTACTATGACGGGTGTGCCCTGGTGGCCATCAATGGAGACGTGGTGGCTCAGGGAGCACAGTTCTCCCTGAATGATGTGGTTAGTATGGAGCCCAGAGAGAACCTGGGCACAGCTCAGAGAGTGGACACAAAGGAGTTCCCACGCAGTTGAAAAGATAACTGGAGTTTCTTTAGTGTCTAAAAATATACACTTGATAAAATGTAAGTAATTTGTGTTTGTGTGTGTGTGTGTGTTATAGGAGGTGATCACAGCCACTCTCGACCTTGAGGATGTGCGTAGCTACAGAGGAGAAATTCGTCAGCCAAACATGGTGAGAGCATCATTACCATCTTTGTAATGTTCCCAGTTTGTGAAATCATGACTAGTTGATATTTGTATTGATTTACATGGTATTGTATAAAGACCAATATTCACTGGGCTGAATCAGATTAAAACATCTATTGTGGACATCAATACTAACCTTTACTTAACCTGCTAACCGGCTGAACTGAAATGAACTCACTAAACAGCAGTGTTGCCACAGTTACTTTTAAAAAGTAATTTGATTACTGATTATAGATTATTCCTTTAAAAAGTAACTTAGTTACTCAGTGATTACTTGATTTTAAAAGTAACTAAGTTAGATAGCAAGTTACTTTTTAACTTACATTCAGCAGACTCAACATATAAATGAAATTCATTTTCTTCCCAACACTCACTTTATTGGTGTCATTTTAACAGGAATGTCAAAACATACATGTTTTTTAAAGAAAATAAAGATAGTCTTTCTTGACTGACAAAACAAACATTTTTAAAATAAAAAAAGGACGCACACAGTGACTTGGACATGTAACTTAAATCTTATTACTAGTTTGAAAATAGCGACGTGTTAGATAACTCATTAATGAAAAAAGTGGACTTATTCGAGTAGCTGATTACTAAGTAACGCCTTACTGGCATCACTGGTAAACAGTAGCCTATACCTGCAGTGAGACAACGGCACACACACTGTCATACTCACTCAGAACAAGCATGGACAGCCTCACACTGATCCGTCTGTGGCTGTCGACTTTTGGCCATGCTCCCTCTAACTGGAAGAGTTTACCAAAATCTGATGCTAAGCTTTTTTTAGTTTTTGTCCCTGTAGCAATGACTTTGGATTTTTATTTTTGTTTTGATACAATCATTGATATTATACCAGTCTCAAGTTTTATTTTCACTTATCCTTATGTCCATGTCTGGCAAGTTAATCCTATTGGTTAAATATTCTTTACATTTTTTTGATGAAGCATGTCTTTGTTTATGATTGACTGTAAAAACTGAAGAACTGAACTTGCAGAGGGTGCAAACCACAGGCCTGAGTCACATATTAGAACTAATGAGACAGGAACAGGGGCACCTCTGGGGTCACGAGATGAGGAGCCTCTCACAGACCTGTGAGACACCTCTCTGGTCCTGCAGCACAAACCGCTGAGTCCGGTGCTGTAGAAAGGCAAATGAATCCAGCATAATCCCATTTTTAGCTCTCAATGATAGTCAAAGAACCAAAGCTGAGGACTTGTTGGCCTCATTCTAGTTAAACTGCTGTTGTGCTGAGCGCATGTCACTTCTGTCACATGTCCTCTCACCGTCATGCTTCTCTGCTGCAGGAAAGTGAACACAAACTTTGCCACAGAGTCAAAGTCGACTTCTCGCTGTCCTCCATCGACGATGTCTACCTCCCCACTCACCAGCCAATAACGTGGTACTTTCATACAGCAGAGGAAGAAATCAGGTACATTTCATTTGGTACCAACTAAGACTGTGAACCAGTTTCTTTAAGACAAGAAGCAGTAAAGACCTGCTCCGTTCAGTTTAGGGCCGGCCTGCTGGCTCTGGGACTACCTGAGGAGGAGTGGACAGGTGAGGAGGAACCAGCTGTTATCTAAATGTATTTGTTAAATCTGAAATACACTGATAAGAAAACTACATGGCAGTAAACCTTTGTGGTTCCTGGTTCCTTGGGAATGCTATAGTCTCTGTTTGTTTGTTTGATGAAGATTTATTAGGCTCTATCATCATTCATATGAACACTTGTTTAGATTTTGACTGGTTGAGCTGACTTTGGGTTTTGGTTCCTGTTTGTGTCACAGGCTGGTTTTCTGTTACCTCTGAGTGGAGGGGTTGATAGCTCCTCCACTGCTTGTATCATTCACTCCATGTGTGTGCTGGTCTGCCAGGCTGTGGACGACGGCAGTAAGTATGATTCTCTCAGCTTTTTTACAAGTTTCATACAACTATAACTGCATGAATGCATACACATAAACATATCTTCTCGAGATAGAGATGACTTATAAAACCATACAGCGACCTTCTGACCCCAAAGACTCTATCACTGGGATATCAAGTTTTATTATAAAGTGTAAATATAATATTTTTGAAAACAAATAAGGAATATAATAGTTTCACATTAAGGAGTTTCTGAGTTTAATAGGTGAGCAGAAAGTGTTCATAGTGTTGCCTCAGAGTGCTGCAGAGCAGAGCATTTCTAAGTCAGCAGGTTTCCCTCTCAGTCTTGTCAGTCATCTCTCTTTTTCAAATCCTTCCTTACCAAGAAAAAAAGTAGAGCATGAGGACAGGCGTGAGTCCACCTGGAAGATAGCTGTATCCAGAGCTTTTCTTCAGACTGTTCTTCAAATGTATGTTGCTCCTTAAAGTGAATATCTGTAATGTTTGAGTTCATATGATTAAAACACCGACTCAGCAGTTTAAGAGGATAACCTGATGATTCAGCTTTTCCAACTTCCTACTTATAAACTCAGACACTGGTTTTATTATCCTCTCTTTCCAGTCTTATTCTCTCTGGGCTCTGACAACAGCAGACTCACTCAAGGTTTCTCATCTTCTTTCGTCCTTTAACCTGTCTCCCTCTCTCTCTCTTCCTCTTCACATCTCTCAGACATGCAGGTTCTGGAGGATGTACGCAGAGTTGTCGGGGATGACTCCTACCGGCCTCAGCACCCGAGAGAACTGTGTGGTCGCATCTTCACCACCTGCTACATGGCCAGTGAAAACTCCTCAGAGGTCACCTGCCGCAGAGCCAAAGACCTGGCCAATCAGGTCGGCAGGTAAGCGTGACTAAACTCAAGTGGAAGGTACTGATACAGAAAAAGTGTTGAATGACGCCTGACACTAAGGAAGGTAAGATCGCTGAGATTGGCAAGTGTTTTACAGCTGTATTAAATACTTGACACTGATTGGTCAGCACTCCTTAGCAACAGTCTGTTAATACAGCCATAGAACACTGTTGCTATGGATGTGGCCATTATCACAGACTCTGATGGTCAGAGGAAAAGGTAGTAGACTGTAGCGACAAAGACAAAAGCTGTCAGCCATCTTTGGAGAAATCTACAAATCAGAGATAAAACATGAAGTAAACACTAAACTAAATAATATATTTCACTTGAATTGCAGCACGCACATGAACATCAATATAGACATGGCGGTGAAAGGAATTCTGGGTATCTTCTCAGTGGTTACTGGAAGGTTACCTCAGTTTCGCGCCAACGGAGGAAGCCACAGAGAGAACCTGGCTCTTCAGAACATACAGGTGAGACGCTCCCTAACTGTGTGCCCCTCCTGTTTCTTTATATTCATCCATCGATACACTCGTTTATAATTGTAGATTTTCCAGCCTTCTTTTCTTCTTCCTTTCTTGACTCACTCTTTTCTCTGCTGCAACACTTCTCTCAGTTTACACGTTTGATCACAGTCAAACCGCTGTTTTCACACCAGTGCTTCACCAACAAACTGACACTGTTTGGTCGCAGCTTCAGAGAATTTTTAAACGACTTTCATTTTGTACATGTGTGTGTTTTCAGGCCAGAGTCAGGATGGTCCTCGCGTACCTCTTTGCCCAGCTCAGTCTCTGGGCCCGAGGGCGGCCAGGTGGACTGCTTGTGCTGGGCTCAGCTAATGTAGATGAGAGGTAATACTGCAGCCAAGTCTGATACTAATGACTTTTCAATGACCAGCTCTTAATCCTTGCTTTTGTGTTACTGATCTCTGTCAGAGATGCTTTCATACTCCCACAGTGTAGATGCGTAACAACTGCTGACATCAGTTCTTTGTTGACAGCTGATGGTTTTCAGGCAGGGTGGTATAGGCAGATACTGATGGTTAACCAACACATTGGTTCATTACTAGTTGGACTATCAGAATGAAAGTGAGAACCATAAATCCTCAAATATGGGCTGGATCAATGATTTGTTTCTACTACTTCAGGTACCAAGCCTTTATAAGAAGCAGGCTTTTATTGGAGACAGGCCTTTGTATCAAATCCTATCAGTCTCTGAGAATTAGTGTCCGTATTTTACACAAAGAGAGGGTCTTATTCACCGACTCCAGCCAAGAAGACATTACATTATCCACAAAGCACAAAAGGCTGAATGTTCCTGTGTGCCAGTGATTCAAATAGTTCAATATGTCTTCATTTAGAGCTAATTACACCTCTGTCAGTGTAAATCAGCCTTATTGTGAAAAAAAAATCCACAAACAATTAGAGGGACATTTTTACCAGCTGTTGCGTATTGATGAGCATCATCACACTAAGAACAATTCTACTCTGAATGACCCAGGAATGATACATCCATGCATGAGCTTATTAACAATATGTTGACTTTTGCTATATTCATTAATCAGAAATGTTCAGTCAGACTGAGCTGGAGCAGACTTCCCTGTCTTTGGTATGTTTTTTTTTTTTTTTTTTACCATGTGTCCACACAGAGCCACCGTAGACTGTGGTGCAGTGGTTGTTAAAGCTTTAATCTGGTTGACGATGCACTTGTGTGTTTGAGCTCCACATCAGTGTCCCCTTTATTATCATCTCCTTTGATTTATTCCATCAGATGAACCAAGAATATGGGGTTATCATGCGATTACTGTAATAGAAACATACCATCAGTGAACCTGAAGAGGTTTAAAATACAGATATGAACCACACAAGCTTTTGTCTTAATTACACTGCAGTGCAGAGACAACAATACAACACAACTTGGATGCAATCCCCTGAGCTGAACTATATACATGAGATTCCTAATCCAGCAAATCTGAATGCATTTTTTCTGTCTGATATTTTCTAAGGTGGAAAATTCCAGACTTTGTTCATTTGAAAACCTTCACTTTCTTAGTCTAACAGGATATTTCACCAAGTACGACTGCTCCAGTGCTGACATCAACCCAATAGGAGGCATCAGCAAGACGGACCTGAAGAGTTTCCTGCATTACTGTGTGGAGCAGTACCAGCTCACAGCTCTGAGGAGGTACTATTATCATGATTAACTGTGGGTTAATAACTGGGCTAGTGTTGAAGACAGAAACTGGAATGTGTGTGTTACCTCTGCAGCATCCTGGCAGCTCCCCCCACAGCTGAGCTGGAGCCCCTGACTGATGGACAGGTCTCGCAAACAGATGAGGTGGGACATGGAGGTCTGGCTTTAGACCTGACATTAAGTTCATCAAACAAGGACAGCTATTGTCACTTATTATGAGCCGGTATCACTGGAACTTTTCCTGTGACTGTACCTCGGGGCTGTCTCTACATGGACCCTAAAATAAAATGTAATATGATCTGCAGCTAAGTCCTTCTGTGCATGGGAGGTACTTTTTCCATCTCTCATCCCTCTCCTCCTAACTCACTCTGTTTCTCTCCACCACATCGCCCTCTTCAGGCAGACATGGGAATGACCTACTCCGAGCTGTCTGTTCTTGGACGTCTAAGGAAGATTTCCAAGTGTGGCCCCTACAGTATGTTCTGTAAACTCATTCACACGTGGAAGGACGTGCTCTCACCATTACAGGTCAGTTTACTCCATCACAGTGTTAACATTTCTCTCAAAGACCAGGAGGATAAAAAGGCGCTTATTACTAGGTATTAAAGAGATACTGAAGTTAAATAAGCCGTTAAAGGGTTAGTTCAGGGTTTTTATCTTTTATTTTTGGAAGAGGAGTTGCATAAAAGGACTGGTCAGCTTAGACACATTTGGACAAACTTTTATGTGTTTTATGGTCTTTTTGCTTATAAAATCAGTCGAAAACTTTAAATAAACGAGTAACTGTGTTTTTTACTTAAGATATTGGATTTCATATTTACTTGGAATCTCTTGAGTTTGTATTTGTTTAGAGAGGATGAGCACACAGTCATCTTGCTGATGTTGTTTGTGAAAGTATGCATGTTTTCCATCCACCACTTTTCATATTCTTACAAAGTGCAAATAAATATTGATGTTGGTACTCTCCATAGTTGATAGATCTGGTAAAATGCATGTATAGTGCGTGTTGGTATGATACACTGTTGGTCCATTGGGGGCTCTTATGTTCTGTATACCACTCTCTTTCTTTAGGTTGCTCTGAAAGTGAAACGGTTCTTTCGGATGTACTCGGTGAACCGCCACAAGATGACCACAGTGACGCCATCCTACCACGCTGAGAGCTACAGTCCTGACGACAACCGCTTTGACCTGCGACCATTTCTCTATAACACACATTGGGACTGGCAATTCAGAAGCATTGACAACCAGGTATCAAACATGCGCTAAAGACTTTGTTTCACTTTTTCAGCATGTAAAAGTGATGAGACAGACTAAAACCAGTGTGAGAAGCAAGTGTGTTTTTTTATTTGAACATCAATGACCATCTCTAAGTCTAGTTTTTTTCCCATACATAGGTGTCCCAGATGGCAGCATATGAAAACGTGTGATCCTCAATGTTCAGTGATCAGAAGGACAAGAGAACATTTAGTGACTTTGAGCACATTTCACTCATACCTAAGACTTTATATGGTGCAAAAAAAACCCACAGAAACCATCAGGGGAGAGACAAAATTTTCTGGTGCTTTACTGACCATTTTCTACCTCAGCCTCTTCTGCCTTTGTGATAGCTCTCAGCAGGCTGCCATTACCGTAAAACAATGATATTTCAAGAGTGTCTTGATGTTTCACTTCGTCTGTCTGTAGCTTAAAAATACATTTTCTTTCTCCATGTAGGACGCTGTGGCTGTTTTATGTCACTTCTGGAATATATGTGGAGTTTAAACATAGAGCCACCCCGATTTTTTCATTATTACTTATTAGATTAAACCACCTTTTTTATGTTCTTCTTATCAGTTCTATATGCAACAAAGTGATTATACACAGTTTCTTATCAAATTTTAAATTCTAAAGTCACAGGATGAAAAAAACAAACAGGTTTGTGTGTTTGTGTTTTTAAATAAAGAGGATGCGGTCATCATGACAAAAATCTGCTTGTTTGTGGATTTATTACCGAACACTTTGAGTTTGGCAGTTTGTCATTCTCATCAGGTCCTTTATTGGAGCCCAAGACTAGGTCTGGGAAGGTGCTAGGCAGGGTAAAGTGAAAGCAACACTAAGGGCTTAGGTAACAAAGTTCATCCCTCACTTAACAAAAAGGTTGATATCAAGTGGGTGAAAAACCGGATGTGTGAGAAATGTCAGCTGAGTCAAAGAAGCACTTTTCAGCTTGGTTGTGACAGGTCGATTAAAAGGACAAGTGCTTATCATTTTATTGTTGATTTCTGTTCCAAACGGGACTCCCACATTTTAAAAAAAGACTGAAAACCAGAGATGAGAACTTTAATTTACCAGTAAAATGTCTTCCTCTTTAAAAACACTTTTCTCATAAACATATTAACTTAAGGTCTAAGTAATCTGATGTATGTTTGCAGGTAGAGTAGCCTTCCCTCACTTCCAGTTTTAACTTTTTACCTTCATACCTGATGTTGTGTTTTCTTCTTTATGTGTCTTTGGCTCAATATGAACAAAATAAACATTTATTAAAACTTGTTTTATAAAATATGCCATCTTCATCTGGTTGTGTATACTCCTCAGGCTCCTGAACTTTGTGTTAACACGAATAAGAGTGTCTAATTGGACCAGTGTTAGTGTAGTCCCGGCACAATGTACTCCTGGTGAATACACTTAGGTTAACATGGAATCAGCTCTAAATCTTTATCCATGTGAATTGTTTTGGAAAAAGGGTGCCAGGTGTCTCCAGAGATAACTTGCTAACGAGATATTAGAGATAAAAAAATATGAAAGTCTTCATTCAGATTTACTTCTTTCTGTAACTTTTGATTATTGTCTCTGTCCTCTAGTGTGGTGACCTACTTTTAATGAAGCATAAAGAAAACAACATTAGAACTATTAACAGGACAAAAGCTATCTGTTTTTGTTTGTTCAGATGACAGATTAAGGGTTATGGGTTAAATTTTGGCCCACTCAGTTGTGATATGTCAAAACTTTTTCTCCCTTTTTTTACTCATAATGCACACACAGTTTGGACAAAATAGTAATTACAACTTCAATGGTCCATGTTGTTAATGTTAAACTAAAGTGAGTTCTTTTATTGTTTATAATCCCTGATATTGATAATATAGACTGAATGATAAGTAGCACTGGTTTCGTTTTAACTCTGAGTCCTTGACCTTAAACGCACCATAACAAATACTTCACACCTTTTAATTCTCCTCTTCATAACTTTGTTAAGCCTGGATTTGTGCTTTGGTAACGGAGTCTTTCAGGTTTTGGTGTGTTGTCATGTCACCTGGACTGCCCTTCCCGTGGCCGTGACTCCGCGCTGTAGCACGTGCAGAGCTGGAGGAGGAGTCAGCGCGTTACTGTGGGTGTAAAGTGATACTGTGGGACAGGACAGGAGGGAGGAGCAGAGGAGTCACTTCCTAAAAACACATTCCCTTACCCTTACCCTGGAGCTTGTTTGTTTGTTTGTTTGAAACTTCATTAGTTGGTACGCAGCTGAAGTCAGAATAAAGGAAGACCGCAGCGTCGAACCCGAGACCGCTTCAGATATCTGTAACTTTCACTTTTGACTGCTGAGGAGCGCCTGAACCAGAGGTGGATTTCCTGGATGGAAACGGAGGGTCTGCTGACCGGGACTGTGAACGGAGTCTCCGCGGACTATGGCTCCAGGTCAGGCTCTGGCAGCAGGAGGATGTCGTACTCTGTCTCCGGACAGTCGTGCAGTGTGGAGGGGGCCACAGGTGAGTGAGGGGGGTGTCGGCACAGAGGAATCTGTTTTAAGGTGACTTAAAGTATGTGTGATGATATGATAAAAGGAATGTATGAGAACAGGTGACTGCTGATCCTGTTTGTGTAGTCAGTGCTGGTTTATACTGTGATCCTGAAACCAAAGCAGCCACACTGCTCCATTACAGACCAAAGCCTCTTGGTGCAAACCTGAACTGGTGAATGGGATGTGAACATACATGCACAGCCTAGCAGGTTCTGCTGAACAGTGGCCCCTGACAACAAAACATAATCATCAATCTCTGCTTGCCTTGCAGCCAAACTGAGATTTGGCCCCAATAACACCAACATTACCTGACCAAGGCATCAGTCCAGCAAGCGAACAGGGAGCCTATAACAATCAGGTGTTGATATGTTCTTGGTAACTGTCCCTGAACTAAGATTTAGGGGGCCTGCTATTGCAGCCCAGATGCCTTATGACCATCTCCAGTTTTCAATTAAGTGTAATTTACTGTAAACAAACAAAAAATAAAATAAAAGCACATACAGTCTCCACACACCTTAAATAGTGTGAGTATGTAGCAGACATTCTCCCACACCTGTGCACCGACGGCTTTCATATTGCACTGTTATTACAGGTGCATTTACATGTGAGTAGCATTTTGTTCGTGTTGTAACCAATATTAATTTGACTTCTTCAGTTTTAAGTTAATGCGTTGTGTTTTACAAGATCGGAGTGAATTGTAAAATCTATCTGTGTACTTTTCACATAAAGTATCTCATATGTGACAACTGAGTGCTGAGTTTTTGCCAGAGCAGCCTGACTTTGTTTTTTCAAGAGACTCCCAGTCAGTAATGTCACAGTAATAGCTCTAGTTCCCGAATGATAATTAGTTTTAATAAACGTGTCCTTCTACTAGCACTCTAATTTACTGACACTATGGGCTCAGGGGTTAGAAATGAAAATAATAAGAGTGTATTTTATGTTGGTTTAATTGATTTTAACTGTACAGACGTGACATCAAATACAGTTAATGTTTTTATATTGAGAATCCTCAGCATGACCTCTAACTTTGATTAACTGTGTCTTTTAATGAGTTTAAAACATTAAACCTGGAAAGTTGTTTATGAAAATTTAGAGACTCTTGACGATTACATTTTGTTGTACTATATCAAAACACAACATTACATTTTACAACCCCCCTTTCCAGTGAAATTGGTATGCTGTGTAAACTCTTTTCCACATAAATTCACCTGAGAACTCCACAAAGATATTTAAAGTTCAAACTGATTAACTTGTCATCTGTAAATATTCCCTCATTTTGAATGTAATGCTGTAACATGTTTCTAAAATGTTGGTTCAGGGTCAACAAAAGACTGAAAACTGAGGACTGCCCCCAAAACACCTGTTTGGATCATTCCACAGGTGAACTGGTTCATTAGAAACAGGTAAGGGTCATGATTGGGTATAAAAGGAACATTACTTAAAGACTCAGTCCTTCACTAGCAAGGATGGGACCAGGTTCACCACTTTGTCAACAACTGTGTGAGCAAATAGTTCAACAGTTTAAGAACAATGTTTTTAAATGTACAACTGCAGGAAGTTAGTGATTTGATCATATACAGTGCAAAAAAATCATCAAAAGATTTAGAGAAACTTCTGCGCATAAGCTGGAAGGCCCAAAACCAACACTGACTGACCATGACCTTTGACCCCTCAGCAAGAATGGGAAGGAATCCAAAAGTGAGTGTCCTCAGTTCCTATAGGTTTATTGAGTGATGTAAATGGAAAGGGGATGAAACACAGACAGAAACATGACCCTGAACCTGCTTTTTAGGAACGTGTTACAGCATCAAACTCAAGATGAGTGAATATTTACAGAAAACACTCAAGTTTATCAGTATGAACATGAAATATCTCATCTTCGTATCTTGTCACCTGGTGTGAGTGACACCAGAGAGTGTGCAGCAAACTAGAGAAACGACCTTTTTAACTTTTTACACAACAAATACTCACAGTGAGTGGTACATTTCACCACTCTGATGATATGGCCTGAAAATTTCTTTTCCATCTTAAAGAAAACCAAAACAAATGACTCCAAACAGGTTTTCAGCCCCTGGCCGAGCAGCTTACTTCTGCGTTCACCACAGAGGTCCACTTGATGTTCAAACACCACATCTTCAGTGATGCAAACTCCATCTGGTTTGGCATTTTGAATTTTGTGGTACATGTTATAATGACAATAAAGATGTTATTCTGTTCTGTTCCTTCTACATCAGAACGAGCTTTTCACTGTGTCAGTTTCTCATCAGGGGTGATGCAGTGGAAAAATAACTCTTCTAATTTTGTCTGTGTGTTATTTGCTGTTTTTATGTTCCGGTTGTTTTGTACGTTTCTTAATGAGACTGCAGGCCTCTGTTTGAGATGTTGCGTGAGCTTTAAGCTGTGACAGCTTTTGAACAAACTTTGCAGCAGACTGGTTTTTTGTCTGAGGTCCAATGCCACAAAACTGAACCTGCTTCAAACAACTAATGAGACTGTGCCCTTTTGTGTGTGTGTCTGTGTGGGATGCAAACAAGGAGAGAGAGTTTACTTTAGGGGCCCAAGAGGAGGTTAAGCAGGGACAATCTGTCCTAAACCACAAGTAAGAATTAAACAATAATTACTGACTGCCCAGCCCTACTTAAACATGCACAGGACAAGATCAGCAAAAATGTAGAATGTAGGTTTGTCCACAAGGGGCGCCAAATCAACGCTGCACATCCCACCAATCTGATGTAATATCAGGTACATTTTGACTTTTTGATGCCCAAACTTTTTGATGCCCAACCTCTTAAGATATGATTGTGATGGGAAGTTCATCTAGTCCTGTATCCACAATCATGTTAGCCTGTGAAGTGAAGGAAAGAGAGAGTACTGTAGGTCAGTGATGTTACAATCCACGTTTTATCAACACAACACAGAGTTATCTCTGAGATTCTAACTGTTGCAGTCAGAACCAGGGGCACTTCAGTCATCACACTTACAACTACTCCCCTTCTTGAAAGATTTTTGACAGTTTCTCGTGCTGTAGTGAGTGTGGGTGGTACAGCTTACACTTGTTTGACCACTGTGTGTGTGTGTGTGTGTGTGTGTGTGTGTGTGTGTGTGTGTGTGTGTGTGTGTGTGTGTGTGTGTGTGTGTGTGTGTGTGTGTGTGTGTGTGAGCTTCAGCCGTTGTAAACCCTGCCCCGTCAGGGACACCCACAAACACCACAGCTCTGACACATCCTGCTTTGACGCATCAAGTCAGCAGGACTGTGTGTGTCAGTATGAATGTGCCCAGACCTGAGTCATCACATCTGTGTAAGTGTGTAACTGTGGGGTGGAAAAGTCATTGTCATTGAACAGAATCAGTCAGCAGACAGGGACTAACTACCTGCTTACTGACTGCTCAGGGAGTTTGGTTTGAGAACTGAATGTGTCCTAACAAATCCTGAAAGTTTCTTGACTCTACTACAACAGTTTTAGCATGGTGTAGTTCAGTGTAGACACACAGTGAAAGCTCAGGTCCAGTCCAATAAAATCTCCTCACCGGTCATTAAAGTAGTTTGTGACTGTTGTGCTGGATATATGATACCAGACCAAACCACAGCTGGAGCTTTCTTCTGACATTTACATGAAGAGCAGGTCTAGACTCAACTCTGTATCATGTGGGTTGGATAAATGCTGACATGTAGAGAAACATGCTCTGAGCTGTCAGAAGACCGGAAAAGTGTAATAATAAATCCACTTTTTTAATTTATTTCTGTTCATATTCATATTTATGAAGACATTTGACCTCAATCCAGATTACAGCTGTACTGATCTGTACATACCGTTCAAATGAAATTTCTCCACAGTATGGTTCGGCTCAGGCTTGTGGTTCCTTGATAATAACTAACATACCTAACATACCAGGTTTTGAGCATAGACTGTATATACTATGGACAACTTGGCTCCACCTTCCGTCATATACAAAATTGAAGCCTCCGTATTTCCGGGATTTTCTCCACTTCCTGGATCCGCAACTTGCGCAGTAGCATTGTATGCATTCAGTAGGAAGGGTCACTGTGATGAAGCTCAGCTCAAACAGCATATCCCCCGGGTGAGCTACACAATCTTCGTGCGCCCATAGGCTGTAGAAAGTGTCAATCATAGAAAACATGAATTCCCTTGTAACTTTTAAAAATGGAGCTGTACAGAAAAAAGATGACTTGGGCACAAACCAGTCTTACAATAACTACATGTCAACATCACAACCAGGGGGGAGAAAAATTAATCATTAATATTCCGTGCAATTGACTTCTAAAGTTTGTCCACAGCTCCATAGGGATTGCTGGAGGTAGCAGGATGATGATCTATCCTGCAGCCTGTCACCAAAGGGTGCTGTTCTCGGAGTGGCTTCACCTAGCGAGGAGGCAGACAGCGTCCATTCTATATACAGTCTATGGTTTTGATCTACAGATCAATTTAAAATGTATTTATAGCCGTTTATAAGTGGAGGGTTGATCTAATGTATAAGAAAGGAGGGAGAGTGTTTGTTCTGCTTTGTACTGCTCATCTGCTGTCATGGAAATGCAATCAGACCAAGATGTAAGGCAGAAGAACTACCACGTCTGCAGTGCAAAATGATTAATATGATGATTATTACTTCAAGGAAATGGTAAAGAAATGATCATAAATGTTCTTCCTTGAGCTGCGTCACCCCGTAGCAGTCTGTAATGGATTGACCTGAGGTCTCGCTACAAACAAGCAGCTGCTGGAAGAGAGTAGGTGAGTTGTGTTTAGTCTCTTTGCTAAAGAAATCAGTCAAAGTTAAAAAAATGTTTGGTGGCTAGTGCTCTGGCTGGGACCCTATATGTACTGTTGATGAAGTTAGGTGCTGTTCTGAGCATTATTTGTGGCTATAGAGTGGCTCTTTGGTTGAGGTTTGTGTGTGGCTTCTCAAACCGCTGTGTATTGCTATCCTGCCGTCGTTACTGAAGTTGGTATCACTAGAGAAGTAAGCAGTCAGCAACACTCATCTCTCAAGGGAATGTCTAACTCTGTGTTATGGTGTGTTTGACCCTAAATTAATTTTACACCAGAATATCCCTTTAAGAGACCAGGAGGTGCTCATGTGGTGGATGGCATCTTCAGCTTGTGCAAAATACCTCTGCATATTTTGAAAAACTATGAAATGAAAGTATGATGACATCCACAGATTTCAGCCCCTGTGATTTGGCCTCCTGTCCTCTCAGTTCTGATTAGTACTGATCCTGAAATCTGAGATTGTTGTGACATGATTGGCACCTTCCTATCTTGTTTATGTCCTGCAGTATCACATTAAAGTTCGACCACTGAGGTTAACTGACCCCATACTGTCCCAGGGTCCTTCAGTCCCTCTTGATGTTTACTAATCCACGTCAGATCTGATCAGTCACTTAACATTTCAAGCTAACCTTGTCTCTTCTTTATGTTTTTGTTTGACATTTCTAGCAGGTCTGTTATTATTTCACTCTTTATGGTTCTGATTCAACTCTTAGTTGTTCCCATTCACATATTTTACTCTGTAGTCATATATCATTGTGTATGTTGGTGTTTTAAGTCTTGTTGTACGGCACTTTGGTCAACATGAGCTGTTTTTAATGATGTTGACTTAACTTGACTCAGCTGGATACCGCCTGATTTTTTTCCCTTAGTTTAGCCTCAAGAAAAAACAAATTATCATCTCAGCTCCCAACCTAACCAGTTTGACAAGCAGCAACATCTTCAGGGTGGTTTCCCAGGTCTGTTTCAGTCACTATGGAGTGTTCTTGTTGGAGTTATCAGCTGAGTTAAGGTGCAGATAAGGGTTCAGAGTGGTGAGGTGACAGTGAGAAGAGCACCGGGGGGCAATCTGTAAAATCAGTTTCTGAGGCAAAGTTCAGATGATCTGTCTGTTCACACTTGTCCCACCATCCACAGATGATGAAGACCTCTACATCCAACAGGCTGTTGTGTTCATTGAGGATGCCATACAGGTGAGAACAATGACTTTCTTATTTTATTTTTTATATGGTGAATAAAAAGTAAAATAGAGTTCAGAAGAACAAAAGTCAGCGATGAACAATCAGTTCTTTCAGGCTTCTCATAATCATCCTCTTTGTAAAATTGGACTGACTCCTTCTGGATTTGGTTTTGAAAAAGTCAACCATATACAGTTCTTTTGATAAGAGAAAATATGTAATTGGTTGACCACTTCTTGTTTTCCCATAGTGATTTCCTCCCTTTTTTCTATCTTGTTAAACACAATAGTCTTGAAAGGTCTCGTGTTAATGAAGTTTGCTTGCCTTCAGTACCGCTCCATCAACCACCGGGTGGATGCCGGCTCACTGCGCCTGTATCGCTGGTACTATTCCAGGATATGTCAGTGGTAAGTTCACACCAAGGCAGGTGATTAATAAATGAACCTGAGTTTGTGTTCATAAGTAGTCCAAGTTTTCATTAGGACCTAAAATAGCAGATGGTTTTAAATCACCAGCAGCCGTTTTCATGATAAAACATTCTCATATGTGACGGAGAAAAAATAACTATCAAAACAGCAAACCACGAAATCTGACATCAGTGAGGTTACAAATTAAAAAAGGTTCAACCAAAAATGGTACAAAATTATCAATATAACAATGAAGATGAAAGTTTAGTAAATTTATAATAATGTAATGTTACCAGGATATTGCATTGTAAACTGGTAGTAACAGTAAACAGTGGCTAATTCGCAAATTGGGATAATTGTATTGACAACAAAACCCGCCCCCTACAGCTTATGGATATCTGATGTTTGTTAAAGCCATTTTTACAGAGCTCTACAGTGTTTATGTTGGTTTTAGAATTCATATGAAGTTGCAAAATGTGTTTTTGACTAACTTTTCTTATTTTTAACAGAAGCTACAGGTGTAAGTCAAATGAAGACTATCAGTAACAATTCATACACCCATACAGAATGTCAGCATTGTCTCAGTGACCCATTGGTTTTCTGCTCTAGACGACGCCCACATGTTTGTACAGTAACAGGTTTATCCTGGACATGTTGACATCTTAGACAGAGGGCCTGGTCTGGAGCAGTGGCTTCTTTGTTCCCTGCAGGTTCCTTAAAACTTTCTGTGGATAATATATGAACATAGAGCCATTATAATGTTATCCTCTCTGGTCTCCTAATATGCATCTGACTAAGTGCTCTCCACAAAAACATGTTGGCTGTATCAGTCCTCTCATTTCATCCAGTTTGAGGGCTGTAATGAAACCGTGACTGCATTCTCTTTCAGGGGTCTGGGCCTGGTCATTGCAGTGGTGTTGTTGCTAGCATTTGTGGAGCGCCCGTCTTCCCTGTCCATCTCCTCTGACCCTCGGTATCGCTCCCAACCCTGGCAGCCTCCCTGCGGCCTCACCGAGAGCATTGAGATGATCTGCCTCATCGTCTTCACTCTCGATCTCGCTGTAAAGGTAAACTCAGCTAACTGCATGCTGTCAGGTCAAACAGGACTTTTAATTATCATGTCCATGTTTTTCATATTTCTCTCCCTCTGTTTTGTTCCCAGAGCTACCTCATTGGCTGGGATGAGTTCAGGAAGGGCAAGTGGCTAATTGGTTACACAGTGGTTATCACAGTCTCCATCATTGACTGGGTGCTGTCTGTCAGCATGGTGTGTGATGAGGTGAGGCTGTGCTCTGTCTTTTTTTTCTCAGCATCAAATAAAAGCTCTAAATGTGGTAGAGTGATCATTATATATCAAATTATATTTGGCACTCTCTATATCAAGAGGAGTCAACTAAATCAGTTACTTCCTGTGTTTATTTAAAGTGTAGACTTTTCCTTCTTGTTTAGAGACTGAGAGTACGAAGACTTCTGCGTCCGTTCTTCCTGCTGCAAAACTCGTCTCTGATGAAAAAGACACTGAAGTGCATCAAGAGGACTCTGCCAGAGATTGCCAGGTATCTGAATGAACATTTCACACGTTTACAAAGCCTCTGTTTCAGTCCCCAGCATAGACAAACTGATAAAGGAAGAAAATAAATTCAAGTATCAAAATTATTAACAAGTTAAAAGGATTCCAATATAACTCCATATAACTGCCAGCCTTAAATGTGCCGAATGTTGAGACCTGATAAGTCTCCATTGTGGATCTATTTCCCCTCAGGTTCTGGGTTAGTTTAGATCAGTTCAGCACTTTTACTTTTGGATTTTGTTCTCAAATGCAGCAACAAAGCCTCCTGAGTTCATGGTACAGTTAACTGCCTTCTATAATGTGGTGACAGTTGCAGCTCAGGGATGTTGTGGCACTTAAACTCATCCTGGATACTGGACTTACAATAGAATATACCATTATCCTGAGTTAAAGTAGACTGTTGAAATGCACTGTATCTTACAAAGTACTACGATATTGAGATGGCTGACCGTATGTGTGTGTGTGTGTTTGTGTGTGTAGTGTCATCCTCCTGCTGGCCCTCCATCTCTGCCTCTTCACTATGATCGGCATGCTGCTGTTTGCAAAAACTGAGGTAAGTTCAGGACTTTTCAGTCACACCTAGTCAAATACACACTACTGTTGTGCTGACACTTTGCCTTGTGCACTTGTGTGTGTCTAGACACGTCCTAGACTGAGTAGTGAAGGTAACCATTTCCTTGTGGCTTCAGGCCTGCAATAAGAAGGGAGGAAATGAGGTCACTCAAATGAGCTCAAAGGGCGAGTAATTTCAACATACCGCAGCTTCTGCAAGACCAAACCAGGAAGTGTAACAGTTCAAAACATGCAAAGGAGAGGGACGTCACACAAGACACTAACAATAGAGAAGACAGGAAAGGATGAAGGCTGCAACAGCAGTGAACAACTAATGATAAAGACTGTAAGGTCCCTGTACTCCTGAGATACTAGATTGGTTAAACATGACATATGCTAAGTGAATAAACACTATCACCTGATTTCAATTGTAAATAACACAAATAGGCAAAACTTTTCTCCAAGAAGAAAAAATCTATGAAAATCAAAACATTTGTACTGACACACACTACAAAATCTATCTGAGAGTGTATCCCTATGACTCATAGTGTCAGCTCATCCTACAGCAAGTGAGCCTAGTTGTAGTTTGGACTCATGGGGACATTGGCAGAAACTTGAGCATCAGTGCGAGAACAGTGAGAAAGATTCAGAAAAGAGGGAAGAACGTGTAAATGACAGCTGTAAATTATTACATTGGCACATTATTATAGTTTACATGGGTTCAAAAACTGCACACTGCACTCAGAAAACTGGCTAATACCACTTATCTAAATACCAGTTTCACTTTGTTTTTTCTTGATGCTCTTTGACAACAAAATAATGATTAATGTGTTTGTACTGAGCCTCCAGGGAATGCCGCTCTGCACAAACTCTTGAGGTTTTTAGATTTATAATCCTAAAAGGGAGGGCATAATTTATATTGTGGATAATGGACTAAATTCAAGATCAGTTTTATATCCTGAATCACTCTTCAAGTGACTCAATCATGTCTCTGTGGAGTTGTCATTGCACGAGAGTGTGGATTTGTTTTGGACATTTTTCAACAACAAACAAAAATTCAAGGAAAAAAAAAAATCACATTTTTATCTTTTGACAAAATGAGTTCTCAAAACAAACATATTACACAAACCTGAATTTATTTCAACAAAATACAAATATAGTATAATTATCATGTGCTCTGGGTAAAATGCCAGTGGGTTCACATCATTTCGAAGCAGCTAGATACCCACAAATCTTAGTGATGAAAAGAAACGGCTCAGAAGAGACAAAATAGTGTTGTACTTTTTGACACACCACGTAGGCCTTGATAAGAGGAGAATCAACTTTCTGTTTTTCTGTATCATATGCTGAGTTTTGTATACAGTAGAGTTTCAGTGTTTATACCTCTAGTTCTGTTTTAGGATCCAAAGAAGAACGGCGAATGGGAGTTACACTTCAGAGATATGCCAACATCCCTCACCTCCCTGCTGGTGCTGCTCACTACAGCCAACAACCCTGATGGTACACAATCAGCCACACCATGAAGAGGAAGAGTAGTTTCATTTTTCCGTCTGACTGAGTGTGCGTTATTCTCTCTGTCCTCTCACAGTGATGATCCCCGCCTACTCACTCAACAGACTCTACGCTATATTCTTTGTCACCTTCAGTGTCATTGGTAAGCCTGGATAGGTGCAGACAGGGGAACTGTTTTAATACTGAAAAATGAGAACATGTTTTCATATGAAGTTTTTCCTGACAGGAACCTACTGTCTGATGAACCTGCTGACAGCCATTATCTACAACCAGTTCAGAGGATACTTACTGGTGAGCTGCACACAGTCTAACATCAAGTGGATAGGCATTTCAGTGGTTATACATCACAGTTACAGCGTCACACAATTTAACTGGGAGACACCCAGTATTACCCAGTTACTACCTGAGAGAGTGATGTGGTTGTAGATAACACAGGTATCTGCTTTTAACCAAAATGTTATCCTCAGACCTTTAACAGGTCTAGACCATCACCTCCAGTGATGTTATCAGCAGGTAAGAGGCTTAAACCTTGAGCAGAGCCAAACTCATATTCAACAGACCGACCTGCCAAGAAAGAGACAGACAGCTAAAACAAGAAGAGCAGCTCCAGATAACACAGACTTTTGTCTCCTGTGACAGATGTTAATAATAAGAGCCTGTGATTTACTGAAAAATAATAACTGCTGAAAACTCCTCATCAGTAGTTGTTCACAGCTGGAAAAGCGGGTGTGTCTACGGGAAAATCCAAGTCTTGTCAGTGGAAAACAGTCCAAAGGACTCATGTGACAGTTGTTTCATTTTCCACAGCATACACCCACATTTTCTGACATGGGTGTTCACTACAGATGACTCAACTCTAGCAGCTTTAAAAAAGGCCTAACTGGTTGAAAACAGTCTTCAGGAGTAAAATTGTTGTAATTACCTGACCTGTAGTTATGCTTATGTGCAAACACAGCAGGACTCACCTGTAGGAATCACCTGAAAAGGCACACTAGACATGTTTGTAATTTGTTATTGCCATCTGCTGGGACATTGAAGGTGCAGATGATAATTATAACACCAGCATACTGTCACAAAACTACTCACTCTTTTTGGATTTCATGTTATGCAAATGAAAACGTTATAGAACTTTTAAGTAATGGTAATATCCTCTGAAAGAGCCCAGCGTTACCAACATTCACTCAGGTTGTCTAAATAGATACCATTAAGCTTCATATGAGAATATTAACATCTTAAATCCCTCAAAGCAGAGATAAAACACACACACACACACACACACACACACACACACACACACACACACACACACACACACACACACACACTCATGCACACACACACACACACACACACACACACACACATACACACACACACACACACACACACACGCACGCATTTAGGACATTTACTAACTTTACACTAAAGGAATCGTTCTGCTGATGTTCTGGTGCAGATGTCGGTCCAAACTTCCATCATCAGGAGGCGGCTTGGGATCAGAGCTGCTTTTCAAGTCCTCAGCTGTCAGGGAACTCAAGAAGCTGCTGTGTAAGAGATTAACACACACACACACCACACAAACAAACACAGAGAACAGAGCTTCATATCGAAACTCTCTGAACCCACATCAGTTTGTATCATTAGTTTGATTGACTAAAACTCCTTCTTATACTGCAGGGCTTAACCATTAATTACATAAAAAAGATTGTGTCTAGTTATCTGATGGTGATCAAATAAAACCCTGACAGGGTGAGACAAGACCCTAACCCAAAGTGGAGGTAGCTGCTTATTACCCAGGTACTGAGTAGCTGGCAGTAAGCAGTGGCCTAAAGACGACTTCACTGATGTAAAAATGAGTCATTCGCACAGAGAAAGAAAGTAGTCCCTCAGTCTGGGTTTTCTGTTAGCAGTCAGTCTGCGGGTAAATTCAGAGCAATATTAAAAATATCCATCAGGATATTTATTAGCAGTTGGACTGTCGACAGGATGAGGTAAAGACAGAGTGATTTGGTTTTTCGCTCAGGTTGTTGCAATTATTGGAAACATGTTTTAACTGATTGGAAGCATACATCGAACACAGCCAGGTGGTTATTAAGACAGCTGGGTTATAATTTAACTCTGTCATCATTTCTGGTCTGAATTACAGTTTGAAACTAAAATAAATGTTTGGTCAGCTTTGACATTATGGTTTGATTTTAAAGGATCTCACAGAAGAAAAACAGAAAAAATACTGTATGATTAATCTGTTAGGGAGCAGGTACGTGTTGATGCTGTGCTGGAGGTGATGTCCAGGGTTCAAATGAAGAGTTACTACAGAGCAGCCATCACCAAGGTAAGAGCCATAACACACTCACACACACATAGACACTATGGAGCAGAATTTGTTCCAGAGTGCAAACACGACACGCACATGTGTGGTTATTTCTTAAAGTTTCATGTACGTGTGTGTGTATGTGTAGTTTGTATGTAATAAATGCAGCTGGACTATAAGACACACCCATGCTCAAGTGTTTCTTTATTTCGTTAACTCCAGGTGCGTATTTGTTTTTAGATAATACTTTTTCCTCAGGAGTGTAGAGCTTATAACTCAGCTCAGTAACTTTTCACTCTGAAGTGCAAGGTCAGGGTTCAAATCCTGCTCCTACGGTCTTCTCCACATTATGATGACACATCTATGCTCAAATGTTTCTTTATGTCATTAACTCCAGGTGCATATTTGTTTTTAGATAATACTTTTTTACACACATCATCAATAAGGAGTAATTCTTGGAGCCTAGAAAAAAATATGTAAATTTGATTTTAAAATGAATGTAGTTAATGAGATAACAAGAACATGTCACAGCGATTCGTTTGATGAACACTTTTGGTTGATGTTTAATTATAGGTAATGGGAAGTCACTTTTAAAATATTTCTTGCATCCAGGTCTGGATCACCTGGAAGCTCTAACTTTGAGCTTTCGTCCACAGTCCAAAGCGAAGTTTGCTTTGTCCTGTCACCAGTGATCTTATTCATACAAAAACATGTCAAGAAAGTGCAAATCCTTCTTGTCCTTTTTTTTAACTGTTGACCTCAGGAGGTGCGGCAGTGTGCAGAGCTGGGCTACATGAACCGAGAACAGTTCAGACAGATTTTTGATGAACTGGACAAAGATCGCATCAAGGAGGTAAAGCTGTGCTCTGCCTGAAATCACAATCATCTCTTATACCTGCTGTGCCATTCCACTGAGTTTAGTGTCTGTTTTTGTGTTTGCACGTGTGTTTGTGTGTCTGCCTCTCCAGCACCCTCCTTTACCCCAGTATAGCTCCCCAGTCCTGCAGAGATTTCAGAGAGTTTTTAGTCACTACTATCTGACTGTACTGGGCAACGCAGTGGCACTGGCCAATGTCATGTGCATATGTGTGAGTTACACACACACCACACACACACATACACACACGCACGCGCACAGATCCATATGATGGTCTGATGTGTGTTGATATGCTGTCTGTGTTTCAGACTGTGCTGGTGTTAAACTCTGAAAAGACCACTGCAGAGAGAGACAACTACATCATGGAGGTGACTCAGTCATTAAACTTCATTGGATGATCATTTATCGTTATGATTGTAATGATTATTATTATTAATAATAATATTTTTTATTAAAAATAATTAGTCATTGTATGATCATTTATCGTTAGCGTGCCCCCTTTGATCTTTCTCCTTCCACAGCCATTTGGTCAAAATTACAGTCCATAAACACTTATCTGTAAAAAATGTTTTTTCTGTGGGCCTTTTTTCATGGATATTGAATTCTGATAACCCAGGTTAACTTTTGTGGGGGGGAAATAACCTATGAAGTTGTGAGCTAACCTTCTTCAGACATGATCCAATTCATCTTTTCTTCTGTCCATATATCAGATCATCAATCTGTGCTTCATCCTCTACTACTTGTTTGAAATGTGTATGAAGATTTTCGCCTTTGGCTGGAAAGGTTATCTGTCCTACAGGAACAACGTCTTTGACGGCATCCTCACCGTCCTGCTTTTGGTAACATTGCTCACACACTCTCTGTATCTTCATCTTATTAGTGTTTCCTAGTGTAATCTTTGACTCTAACATTTATCTGTACTCGTCTTTCCCATCAGATCCTTCAGATCACTATTTTTATCACCTACAAGGTTCCTTACTCTCACTGGTAGGTCTTCTCACATTTGATTCAAACACAGTGGCCCTCATTTATCAAGCTTGCGTACGGCAGAAAACTTGCGTACGAAAATTTTGACTTGAGGATCAGCATTTATCAATCTGCACATGAGCGTACGCTACGACCAAATCTCAAGACAGGTATGACATCGTGTACGCAAGTTTGAGTCAGTGTGGATCTACGGTGCAGCAAATGTCTGTCTCAAAATAATTGATATACAAACCTCAAACCTGTCATTAAGCACAATCAGATAGATTTCATTAAAGATTAAGACGTAAATAAAATTAAAATAAATTTGTTATGTCCTTGGTGAATAGGCCTATTTGATAACTCTGCCCAGAAACACTGCCACAGAGCAGGAGCGCTGTTTTAACATTGCGCACACATGCGCCACTGTGGAGCTCTGCGTTTGACTCCTAAAAGGCAGGTGTCTCTGTCTTGGCTGAGCAGCGGGGACGTTGTTGTACACTCCTGAAAGGGTGTGGGACATCATTTGGGCTGATACAGTTTTGCACAATGTTGCACTGGCCGTTGGCTGTGCCGTTGGCTGTGCCGGTGCAACATAAGGACCCGATGTCCGGAGAACAATAATGAGGGGAGACTCCACAATGGTGCTGTACAGAGGAGACAGGACCTTATCCATGGATTCTGACATGTAAAGTATAAGTTTAGAAAGTGCTCTTGCTATTTAATCAGTGATAAATATCCAATAGAAATCCATAAAAATGTGCCTCAGGGGCAGCAACACACCATTTGGTGACGTTAATAATTACTTTTGTTCAGCCTCTGTCAGACTCTCCAGTCTGCTCTACATTACAAAGATGTAACAAATTAAAACTAAATACTTTCAATAATAGGTGCAACGTACCATATGTCATGGAAATAAAAAATATATGAGGCATGTATGAGATCTTATTGACTGATGATTTATTCAAACTTCAGCCACTGTACACTATTCCTCGGCAGCGCTGTTGACCGCCACCATAATTCTGCTCCAGACAGGAGTTTTCTGGACTGATTTTATACCAGTTTTGATGCTTCCAAAGAGAAAATCCTTGTTATTTTCCAACACAGATATGAGGATATCCACTTTCAGCTCAGAAAAGTTTCGAATCTTTGTAATATTTCTCCTCTTTCATGTTTGACCTCAGTGGGCGAGGCTTCTGAACCACGAATATATAAGGGCGTAAACATGTTAGTGACGATCGATTTTAGCCGCCGCATTTATCAAGACCTGATCATACGTACGCTGGGATTGGTCAGATACGAACCCTTTCATAAATCTCACGTGTGTCCTATCATACAAGCTGCACAAGCTTGATAAATGAGGGCCAATGAATTTGCTGGAAACTGGAAGATAAGTTTACATGGAAATAAATGTTAAAGACTAAAAAGAGACAATAGCAATGAAGTAATAAAGTTTATACTAAACTAAAAAGACCTACCATCAGACTGTTGGAGCAGGCTGACTGACACTGGGGCAGAAATGTCAAACACCAACTCTTTCAACTGTGCAGCAGTTTCTGATGTTTGTTGGCATGTGTTTTGTTCGTAGGGACCCGGCCACTCATAGCGTGTTGTCTCTCTGGGAGATGATCCGTCTCGTCAACATGCTGATCGTCTTCCGCTTCCTCCGCATCATCCCAGATATCAAGGTAAGGAGAGGTGTTACATACACAGGATCACAGCCTGGAGGGTTGATGTAGTGGAAGCAAGAGTCATTACTCCTCAAACTTCAAATTATGCCTCATAATCTGCTTGTTAGCCTGTTTCTGAGCTTGAGAGTGAAGTAATCATTCAGGGGAATAATCAGCCACATATACGATTTAGACCTGTTTTCTACACAGCACTACATTTACTGACAGCCTGTTCCAAAATCAGTGAAACACAAACATCTTTTTTGTTCTGCAGCTTATGGCTTTGGTTGCAAGCACATGTTTGGACCTGGTGAAGAACCTGCGAGCCTTTGCAGGGGTCCTTGTGGTGAGTGACGCCAGCTTGATTAAAATAATCAACTTCTGCTTTATTTGCTTTTAAATAAGATGTTTGATGGTTTTGCAAACTGTGGACCTTGAGTTATGAACCTCGGTACATGACTGCTTGAAACAAAAGAGCACAACATGAAAATTCATGAGCTGACTATTTTAGCCAACTTTTAAATGTTTAGAGATTGTGTTTTGTGAGAGATTTTGATTTACAAAACAGTCGACATATAAGGGAGCTAAGAGGCTGATGTGTTCATACTCCCCCTGCAGGTGGTGTACTATGTGTATGCTGTATTTGGGATCTGGTTGTTTGAAGGAGCCATCAAACCTCCTCCACAAACAAGGTAGGAATCTTAAACTGACTGCTCATCAGAATCTTTAGGACTCTTGACTTGAACCAGAGCATTGTCTGTGTACAGACTTAAAAGAAGGAATCAGATGGATTTACTGATAAACATAGAGTAAAAATTGTCTTATTGTTTTAATTATTAGATCGGAATTTAATAACCTGGTAGTGTGACAACACTGAGTTTACCTGTGTTGGAGTGCTGACTTGTTTCCAAAAAGTTACTGATGAATTGCCCAAATTTGGCCTCAAATATTGGGAACTTGACTTAGAGTAAAGTAATAGTGGGTTTATTCTCTCCAGTGAGTTGGTCTTGAACACTAAAGACTCAACACCTTGACTCAGAGTCAAGCTCAGGTGATTTAACTGACACAAACACAACTGTCTATGTGTGTTTTAGTGAACTCTCCAACTCCACCATGGAGGACATCACCTCTAACTTCAGCATGGCATGTGGGACCTATGAACAGCTGGAGTACTGGCCGAACAACTTTGACGACTTTGGGGTGGGTAACAAAAACAGTCAGAGCTTCATGTGTTGCGTGTCTGTTATCTTAAATTCCCATGTCTCTTCCTTCTTCACTCTCCCCCACTTTCTCTCTCTCTTCCTGTGTCTCAGGCTTCAATCATGTTACTGTATGATGTCATGGTGGTCAACAACTGGCAGGCTTTCGTGGATGCATACAGCAGATACACCACAGAGTAAGAAAAGCTTTATGGGCCTTCAAATGTGCGGTAGATAAGGATGATGATGATGATTATGATAAAGATGATAATGATGACGATAATGACAATGACAAAGACGATGATGATGATGACAAAGACAATGAAGATGATAATGGTAATGATGTTGATTATGATAATGACAGATACAAAGTGACCATGACCTGGATGAATGAGAATCTACACCGACAGATAGGAAGACAATGATGAAGATAAAAATGATGATAAAAAATGATGTTAATGATGACAATAACAAATACGATGATGATGATGATGATGATGATGATGATGATGATGATGATGATGATGATAAAAATCATGATAAAAAAATGATGATGTTGATAATGACAATGACAAAGACAATGACAATGACAAAGACGATGATGACGAAGTTGGAGATGATGATGATGTTGATGACAAAAACAAAGACAATGACAAAAAGGCAATGAAGATGATGATTATGTTGATGACGATGATGACAATGACAAATACAATGACGATTTTGATGATAAATATGATGACAAAAAATAATGATAATGATAATGATACTGATAATGATGATTTGTTTCCTTAGCTGGGCCAAGGTCTATTTTGTGTGTTGGTGGCTCACCTCTTCAGTCATGTGGGTCAACTTGTTTGTGGCGCTCATCTTAGAGGTCAGTTCACTCATACATCGCAGACTAAAACACGCCCTTGTGAAATGCATGTAAAGTGATTAGAAACTTTTCTAAACTCTAGAGTTATTTCTTCTTTAACTCCGTTACATTTGCTGAATATTTTCTGTTTCGTGTTTTTGAGCAGAACTTCATCTATAGGTGGGACCGCAGTCACAGTTGCTCTGTCACTGAAGTGGAGAGGATCAGATATCAGACCTCTGTTCAGCTCATGTTCAGGTCAGTAAACTCCTGCTTGATTGTGTATCATTTAACAGAAAGCAAAATGTCTCATGACCAACATTTTTACATCCATTCTGCTTTTCTTTTTTCTGTACAGAGAGCAGATCCAGGAGCCCACCGAGGAAGAACTTATCTGTCAACTTCACCAACACCCACACCTACACCTGCACTGGTGATACACAAAAGCACAGAAACTCAGAGGCAGAGCTGTCACTACTCAATGTGTCTGCTGTATGAGACAAGCACTGAGAGGTCAATATAAGAGGGATCTATTTATAGTTTGTTTGGATTTTTTTTATCGCTATTTCTTTGTGCCACCACTGAAATCAGTACAGAGCATATTTTTTACACTGTTTTTAGAAGTTTTTATCATAGGGAAATCAATACTTACAAACTTCTGTGTTTAAACATAACTCCTGTTGGATTCAAAGATTAAGGTCAAATTTTACTGTTTTTTAAACATAGCTGGGACACTCTTCTCTGTCTTACTTGTCACTAAAACTTATTTGATTTGATATTAATTTTTCTCTGAAATTTTTGGTTCTCCTTGCTTTAAATAGACCATAAATTCAAGTATTTGGTTAAGGATTACTGCTCTAAAATGAGAATAATATATATGGTTGTTGTTTTCAAATATATATGCTGGATTCAGCTGTTCCAGCGCTGAAACCATAAAAGAAAACAGTGAAACCAAAAAGTTGAGCAGCTTCAACAGCAGACCTTTGTTATGAGAACAACCGGGAGGCTCTTCTCTTTGCTTTTGCTGCACCTCACAGGAGACATCTGCTGTTTTAATCACAGTGGAGTCTGTGGTTCCACAAAAAGATCGAACATTATTTAGGGAAAAACTTGCTGCTTGCTTTGCAAAGGCCTTTTGGTGTGGAAACAGGGAATCCAGAGCTGAATATTTTTATCATTGATGTCTTTTGGTTGTCCGGATTTGAGCGTATCCTGATCTCATAACTTTGAAAAAACACGCACAGGGCACCAGAGTGCTTACAATTGATTTCACTTCACAAGTATTAGACTTCTTATATTGCTGCCCCTCCCTCCTCTATCTTAGAGCATCATAACAGTAACGGATGATGAATTTCAGCATATGAGTTCACACAGTTTGAATACACAAAACTAAAGGAAGCAGATTCAGTAGCAGTCACTCACTGTGTGAGGACACTTTGAATGGTGCCTTATTTATTATTCTTTTCTGTGAACAGCTGGGGGGTACGGCTGCTTGTTGTTCCTCCATCAGTGTTGATGGATGGAGCTTCCCCTGCTGTTCACTGTAATGAGCTTATGAATGGATTAAATGTGAAAGCTGTGTTGTTATCTCCCATCAGTGTCCAAAGTTTTGCCATAGCTAGGTGTCAGTGTTTAATCATGAAACCTGTCACTGCTACAGATACTCAAACTAAATGTTGTGTACCAGGACCCAAGCCTTCAAAGGGAACACACTGCGCATATTTTTAACAAACAAAAACAAGGGAATCATTTTTATTTACTTATCAGCCTTTAAAGAGTCTCTGCACACTCTCTCTCAAAGATGTGGCACAGATTTTTTTTCTCAGTTTTTATAGATGTACAGCAATGTTATTACAGGATCATGAACACAGTAAACAATGTTATTGTAACAAGGTAATAAGATTGGGGACATCAGAAATTTTGAATTTCTGGCAGTGGGATGAAGCTTTTTTTGTCAGCCTGTATTTTGTGAACTATTTGTAAAAATATCCCAAAGATTTTTAATAAATATTTTGTAAAATATTTTTAAAAGTAAGTAAAAGACTTGTTTTATGTTTTAGCTGATTTTGAGTATATGTTGAGTTTGTCTGAAATTTTAATTCATAAATTAAAAAGCTGAAATTTTAGGTCATTCATTTGCTGCACTGTGAATTTACTGTAAATTGACCTCCAGATTGAGGTCAAAAGTCATAGAGCAACACCTTGGAAGGATAAGAGGTACAGTATTTTATATGGCCTCCTCTCATAGATGGGTTGTGAACGTCTGGGAGACATGGACAGGATCCAAGTGTTTTCATACTGACCCATCGTGCTTTAATGGGGTAGATTTGAGACATGAAAATATTTTGTCAAAACCAAAATTATGCAGCATTGATCCTGCGCTCATGATGTTCAGTGTGTGCAGCATGCAGAGCGGGTGAAAGTAAATGTATAACTAATTTCCATGGCTAAATATGTTTTTTCATGGCCCTATTTATTAAACTTATTTGCTGTATTTTTGGTCACAAGGACAGGGTTTTTTCACATTTCAGAAGTGTGCGTGTCCAAATCTGGTCTTAAATTTATGATGCAGCAGAATAGGGTTGAAGATATGTATATCCAGTGTCCTCAGGGAGACTGTGAAAAAAGAGGGTAAATGATCCAGCCAAGGTTCAGTCTAATTACACACATGGGCTGAAAAAATACCCTAACACTAGCAAAAAACCCCAGCCTGCTAGCACAGGTGGCTCAGGAAGAGACTCAGATTGTTTTTCTCCATGTATGAATTATATTTAAGGTTTGTTAATTAAATTTTTCTGGCTTAGTGGTCATCCTTCTCAATCTCTGTGCTATGACTTGTTAGGGCCTTTGGGTGGGACAATGCACACAAAGTCCTCAAAAAGGGGCCAAAGGATGTCTATGCAGGCTGTAGACAAACTAAAACATTATCAGAGGACTTTTGTGTGCCCCAAAATATGGCAGCCGATTGGCCCTGGAAATTTTACTGTACAAAATAACATTTGTAATGGATTAAAAACACTCAATTAAATACAAATTATCAGACATCTCTTGGTAATACTAATACTGTGCAAACTCTAGATGCTGTCCATTATAAATAAACTTAACAGTTTTTCCAGGAACAACAACAACCACACGATGGCGACGATGGACCATGACTGTGACTCTCCGGCTGCCTCTGTGCAGGCTGCAGAGTCTGTTTTGTCTCAGGGAATAGTGAGTGGGTGAGAAATAGTTGGAGCACTGTGTGTCGTGGTGTGGTGATGATCCTCTCCCCCACCACGCCCACTAAAACACTACAACCTGCACCACAAAGCTGAAACCGGCCCTTCTGGTTTGGGCACAGCCACCTCCCTGCTCACGGGCCAAATAAAGGAGTGTGTGGTCCTGACACTTTGGTACTTTTCCACAGACACATGGACACCAAATCAATCTCATACCTTCTCATCTGATAATGTGCAAATGACAGAGGGACCTAAAGGTGTGACAGCAATCATTAGCATAGAAAATGCGTCCCTTTTGTGCGTTAGAGCTAAGTGAAGCTAACAAGTCCCTGTTTGAAGAAGTCCCAGTATTAAAAATGACTTGAATCTGGAATTGAGCTTTATCATTTAGCTTTATCATCATCATTTAGAGTACAGTCAAGTCAAAAAAATCCACACAGGTAAACCTTTCCACCTGAGATCAAAGACCTGTAAGAAGATATCAACACTTTGGTATCTCCCAAAAAAGGTAATTTGAAACCATGAGGAAGATAAAGAAACGTGGCTCCACTCTGATGAAGCAGATGTTGAGCTACACTTCACCTGAAAAGGTCCTCCATGAACCTCCCACAGTTTTGGCCTTCAATATATTCTTTGAGGCCCTGCTGTCTGCTTCAGAGGACATTTGACACATGGTTAAACCACAAAGCCAAACCAATACCCCCAAACACAAAAGACTTAGTCTGGTTTAGGTGAGAAAGGGAGGCTGGGGAGTGTGTGCAGAAAGAGCAGGGAGTCATCACTAACAGGGAAAAACATGAACCTTTCCATAATACAGCTGGTCTAACCTATCATTCAGCCTCCTCAAGCCTCCCTTGTTTTTGTTTGTTTTTTTTTGCTCCAGACTGATGTTCCTCTCTGTTCAGCCGGACAATACTGAGCCCCAAAATGCATGTAGGCTCTTGTCCTTCTGTCTCTCTCCCTTGGCTTTTCAAACACCCTCCTCCTCCCGCTCCTTCATGCTCTAATATAAAGACAGCAAGAATGTTTGCGCTTAGTTTACTCCGTAGGACAAAAGGGGTGCAACGTGGCAGAATAAACAAAAAAACTGCAAACTCTACAAAATGAGTCATCATCACCCTGACCTCTCACTTGATTGAAATTTTATTGACTTTAAAATGCTATATTCAAACATTGGCTCCACTCGTCTTTATACAGACATTTCATCAGGAAGCTGTCAGTAAACAGTACGAGTAAAAAATTCAGCAACCAGCGTTTAGTTCTGCAGCTTACATCAGTAAAGTCAGGAGACTTTTAGGGCTGCATTTGTGTCAAAGGAGTGTCTCTGCAATTCTTTTTACATATTTATTGCATCAGTTGGTACCTCCAAAAAATGTTTGTCACAAAAAACTGGAAACACAACAGAGTTATCACTACCTCAAAATGAACTTTCAGTTATGCCAGCTGTCCTGCAAATAATGTGTTGATCTATTTATGAATGTAATTTCACTCTGGTTTTTCCGTCAGTTCCTTAACTTGCTTTAAATTATCAGATGTCAGTTCTCATCATGTATCACATCCCATCAATGGACATCGGACTACAGGTTTCAGTTCTTTAGCTAGTGCTCCTGCAATGAGGGTCCAGAAACACCAGAATGGTTCTAAGGCCCCCATGACTGACAGGCCCTATAGACATAAACTGGAGGGGTCCAATGCAATATATTTTTCATGGGGCCTAAAATCCCGGACTGTAACCCTTGTTTAAACAATTAGTTTGTGCTGCTGCTGGTGAAGCTTATTAATGCTTATTACAGGGCCTTAATATAAAGTGTCATACCAAAAACTAAAACTACACTGAAACTTATTATAATCAAACTAAAGTAATTAAAACTAAACCTAAACACAAATTTTAACCAAAAACAAACAAACAAAACTAAACAAACTTCCAAACCTAAAATTAGATTTAACAAAAAAATTTATGCAGTGTAGTTTGGCAGTTAATTGTATAAAAGAGCATAAATAAGATCTGGTGGATGTTCTCCTTATAAAAAGGATTTGTATTTATAATGACATATGTTTGTTTATGTTTGTTCACTAGCAAATTAGTGACAGTACATCTCAGGCAATCTTATGGAGTACTGTAAAAGTTCAGTCACTAGTAATGTAAGAAGTTAATTTTAGCAGTGAGTAACTAATGTTGTATGCTTCTGAAATTGAACACAACACATTCCTTTTATTGGGCAAGTGACCCAACACTGGTCCTGACATGCTTACAAACACAACCGCAGAGAGAGAGAGAGAGAGAAAGAGAGACTTAGAGAGAGAGAGAAAGGATTAAGTCTCTGTTTGCGAACAGTAACTTTGCCTCCAGGCCCTGAGTTATTAAGTGGGTTCATGCAGGAAAACGAAAACCAAACAATCATGGTGATGTGGCGTTTGGAGAAGCAGAAGCTGCCGCAAGAGGTGACTTAATGTCATGATATCTCAACCCTGATCATTTTGTCTGATGTATGTGAAAACACACACACACACACACACACACACACACACACACACACACACACACACACACACACACACACACACACACACACACACACACACACATTATGTTGTATCCCATCACTGCACTCCTCTTCTGTCTATCTTCGTAAGACTGTGAGAAAATGTCCCTAATCTCCACCGGCTGCAGAGGGGGTCCAAACTAACAGCCTGTTTTAATTTCAGCCTTGTCATGACAGGAAGTGTGTGTGTGGGTGTGTGTGCGTATGTGTATGCGTGCGTACGTGCATGTGTGTGTGTGTTCGGAGGAATGGGGGGACAACAGGAAGTGGAGAGGATGGTGCATGGGAAACAGTTAATGGAGTTATTTTTGCTGGGGACACTGGTGTGAGGAGGGCTGCTTGACCTCGGTCCTGTTCACACTGATGCTTAATCTGGAAACAAGGGCTAATCTTAGTGTTCGCAGTCATCTGTCACTGAACGGCCACTGGAAACTAATAATAAAGCAAGATGGAGACAAAATTAGAATTCAAAGTAAGACATCTGGAGTAGGAGTTGTTGATGTTAGATTTCACATACATGCTGGACTCACAACAGCTCTATATTTAATTGGTTCACAGGAACTGAGATGCATTTGAATAAACTATCCCATGCACAAGTTTACTTTCCGCTTTTAATGTTTTGGCTTTATTCTACACAATGCACAGCGGGGCCAAAGGGGAAACTGCATAGACCAGATGACAGCTCATGTTCGTGACACTTCTGCAGAGTCACTGCAGTCTGGTATCAGTGTCAAAAATAAGGAAGATGGGAGCACTGTTCATGTGTTCTGCATGGCCGGAGCAGAAGTTCAGCATGGACAATGAAAAGAGCCTTTCTTCCTCCTCTGTTACTGCTCAGACACATTTTCCATACATCTAGTATTTTTTTTTCTCTCATCATGTTAATATCTGTATTATTGTGTTGAGTATGAGCTCTGTATTAGAATCCCAAAATGTAAGCTAAACTATTTCAAAAACTTCTTTTGGCTCACTTCCTTCAGAATCTAGATATGGCCTCTGCAGTAATAGAACTGTGATAGTTGTCTCCTTGTACCGTATTATGCAGATGGCATTTGGCAGTGTAATTCTGAGAGCTCCCTGTCCTTCCGCAAAATTACATGAAGAGTAGGGAGAGTGTGCACCTCCTTTCTGTTTCATGTGCGTACATGAAAAGCCAAGATAAGAAGAGCAGGAATCAGCAACCATACCTGTGACGCTGATACCATCAGTAACATCATAAAAAAAGATGAGCTGGGCTTTAGGTGGGTTGCAAAGTAGTTGCTAAGAAATTAAGCAGCAATTTAGTCTAAATAGAGCACTCATCCTGTCAAAGTTAATCAGCTGGTGTGAGATCCGCACACCTTGGGTTGAGATTGACTTTCACGGCCTGCCTTAACTAACAGCACATATTGGTTTCCTCTGGTTTGATGTGGGTCATTGTTTTTTAAAATGTTGTTTTTTATCAGCACTAATGTGGATGTGGTTTAGTGTGCGCACACACAATTCCCCTTAAAGTAAGGATTTTAGTCATATTTGGTTATACAATTACACCCAAAAATCCCTGAGGTGCCATTAAAGTGTATCATATCATTTCGTATTGTATAGCACAATACCATATCGTATTGCATCGTATCGTATCGTATCATATCGTATTCTCTGGTACTTAAATAGAGAAATTCAGGGATGGTTCTGCTTTGTTAAAGACCTTCAATGTTTAAGTTATTTAAAAACCAAGTCACATCTTTGCAGCTTCATGCCCTGGACAGTTAAATGTGGTCTTGAATCAAATCCTGAAGAACTGGCTGTAGGTATGAATGTCAGGACACTGAGCCCTTGGTTGTGGTTTAAGTGGTTTGTTTGAGTAAACAAAGTGACAGAGGTGAAAGAGGTAATGTCCTGTTTCCTTGTTTAATTGTAACTTTTCCATCAGTGAACCTGCCAATTATCCCGAGGTGACATCCAGCCTGAGGACGCTGGAGGACCATGGGTAAACACATGTTGGAGGAGGCAGCAAGTTCAGTTTGTTTATTGGGAGAAATAAACACTGACAGTGACAGTGAGTGCAGTTTCCTTACCTCACATGGCCCAAACTTTACAACACCCCTCCTCAAATATCACTCTTTATATCTCCTGAATTTGCTTCTTTGTTGGAAAAACTGCTTTCATGTACTTGGAGGATTTGACTGCAAACTAGCATGCTCACTTTAAATGTTCATTACCGACTCCTAAGCTAAAAAGGAAAACTTGAGACTGTGGACAGGATCAGACTGAGCCCCACCCTGTAAGATCAGACCCACTTCCATCCCATCTTCAACCATATGAGTAAAACACTTCACAGCATTTATCAAGTTACAGTGGAGAGGAAGAACTTCCTTTAACAGACAGAAACCTCGAGCAGAACCAGACTGATGTTAGACAGTCATCTGCTGAGACTGAGCTGGGTTTAGAGAGGAGAGAAGGAAATGGAGAAAGAGAGAGATGAACAGAGGACAGACTGATAGAGGGAGATGGAGTTATGACTTAGTTATAACATATCAGCATTAAATTCCTTGAAATGCGATGAAAAAGAAGACAACATTTCCCATGACCAACAACTTCAGCTGCCTGAATGGGTGAACGGCTGTTTGTGATGAAGTTTGGCCTTCAGAAACCTCTAACATTTCGATCAAAGAAACAGATGTGCTGAGAGTGGACTCTATTCACATAACTCACCTATGTAAGGTGAGGTAGAGAGACTCCATCTACAGTAGCACAGAATGGACAAACTGTTAGTATGTGTATTTTCTATTAAGTGAGTAGCTGCATGAAACACACCAGAAGAGAGCGATTGGTAGGAGCAAAAGATTGTGTATTGATTGTTTTGGATGGCTAAATTGAACAAATGGAGGATCATCATACTGATCATGTGTCAGAGTCTCTGGCCTCTGTTGCTTCATTAACCATCAGAGTGAGCAGGGAAGTGTTTCAGTGTTTAAATATTCTCATTTCTACACACTGTACTTTAGAAATAACAACCAGCTGACTCTGGTACCATTACATTTCAGTGATTGGTTTTTATTGCTTATTGTATTTTTTGTTGTAAGTAACCCTGCTGTTTGGGACAGGGGAAAAAACTGATCTCCACCAGAAAACACAAACACTGTTTAAGTCATTCAGGCCTGCCTTTAAAGGTAAGCATGAATTTAATCATACAAATGTTAAAAAAATAAAAATAAAAAAAAACTTTCTTAAATTTGTATTTTAGATATCTGAGTCTCTTTTGAACTGCTTAAAAAAACCTGGTATTTAGAAAACAAAAAGCTGGTATTTTGTAATGAATGAAATACAAAAATCATGAGAAAAGTTAAATTTCTAAATTATAAAGAGAAATGATAGACAATAGGCTGATATCTATCAAAAGGACCATAACCAGCTAACTGATTTCTTAGCCTCGTGTTACTTCAGCTCTCAGTTCAGAGGAAGGACTGCCGCTTCATGCACCATCTCCTGTTGTCTACAAAACAGAAGTAAAGGTCAGTTTATGTTTTACACCACATTAGTTGAAGTAAAATTGTTCATTTTGAATGTGCCACAACAACCAGAAGAGAAGTCTGTGCATTATTCAATAAGCTAGCTTTTCTGAGTCTATTAAACACATACATTACACTATACCTGAACTCATTAAGATGCTGATCCTTCTAAGGACTTCCCTGCACCAGGTCCTCAAACTGAACTGAGGAGTCAGACTGAACTGGTTAAGCCAATGATACCACATTAAAACTGTGTGATATAGGTGCATTGTTTAGTGGATATAACTTCGGTCCTTCTGATTATTTACATTGAATGGAAACTCTTAATCAAATACAGTTCATCACAATAAAAACAGGGGAGAAGGGTGCGGCAGCAAAGACCATCCTTCTGTCTAACAGCTGTAGAAGCCCTACATGGACCTGCGTCCAGTTCACTGACACCAGTTTCCTGGAGATGAAAAGTCAGTTATAGGCAGTGAGAATAAGACTAGGGACTCTATTTTCGTGCCCCCTGGCGGTGCGGCAGAAGGTGGCGGACCCCACGCAGTGGTATTTTCGTCTGGCGGAGCCCAGTGCACAGCCAGTTTGGTATTTTCATAGACTGAGGCGCACCGAGGTCTGCCAAGCTGGGCGTGGTTGTGCGGCAGGGGGAGGTGTCGACAGAATCGGCTGCTGTAGTGACATTTTTGTGACCCCTGGCCGTGTATAAAGTGCGCTGAAAGCTCGCCAATTCAAACCTGGTCAGCTTTCAGCACAAGCGGAGTGCAGCTGGTCTAGTGGTATTTTGGTAGACCAGCGGCGTAGTGCACATATGTCACCGATGCTTCACTGGCAGGTTTCCAAAGTGTCAGGCACATTTCAGTGCAATAAATATTCAAAACAACAACCAATATTCTGAGTCAGCAAATACAGTTAGATCTATAGATATATTCTGATCTTTATCTGATCTGATGAGCACATTTGACCGAATTAACACAGCTTAACCGCATTAAATTAAATATCTAGTAAATAAACACACATGATGAAGTGAACAAGATATTTAGTTTGTCTCCCCCCTATTTCTATCTTCTTCCTTTTATATCTCGTGCAGCTCGACCTGGACATGTGTCCGTGTCCTCTCCCCGTCCTGCTGCAGCTGCAGCAGCAAGGCTGAACAGATGATTTATTTTAGTGATCAGATGAGTTATTTAGTTTATGCCTACATATCAATAATGTAATATTCAGTTTTGTGAGCCAAATTTATTTTATATGCCAACATCCATGAAAGAAAGAGCCAGGCCACAGAGCGTGATGCGTCGTTTACGCACAGATGGTTCCGATTTTAATGCCATTATTGGAGTTTATGTTGTGATCTGTGCGCTCAACCGACCTTTGTCACGTGAGGTTTGAATATATGCAACTTTATGTGAGTGTCTTTATTTGTGGAAAAGGATGTTTGTCTTACCAGTGGGTCCAAACTTACACACACCAAATCCATCTGTGCTCATATGAGAGAGTGTGCAGGATGCCCTCTACAGCGCTTACAGTTACACTTGTTGAGGAGCTGCCTTCTGTCGCCATTGTGTGACATTGCTGTCTTCAGCCATCTCTTGATCTCTTTGACTACTTCACGAAAATTGTAATACGCCTTGTCGGTGGCGGATTAAAAGGTGAGAAGAAGAGCTTATGTGATTGGCGAAAACAGGTCTCGGCTGTGTTAAACCCACTCCACGCCTTATCCCCTCCCTCTCTACCATTTACGCCACTGGGAGGAGCTGAGTTAGGGAGGGGAGATACTTACGCCAGGCTGTGCTGCTCACCAAAATACCAAAATTTGCTTGGGCAAGCCTTGTCGGCGCGGCGTACCTGACTTATGCCACACCGCTGGTGAGGCACGAACATAGAGCCCTAGATTTTCAGTGCTCTGCTGTCACTCAGGACTTTGAGACACAGATAAGCTCATCTGAGCCCATCAGTCCCTTGCCTATCCTTGGAGAGTCTCTGAATGAAATCCAGGACCACTTGGAAATGCAGAAGAGTAGTTAAAAAGAGTTAAACACAGGTTTCTTTGGTTGTCCTGCTTTTTCATTTCTTCAAAGGCCATTAGGAAAACAAGCTTAGTTGTAAGAGTCATTTGTCATCTAAACTATAGATTGGAAGCAGGAAGCAACAATCAGCCTCTGTTTCCCCCTAAAGTTTAGAGAAACATCCTCCCACGTCTCCAAAAGCTCATTAATAAACTCATTTTGTTGTACCTGTTTGTATTGATCTTGGTCAGAGCCTCTTTGTTCAGAGACAGCCCACTTTTCTTATCTGCACTTGCTGTTTTTTAGTACAGGTAGTTCTCAGGCTGAGGTGATTGCCATAGTTTGGCCTCAGTATTATTTTGGTTGTTTAGCTGGATTATTGAGTAAACAAGTGTTGGATTCCTGTGTGAAGCCAATGAAGGCCTCCAGTTATGCAGGATTGTGCTGAATGATAATTAAGTGCAATTACTTGGACCACAGAGTACCATGAATTGGTTCAACTGACCAGGTTGTAGAAATTGACAATGTATGATTTGTGTGGAGGCCACAGAGAGGTTTGGACATTGAACAGAAATATTTGATGGCAAACCTGAGAATAAATCAGTTCTGCTCTTCTCTTCATAAATGTTATTTTACATGCGGGTTTAGGTTTTTTTTTAAAGAGAGGATCTGTTGTGTGTGTCCAAGTCATAGTGATCAGTAAGTTGTATCACCAGCTGGTGATAAATTACTCATTCAAAATGAGTTCATATTTTAAAAAACAAGTTTATTAGTTTAATAATAAAAGAAGAGTATTCAGGCAAATTTAGGTGGAAAAGGATTTAAAAATCATTGTCTTTTTCTTTCACAGTTTACACAAACTTCATTGGAGTTTGGGTTTTTTGTATGTTGTATGTTGATGCCTCTGTGTGACCCCAGTGTCTCCATGAGGTTTGTCCCCCAGTGCCTTTGTTGAATCAGGGATTTTTGGTTTATTTGTATTTTGCCTCTTGTGTTTTTTGGGGATTTTGAGTTGAACATTCTAAGTAAGTTTTTGTTGCTTTTCGTTTTGCTATTTTTAAATAAATCATTTTGGTTCTGCACTTGGGTCCTTCTCCTTTTCGTTTCACCCTGAAATGTGACAAAGAGAGGGAAAAAAAGAGTTAAACAGGAGTCACAGTTGGGTTGGATGTGTGTAGTTGTTGCAGGACAGGGGGAATAAGGACAGACTGTTAGCACTCGGTGTAGTCATGGATAGCTGCCCAGAGTCAGTTGCTTTGACAGCCAGGACAAGCACATTAATGTCCCTTTGAGGGAGAAGCTGTGCAAGCATCTGATGTTTATGGAGATTAAGCTAAAGGAACTGTTCTGAGGCTGAATGTGTGCTGTGATGCCCCTGTAGTGTCATCTACAGTTCAGAGATGTCATGTTGGAGGTGAGTCTTGCAGGTTTCCCTCTGCAGCATGTACCTGTGTTGATGTCTGCACCAGTGACTAGGCAGACCACAGGTTTAACTTTTGAGCTGCAGAAAGAGCTGTTGGTTTTACATTTTCAATGACAGGAGATGGAAAAGAAGCTTGAGTTGGAGAAGATGCGTCAGGGTATTGAGGAGATAAAGTTAGAGTTGAAGCAATCAAAGCTGCTGTTGATCAGGGAGAACAAGCTTTCTCCTGGAGGCTCTGGTGCTCCTGGTGACTCTTCAACATCTTGTTTTGATGGCACTAAAACTTGTGTTTAGTGTCGAAGTTGAACAAATGTGACCCTGATACTGTTTTCACTCTCTTTTAACGTATTGGTCTCTGAAGCTTTTTGTCAGAAATTT